CTGCTACGAACACGGCTGCTACGAACACGGCTGCTACGAACACGGCCGCAACGAACACAACTCCAACTGCCAGAGATACTACGCGTGGCTGCAGACACGTACATGCTACGGACGCGCGTACACATATCAACTATACGGACATGGCAGAGACAGACACGGCTTCTACGGACACGGACATGTTAACGCACACGAGCGCCACGGCCTTAACTGTCAGAGAAAACCAACGGTTACCGGCGCAATTGGAGTGGATAACACGCCATAACTGTATGTCATCAGTCATCCAGACCCGGGAGGTGGAGGGGTGTGTGATGATGCAGAGAGAAGAGGGGAAGAGGAGGATGGAGGGAGATGAAGAAGGAGGGGAAAGGGGGGGATGGAGGGAGATGAAGAAGGAGGGGAAAGGGGGGGATGGAGGAGGGGGAATAAGGTGAAGGGATGGAAGGATAGGGAGGGGAAATGATCGGGGGAGAGGGGAATAAGAACATAAGAACATGGTAACTGCAGAAGGCCTATTGGCCTATACGAGGCAGCTCCTATTTATAACCACCCAATCCCACTCATATACATGTCCAACCCACGCTTGAAACAATCGAGGGACCCCACCTCCACCACGTTATGCGGTAATTGGTTCCACAAATCAACAACCCTGTTACTGAACCAGTATTTACCCAATTCTTTCCTAAATCTAAACTTATCCAATTTATACCCATTGTTTCGTGTTCTGTCTTGTGTTGATACTTTTAATACCCTCAGTAATTAAAAGTAAATTAAATAATCTCAGTAAACGAGAGGAGAGAGGGAGGGAGGGAGTTCAAGAAGGAAGAAAGAAGAGAAGGTGAATGTATAAGGAAGAAGGTAGAAAGGTCTAGGGGCAGGATATAGGGACCAAAGGAAAGGGTCTGTGGTCGTCTCTGTAGTCAGTAGTGACTATATATTTAAGAACATAAGAATAAAGGTAACTGCAGAAGGCCTATAGGCCCATAGGAGGCAACTCCTATTTATATCTCATTCTCATTCATATATATGTCTAACCTACGCTTGAAACAATCAAGGGATCCTACTTCAATTATGTTACGCGGTAATTAGTTCCACACATCACCAACCCTGTTACCGAACCAGTATTTACCCAGGTTTTTCCTAAATCTAAACTTATTCAATGTTTACCCAATTTAAGACATGTTTCCAAGTCAGTGTCTTCATTTGTAATTATATTTCTTTTTTTTTTCATGCGAGTTGTAGCTTACCTAACAGTGTTTACACGGCCGTGCTTCAGCTATTGGGCCCTTGCTTTTCTAAACGTCAAACTTCCGACCCCTCTGCATATAGCTCTTGTAAATGAAGTATCTTGACAAATGCCTATGGTCCATCTCCGTGTTTCTCTTCCATGCATGTCTTCTCGTTGCTTTATTACTCAACCTGTCTCTTTTATTGAGACCCCTTGAGTATTTTCTACGTCTGGAACATGTCTATTTCAATTTCCACATTGGTGTTAATCCCTGCCATGTCTTGGTACCTCCCATGTCCTCCCAGTCTCTCCCATGTCTTGGTACCTCCCATGTCCTCCCAGTCTCTCCCATGTCTTGGTACCTCCCATGTCCTCCCAGTCTCTCCCATGTCTTGGTACCTCCCATGTCCTCCCAGTCTCTCCCATGTCTTGGTACCTCCCATGTCCTCCCAGTCTCTCCCATGGACCAGGTCCCTCTCATACTCACGTTCGGTAATGAATATACTAATATATAAATACGATATTCCATGTACAATGTTATTGTCAGTTTTATCTAAATAACAAATGTTCATGCTGTTCTTTTCTGTTCACAGAACTGCCTCCGGGATGCTCTCAACTTGGCCCACCTGGGTCATGAGAACAGGTTAGTAGTAGTAGAAGTAGAAGAAGTAGTAGAAGTAGTTATAGATAAACAACCATATAACAATATAACAACCATATAACAGTATTGAACAAAACATATTTACAGGCAGTTCATCAGTATTTGTTCACAACACAAAATTACATTTCACCTTTGTAAATGCACATTAATGACACTATGTAAAAGACACATCGAACACTTTATGTAGGGCAGACGTAAATCTGTATATCTATGTATTTACGTATGTAGGTTAGCTTAGCATTTTAAAAGCACCGAATCACCTTCTATGGTTGAGTGTTCAATGAACCCCTAGAACTATATATTTAACACGTCTCTAACCCTGTCCATGGAGGACAGAAGAAAATGTATATATATGCTAGTTAGCATTGTAAATGTCTGGCCATGTCTGTGGTAGAAAAAAAAAGGGGGGAATTGGCACAAAAGTTACAGTGGTCTCTGTAATCACGAATATTCGGTTGAAGGAAAGGTTCGTGTAGTGGTATAGGGATTGGTGCGTGTGTACCAGTCCAGTGGTATAGGTACTGGTGCGTGTGTATACCAGTCCCCGTGTGAGTGGGGGGGGGAGTGATTGGTGAGGACACTAGTAACTATGTGTCCTTAGTTGTGTGGGGGACACGGTATCTGTGTCATTGGTGTATTTACTTATATGTAGTTACAGGATGAGAGCTACGCTCGTGGTGTCCCGTCTTCCCAGTACTCTTTGTCGTATAATGCTTTGAAACTACTGACGGCTTTGTGTGTGTGTGTGCGTGTATGCATGTGTGTGTGTGTGTGTGTGTGTGTGTGTGTGTGTGTGTGTGTGTGTGTGTGTGTGTGTGTGTGTGTGTGTGTGAGGGACGTAGTGGGCATAAGTAAGCCTTAATTCCTGGGCCCTGCCTTCCCGGGAAACATATCACAGGCAGCGACGCCATTAATGTCTCACTTGATTACCTTAATAAAAGTTAAAAAAAAGGTGCTAAAAAATTATTAAAAACATTAAGAAAGCTATAACATTTATTTAAAAATAGTCGTTATTAAAAACTATTAAAAAAATATTTATGAAAGACCTTTTTAACTTTTTGTAATATGTCATTATGATATATTTTCCACTATTCAATCCAAATAAAAATGCAAAAAAAAAAAAAGATACAAAATAGGCTCGAAAAGGCCACAAACAGATGTTCAAAAAGTGCTCCATTGCACTACCCTACTTCCCTCATGTTGCAAAACAGCCCAAAATATCAGCAGCATTTACCAACAACAACCAAAAAAAAAAAAACAACAAAAAAAAAGTCTTTGAAGAGCATATGTAGAGTAGCTTCAAACGCCCATTTTTGACAATTTGTCTGTCATCCGGCCCAACCGTTTGTGCGTCTATGTGGGGTAATAGACAGCAGAAATATGTGGGTTAATAGACAGGACGGGGGGTGGGGGGTGTTAGGAGACGGGGGGTGGGGGGACGGGGGGTGGGGGGGGATATGTGGGGTAATAGCTGAGGTGTCTTCGTGAGAACTCGAGTGACAAAAACTAAGAGCCAGCTGTTGTGGCTGACAGCTCCGTGATGTTCTTCTCTGAGGGGCTGCAGGTGGTGCTGGTGGGGCTACGGGTGGTGATAGTGGGGCTACAGGTGGTGATAGTGGGGCTACAGGTGGTGATAGTGGGGCTACAGGTGGTGATAGTGGGGCTACAGGTGGTGACAGTGGTCCTACAGGTGGTGATAGTGGGCCTACAAGTGGTGATAGTGGTCCTACAGGTGGTGATAGTGGTCCTACAGGTGGTGACAGTGGTCCTACAGGTGGTGATAGTGGGCCTACAAGTGGTGATAGTGGTCCTACAGGTGGTGATAGTGGTCCTACAGGTGGTGATAGTGGGCCTACAAGTGGTGATAGTGGTCCTACAGGTGGTGATAGTGGTCCTACAGGTGGTGATAGTGGGGCTACAGGTGGTGATAGTGGTCCTACAGGTGGTGATAGTGGTCCTACAGGTGGTGATAGTGGTCCTACAGGTGGTGATAGTGGGGCTACAGGTGGTGACAGTGGTCCTACAGGTGGTGATAGTGGTCCTACAGGTGGTGATAGTGGTCCTACAGGTGGTGATAGTGGTCCTACAGATGGTGATAGCCTACAGGTGGTGATGGTGGTAGCTAAGGGAGTGGGGGTCCAAGTAGTGAAGGCTAACACAGATAAAGATGGGTCCAGCTCACAAGTATGATCCACTAGACTCTAGTGGCATGTATGTGGCTCTGGGCAATTTAAGGCGACTCCCAAGTAGCTCATGAACGTAAAATATATTTAGGCATACGTTTGGTAAGCGAGCCTATAAGGATACAGGTGCTATTCCTTCTTGGGACGAGGTAAATCCGTACAAAATGCGACGTATTAATAAACGTTAAACCACCCTAATATTGACGATGTTTTTCTATGCCTGGACCTCGTAGGTTAGGGGGGATGCTTGGGTTCGTACGTTTCTGGTTAGGCAAAACAACTGCATTTTTTGTACGAAAACAAAATTAAATATTTATGAAACAATTAAACCAATCAACTAAACCATATAAACATGTGTGTGTGTGTGTGTGTGTGTGTGTGTGTGTGTGTGTGTGTGTGTGTGTGTGTGTGTGTGTGTGTGTGTGTGTGTGTATATTTCATAATTATTTAATATAAAACACAACTATTCACCGCACCGAAACTCTTCGTATATTAAATCACCAAAATACAAACACACACACATCCTTTCATATACTATTTGTTTACCTTCTCGATCACTAATCATTAACGTTTCTCTCATTATTATTAATAAAACAACAAATTCCATCTTCCACAGCCGCTCTGTTTACGTTTGCGGCTCTGGTGCTGCGTTGCCACGTTGTGAGTATAAACACCCGCTCCAGCGGTGCCACGTCTCGTTAGTCGGAGTAGACGGCCCTGCTGACTTATGGAAGAAACTTAATTCTCTTATGTGTTAATTTTGAGTGATGTGTCAAACACCAGCAAGGAATATTCCTTGTCCGGGGGGGGGAGGGGCATATTTCTTCCCCTTCCCTCGGCATAGCGCCTCGAGGAATATTCCTTTCTCTTAACTTTGCCCTTCCAAGACATTTGCTATGGTCATTAAGGCCATAGCAAATCGATGAAATTAAGAAATCTACCTATTTCTTACCTCAAGGTAAACTTTGCCCTTAAGATCTAAGTCAGCTATTAGTGCGTGTAGGGTTTCTCCTCCGTTTTCTGTGTTGACTAAATATAAACAAGAATGCAGTTTTTTTATCTTTAAGTTTTCAAGTGATTAAGTATTTTTTTTTTTTTAGCATATCATGCCACATGGTGTTAATGTTTGTGTGGTTTAGTTCAATGTTTTATGGTTTAGTTCAATGCTTTATTGTTTCGTTCAATGCTTTATTGTTTAGTTCAATGTGTTATTGTTTAGTTCAATGCTTTATTGTTTCGTTCAATGCTTTATTGTTTAGTTCAATGGTTTATTGTTTAGTTCAATGTTTTATTATTTAGTTCAATGTTTTTATTCTTAGTGTTATGTTTAATTCAATGTCTTTGTTTAGTTCATTGTTTTCTGTTTAGTTCACTGATGAACGAGTGAACACTGAGAGTACCAGATGTGTTCACTGCTGAATGAGTGAACACTGAGAGTACCAGATGTGTTCACTGATGATCGTGTGAACACTGAGAGTACCAGATGTGTTCACTGATGATCGTGTGAACACTGAGAGTACCAGATGTGTTCACCGATGATCGTGTGAACAGGAATGATAATTATTCGACTAAAGAAAACTGCTAAAGTGTGATCAATTATAATTGGATTAGCGAAAGTAAAGTATTAAAGATGAATAATCGAAGTATAATGAAGAAACGAAAATGAACTTTGAAAGTGAATGACCAATTAAAGGCTGACGAGCAGTTGGAACATGAATAATTAATGGTGCAATTTGTGTGTTATCATGTCTGATAGTGAAGGAAAATGAATGAAAATGAAGACTAAAAAAAAAGGATCATGAGAAATATGAATGATGAAAGTGATATTAAAAGTATTTATGTGCGATATTATAATTAATAATTATAAAAAGAAAATGACTAACGTGGGTAATAATTATACATGAGTGTTTATTATCAAGAATAATTCAGAAATGAAAGTGATTGATTTCAGTAATAACTGACCCATCAAAATGATTGATAGAAGAATGATGACTGAAAATTCAGACATGGCTGAAAATGACTGAACATGGACAGCAAAAGTGAATGCAAGTGAATATGATTCGTGAAGCTCATTAGTATGTAGAAAACAAAAGCCATATCTATTGAATGGTCCAGGACGGACCGAAACGTCGTCGTCCCTTCAATTTCTAGTGTGTGGTATTCACTAGTATGAACAAAAGCCATATCTATTGAATTTGAAATTATTCACTTTGAACAAACAAGTTATAACTTAATAACTATAATGTTTATATGTGTTGCATTCTAGTAATTCTCTCAATACGTGATTTGATTAATGAATTACAGTGATGATTAAGATGTTTGGGAAGATGATAATATCAGGCCTGTTGATGAGGTGAACTCCTCTTATCTGGTCAGGTCAAGTCAGGTCAAATCGGGTCAAGTTGAATAAGGTTTAAGTGTCAAAATATATCTTTCTCCATCCTCTCTCCAGGTCACCGCTCAAGGGGAAGATGAGTCCGTCTCCAACGCCCTTACAGCAGGTAGGTCAAAGGGTCAAAGGTTATCACGGACCTCCACAATCACCCCCCCTCTCCCCCCCCCCCCCCCGACCTTGCCACTGCCTTAATCCTCTTTCTATTACCTCTTTCACCTACCTTTAAGGTTCCCTCCCTCCCAGGAAGGGGGAGGGGGGTAGAAATAGCCTAAGCTACTCTATCCCTTTGAGATGTATTTCTTTCTTATCTCAATAAACTTGAACTTGATCCCTCCCTTCTCTGTCTTTCAACTCTTTTCCATTTCCCTTTGTCTCTTCCCCCTCTTCCTTTTCCCCTTTCTCCCTCTCCCCTCTCCTCCCGTTTCCCCTCAGATAGTTAGATAGAAAAACGACACAAGGAGAATAGTGAAAAGTACAAATACAAATCGACGCGAAAACTTTGCAGTGACCAGAAACTTTCAGGTCCATCAATGAGCGGTGAAAATGACTTGGTACAGACCCATAGACTAAATAAACCATTGACTGAAGAATTTTTCAAAGACCGTCCTAAGATTTTGGCATACTGATGCCGCCTTTAAGAAATACTCAAAGGACTTCTCGATTCAATTCAAGAAACTTCATATATAACTCCCTTCATTAATTACTCATTACGCTATACATTATATGAAATATAGAATTTAATTAAATAGATCTGAATAAGGATTTTTTTTTTGCAAATTATTAACTGACATTTTTGATAGGTCAAGCTAATGACACTAATGATTATTTCTACCAGGTTGGTAAGGTGGTTTCAGTAAGCCAGCGGGGACCACACTGACCCCCCCAGTTGACCTCTGGTGATAAGTATTTGACCTCTCGTGACCTGTGAGCTGGTAACTGACCCGAAGGACGTCTCCACCAATAGTAACCTCTTGTTGCCTCAAATGAGCTTATCTACAATTGGTTTAAGCTCACCTGATCGTTCGTTTGTTTCCAGCTTAGCTGACCTTGATCTTTGACCTCGACGAACTTGACCTCATCTGACCTCAATCTCCTCTAACTCGAGACACTTGACAATCTGACAACAGTTTCTTTTCATGTAATTTTTCCAATAATTTATAATTGCATTATACATCATATTCCTTTGTGTTTAATATAGTAATTATTTTGTAATTTTGTACAGATTATCATTTTAATCAGATTTTAATTTTAAAATCAGGATAATCACAAAAAAAAATTAATTAAATTTTCAGCCAGATTACATTTTTGTAAATGATTCCTTATTTTTCATCTTGATTACATTTTATAAATCTGATTACAATTGAATAAAATTCGACTAAAAAGCGATTTGTCAGATAATTTTTAATTTTTCATATAAAATTTATTTGATAAATTATATTTTTTATTCAGAATAAAATTGCTCTCAATTATGCTGCATTTATTTTCAGTCAGATTAAACTTATTTGTAATAAAATTAAACTTATTTTGTAATCAAATTAAACTTATTTGTAATCAAATTAAACTTATTTGTAATCAAATTAAACTTATTTGTAATCAAATTAAACTTTATTTTCAATCAGATTAAACTTATTTCCAGTTAGATTAAACATATTTTTGTCAGATTAAAAGAAATCAATCAGATTTAAACTAAAGGTTGGTAACTTACATTTAGTTAAAAAAAATTTAACTAAAATAAAAAATTAACAAAATTACTGAAACCCACTCAAACGACTAAGAAGGAAAAACACTACTAAAACCCACTCAGACGACTAAGAAGGAAAAACACTACTAAAACCCACTCAGACGACTAAGAAGGAAAAACACTACTATAACACACTCAGACGACTAAGAAGGAAAAACACTACTATAACACACTCAGACGACTAAGAAGGAAAAACACTACTAAAACACACTCAGACGACTAAGAAGGAAAAACACTACTAAAACACACTCAGACGACTAAGAAGCAAAAACACTACTAAAACACACTCAGACGACAAGCAATAAAAACACACTACTAAAACACTCAGACGACTAAGTTAAAAAAAAACTACTAAAACACACTCAGACGACACACAGGAAAACACACACACATAACACAATCGAATCGACACTCAGAGCCACAGCCACAGAAACGTTACTATGACACACAAAGACGACTAAGAAAGACACTTATAACAGTGTCAGACGACTTAGTAAATGGAACACTACTAAAACCCACTCAGATGTGGTGGAGGCTGACTACTATACACACACTCAGACGTAGCAATAAAAAGAGCCTAATAGGCTCAGATTGAATCTGTTAAAAATTGAACATTGAAAGGCGGGAGCAAACAGCCACAGCTCAACCCACACACACACAATTAGGTGAGTACAATTAGGTGAGTACACACACACACACACACACATGGCCATGCATGATACAGCATTAAACTACAGAAATGTTTTCCGTAGGGCAGTCGTCTACGTTCTCGGCTCACAACCGAGTGATCTTGGTTCAATCCCCCGGGCAGGGCAGAAACGGTTGGGCATATTCCCTCTCACCTAATGCCTCTGTTCACCTAGCAGTTAGATAAGTACCTTGGAGTTAGACAACTGTTGTGGGTTGCATCCTAGGAAAGGTCAGTACTTAGTCCAAGGGAAACGTTGATAAACCTAAGTTCTTCAAATTAATATATCCTTAATGATCTCTCATCGGAACGAAGGTCACAGACACATATGACCTTGGGTCAATTATCAATTATACGTGGCCTCACACACATAACATATGACCCCCTATTTGACCCTGAGAGCCCCCTACCCCTTCCTGAGAGGGATACTACAACCTAGATTATCCCTAATTGACCTCTGACCCCACACAATGACATTCACTGACCTGTATTGTCTTGCCCGCAGCTGTGATCATCAATCTGGGAGACGGAGACAACGATATGATAGTTGGGGAGGCTGGTGCCGATTATCCTGTCCACCCTCGCGTCCCTGAAACAAGTTTCAGGTCAGTATGATGTAATTCAGGTCACTGTAGTGTAATTCAGGTCACTGTGGTGTAATTCAGGTCACTGTGGTGTAATTCAGGTCACTGTGGTGTAATTCAGGTCACTGTGGTGTAATTCAGGTCACTGTGGTGTAATTCAGGTCACTGTGATGTAATTCAGGTCACTGTGGTGTAATTCAGGTCACTGTGATGTAATTCAGGTCACTGTGGTGTAATTCAGGTCACTGTGGTGTAATTCAGGTCACTGTGATGTAATTCAGGTCACTGTGGTGTAATTCAGGTCACTGTGGTGTAATTCAGGTCACTGTGGTGTAATTCAGGTCACTGTGATGTAATTCAGGTCACTGTGATGTAATTCAGGTCACTGTGATGTAATTCAGGTCACTGTGGTGTAATTCAGGTCACTGTGATAAAATAAAACATAAGAATTGATGAACCTGCAGAAGGCAGAAGGTCCATACAAGGCAGAGCCTATTTATATCCACCCAAACTCATTCATATATGTGTCTAAGCTACGCTTGAAACAATCCCGCGATCCCACATGTAATATGTTACCCTGCATTTTTTTTCTCAGCATTAAACAACAACTGCAACTCTTTCGTCTATTTTGAAAGCGTATCTAAATGGTCTTGTAACAATTTTGTGTCTTGTTCGGAATTAATCACCAACACTAATTTTGCATCAAATGCTAATTTGCAAATATATCTTTTCAGTCCTGTGTTTGAATAATTATATATATATATATATATATATATATATATATATATATATATATATATATATATATATATATATATATATATATATATATATTATTAAATATGACCGAAAAAGTAAGATTAATAATTCTAACACGAATTTTCTCAATCTTTCGTACATTTCTTTTCACTGTTGGAGGTAATTCAAAAATCAATTCTCCAAAATTCATTTTTATTTCTTTTGGAGAATTTTGGAGAATTGATTTTTGAATTATTACCTCCAACAGTGAAAAGAAATGTACGAAAAATTGAGAAAATTCGCGTTAGAATTATTAATCTTACTTTTTCGGTCATATTTAATAATATATGTCTACAGGAAAGACTGCTACCAAAATATACTATATATATATATATATATATATATATATATATATATATATATATATATATATATATATATATATATATATATATATATATATATATATATATATATATATATATTATAAACCGCAAAGGTCCCAGGACAGTGCCCCGGGGCACACCACGTACAACTCTCTCCTTCTTGGATTTGCCTCCATTTATTCAACTCTCTTCTTTCTTTGCAACAAGCAACTTTTAATCCACCTTAGAATACCTTCCCCAGTCCAAATACCATATGCTTCTCACTTTTCAACGCGATTCACGCTAGGCTCAGTCTGAGAGGCCTGGCTAAAGTCAAGCCTTAGAATTTCACACTCCTTTTCTGCTATCAGCTGCTCCAAGCACAGCAGAAACGAATGGAAGTAAATTTGTTAAACATGAGCGGAGTTAGTAAAACCTTGTTGGGACTTCTTTATTAATCTATTTTTTCAAGATGTTAATGAATGGATTTTGTGATTATCGATTCAAGCAGTTTTCCTTACAATAGATTTTAGACTAATTAGTCGGTAGAGACAAGTGATCTATTTCCATTCTTAAAAAATAAGGGACCACGTTAGCAACCATCCATGCTTCTGGTACTGTTCGACTCTAATGGTTTATTTAAATATGGAACACAAGGGTTCAGTAAGCTCTTCTTTACTCTGTTTCCTCTCTTCTCCTCGTTCTCTCTCTCTCTCTCTCTCTCTCTCTCTCTCTCTCTCTCTCTCTCTCTCTCTCTCTCTCTCTCTCTCTCTCTCTCTCTCTCTCTCTCTCTCTCTCACACTCACTCTCTCACTCACACACACACACACACACACACACACACACACACACACACTCTTTCATACTTTGCTAAATACATAGTGCATATTCTTTTCCAATAAACGATCACATTAAGAAAACATACAGCTGACACTACAGTTTTCCTTACTGGAGAAAAAAAGCGTCATTGTCATTATAAAGCAAAGTTTTATAGGGAAGAAAATATGAACACGTGACTTGCATTCCCTTTTATATAGTGCGAGTTCATCACGTTCATCAGTTCTTCACGCACAGTTATTGACTCTCTTAGTTAACTATTGCTTCCGTGTCTTCAGATGCGAGGAGCAAGAGTCGCCTGGGTACTACGCCGACCCGGAAACAGACTGTCAGGTCTTCCACATCTGCGTAGGGCGCCAACGAAGAGTTCGACAGTATTCCTTCCTCTGCCCGAACGGCACCATCTTCAGTCAGCAGTACCTGGTGTGCGTCTGGTGGTACGACTTCGACTGCGACCTCGCCACCACCTACTACAGCGTCAACGTGGCTCTCTTCGCGGACACCCCGATGCCTTCCTTTCCCCGATCTGGCGAGACCTTCATCGGTGTGGATCTTCGCTCTGGCGGGGCTGCGCAAGTTGGTGGGGGTGCAGGAGGGGCTGACTCAACAGGAAGGCAGCTCAGTTCTAAACAAGGAGGGCCTGGATTAGCAGGAAGGCAGCTCAGTTCCAAACAAGGAGGGGCTGGATTAGCAGGAAGGCAGCTCAGTTCCAAACAAGGAGGGCCTGGATTAGCAGGAAGGCAGCTCAGTTCCAAACAAGGAGGGCCTGGATTAGTAGGAAGGCAGGTCAGTTCTAAACAAGGAGGACCTGACTCAACAGCACGACCGCCCATATCAACAGGAAGACCGCCCATTTCAACAGGAAGACCGCCCATTTCAACGGGAAGACCCCTCATTCAAACAGGAAAACCACCCATTTCAACGAGAAGACCGCCCATTTCAACAGGACGACCACCCATTTCAACACGAGGAAGCCAGCCCGATTCCTCAAGAGGTTCTTCAGGTGACTTCGACGATCAAAGTGGCTTCGATTCTCCAAACCTACTGGGAAACAGCATCAGAGACAACGGTTTCGGTCCAGGCCTCAATGGTTTTGGTCTTCCAAGGAGTCAGACCAAACTGAGCCCGAGGCTACAGCCCAGTGGCTTCGGGGCTGAAGAAGACGAGGAGAAAAGTAGACACGATTCAGGGAAGGAATATGAAGGTTCAAGTCAAGAAGAATTAAGATTCGGCTCAGATCAAAGACAAGAAGGATTCGGTTCAGATCAGGGACAAGAAGGATTCGGCTCAGATCAGGGACAAGAAGGATTCGGTTCAGATCAGGGACAAGAAGGATTCGGCTCAGATCAGGGACAAGAAGGATTCGGCTCAGATCAGGGACAAAGAGGATTCGGCTCAGATCATGGACAAGAAGGATTCGGCTCAGATCAGGGACAAGAAGGATTCGGTTCAGATCATGGACAAGAAGGATTCGGCTCAGATCAGGGACAAGAAGGATTCGGCTCAGATCAGGGACAAGAAGGATTCGGCTCAGATCAGGGACAAGAAGGATTCGGCTCAGATCAGGGACAAGAAGGATTCGGCTCAGATCAGGGACAAGAAGGATTCGGCTCAGATCAGGGACAAGTAGGATTTGGCTCAGATCAAGGACAAGAAGGATTCGGCTCAGATCAAGGACAAGAAGGATTTGGCTCAGATCAGGGACAAGAAGGATTCGGCTCAGATCAAGGACAAGAAGGATTCGGCTCAGATCAGGGACAAGAAGGATTCGGCTCAGATCAGGGACAAGAAGGATTCAGCTCATCTCTAGGACAAGGATTCGGCTCAGATCAGGGACAAGGAGAATTCGGCTCATCTCTAGGACAAGGATTCGGCTCAGATCAGGGACAAGAAGGATTCGGCTCATCTCTAGGACAAGGATTCGGCTCAGATCAGGGACAAGAAGGATTCGGCTCAGATCAGGGACAAGAAGGATTCGGCTCAGATCAGGGACAAGAAGGATTCGGCTCAGATCAGGGACAAGAAGGATTCGGCTCAGATCAGGGACAAGGAGGATTCGGTTCAGATCAAGGACAAAGAGGATTCGGCTCAGATCAAGGACAAGGAGGATTCGGCTCAGATCAGGGACAAGGAGGATTCGGCTCAGATCAGAGACAAGAAGGAGTCGGCTCAGATCAGGGACAAGAAGGATTCGGCTTAGATAAGGGACAAGAAGGATTCGGCTCAGATCAAGGACAAGAAGGATTCGGCTCAGATCAGAATCCAGGGCAGAAATCGCAGGAAACCGGATCTGGCTTGGATCATGAACAGGAGTTCCATTCAGAACAGGAACAAACAGGAATTATTTCGAATCAAAAACTTGAGGGACATTGATGATAACCAGGTAAGAACAGGATTCGATACTGTCCAAGAACAGGGAGGATATAGTAGTGGCCAAGAACAGGAAGGATTTGGAACTGCCCAAGAACAGGGAGGATTTGGAACTGTCCAGGAACAGGGAGGATTTGGTACTCTCCAGGAACAGGGAGGATTTGGTACTGTCCAGGAACAGGGAGGATTTGGTACTGTCCAGGAACAGGGAGGATTTGGTACTGTCCAGGAACAGGGAGGATTTGGTACTGTCCAGGAACAGGGAGGATTTGGAACTGTCCAGGAACAGGGAGGATTTGGAACTGTCCAGGAACAGGGAGGATTTGGTACTGTCCAGGAACAGGGAGGATTTGGAACTGTCCAGGAACAGGGAGGATTTGGAACTGTCCAGGAACAGGGAGGATTTGGAACTGTCCAGGAACAGGGAGGATTTGGTACTGTCCAGGAACAGGGAGGATTTGGTACTGTCCAGGAACAGGGAGGATTTGGTACTGTCCAGGAACAGGGAGGATTTGGTACTGTCCAAGAACAGGGAGGATTTGGTACTGTCCAGGAACAGGGAGGATTTGGTACTGTCCAGGAACAGGGAGGATTTGGTACTGTCCAGGAACAGGGAGGATTTGGTACTGTCCAAGAACAGGGAGGATTTGGTACTGTCCAAGAACAGGGAGGATTTGGTACTGTCCAGGAACAGGGAGGATTTGGTACTGGAACAGGGAGGATTTGGTACTGTCCAGGAACAGGGAGGATTTGGTACTGTCCAGGAACAGGGAGGATTTGGTACTGTTCAGGAACAGGGAGGATTTGGTACTGTCCAAGAACTTGGAAGATTTGATACTGTCCAGGAACAGGGAGGATTTGGAACTGTCCAAGAACAGGGAGGATTTGGTACTGTTCAGGAACAGGGAGGATTTGGAACTGTCCAAGAACAGGGAGGATTTGGTACTGTTCAGGAACAGGGAGGATTTGGAAGTGGCAAAGAAGACGAAGGATTTGGTATCAACGAAGAACAAAGAGGATTTGGTAGTGGAAAAGAACATAGAGGATTTGGTACTGACCAAGAACAGGGAGGATATAATAGTGGTCAAGAACAGGTTGGATTAGGTTCTGGACAAGAACAGGGAGGATTTGGCCCTGTCCAAACACAGGAAGGATTTAGTTCTGGCCAAACTCAGGGAGGATTTAGTTCTGGCCAAACACAGGAAGGATTTAGTTCTGGCCAAACTCAGGAAGGATTTAGTTCTGGCCAAACACAGGAAGGATTTAGTTCTGGCCAAACACAGGAAGGATTTAGTTCTGGCCAAACTCAGGGAGGATTTAGTTCTGGCCAAACACAGGAAGGATTTAGTTCTGGCCAAACTCAGGAAGGATTTAGTTCTGGCCAAACACAGGAAGGATTTAGTTCTGGCCAAACACAGGAAGGATTTAGTTCTGGCCAAACTCAGGGAGGATTTAGTTCTGGCCAAACACAGGAAGGATTTAGTTCTGGCCAAACTCAGGGAGGATTTAGTTCTGGCCAAACCCAGGAAGGATTTAGTTCTGGCCAAACCCAGGAAGGATTTAGTTCTGGCCAAACACAGGAAGGATTTAGTTCTGGCCAAACTCAGGGAGGATTTAGTTCTGGCCAAACACAGGAAGGATTTAGTTCTGGCCAAACTCAGGGAGGATTTAGTTCTGGCCAAACACAGGAAGGATTTAGTTCTGGCCAAACCCAGGAAGGATTTAGTTCTGGCCAAACTCAGGGAGGATTTAGTTCTGGCCAAACACAGGAAGGATTTAGTTCTGGCCAAACACAGGAAGGATTTAGTTCTGGCCAAACTCAGGGAGGATTTAGTTCTGGCCAAACACAGGAAGGATTTAGTTCTGGCCAAACACAGGAAGGATTTAGTTCTGGCCAAACACAGGAAGGATTTAGTTCTGGCCAAACACTGGAAGGATTTAGTTCTGGCCAAACACTGGAAGGATTTAGTTCTGGCCAAACACTGGAAGGATTTAGTTCTGGCCAAACACTGGAAGGATTTAGTTCTGGCCAAACACTGGAAGGATTTAGTTCTGGCCAAACACAGGAAGGATTTAGTTCTGGCCAAACACAGGAAGGATTTAGTTCTGGCCAAACACTGGAAGGATTTAGTTCTGGCCAAACACAGGAAGGATTTAGTTCTGGCCAAACACTGGAAGGATTTAGTTCTGGCCAAACACAGGAAGGATTTGGTTCTGGCCAAACACTGGAAGGATTTAGTTCTGGCCAAACACAGGAAGGATTTGGTTCTGGCCAAACACTGGAAGGATTTAGTTCTGGCCAAACACAAGAAGGATTTAGTTCTGGCCAAACACTGGAAGGATTTAGTTCTGGCCAAACCCAGGAAGGATTTGGTTCTGGCCAAACACAAGAAGGATTTGGTTCTGGCCAAACACAGGAAGGATTTGGTTCTGGCCAAACACAGGAAGGATTTAGTTCTGGCCAAACACAGGAAGGATTTAGTTCTGGCCAAACACAGGAAGGATTTAGTTCTGGCCAAACACAGGAAGGATTTAGTTCTGGCCAAACACAGGTAAGATTTGGAACTACCCAAGAACAGAAAGAATTTGGTGTTAGTCAAGAACAGGAAGGATTTGGTAGTGACCAAACACAAAAAGGATATAGTATTGGCCAAGAACAGAAAGGATTCGAATCAAAGGGGGAAACAGAAGGATTTGACACGAATCAGGGCTCAGTTGGTGCGCCATCTGCTTTGGGACAAGGCAGTTCAGATCCAACTGGAATGAACTTTATCAAGGAAGTGGGTGCCTCTGGGCAAACTGCCTTTGGTCAAGGTGATCTGACGCAAGGAGGCGGCTTAGTTTCAGTCCGAGATCACGATGACTCTGCCTTAGGCCAGACTAGATCAGGTGCCCAGAGTCAGCAAGACTTTGCATCAGGTGCCCAGAGTCAGCAAGACTTTGCATCAGGTGCCCAGAGTCAGCAAGACTTTGCATCAGGTGCCCAGAGTCAGCAAGACTTTGCATCAGGTGCCCAGAGTCAGCAAGACTTTGCATCAGGTGCCCAGAGTCAGCAAGACTTTGCATCAGGCCAATTCAGTAGCAGCAGCTCTGGTGGCACTGGACACGGTACTCTCAGTCAGGTTGCCTTTGGTCAGAGTGCCACCAGTGGACTGGGTCAGCAAGGCCAAGATTCGAACATAGGGGAGAAAGGGTATAGCGTCTCCGGTCCTGGAATCGACCCCAAGTCACAGCCATCAAGTTCCATCAGTGATGAAATATCTGCAAATTTAGACTCCAGAACCGTGAATATAAAAAGCGAGGTGATCTTGAATGGCGACCAAGGCTCCTCTATCAGTTCTCATAGTAATGAGTACCAGGCCAATAGTGGCTTTCAGAGTACCGGTATCAATAGCGTCCAGGGTGTAGGTTCCTTAGTTAATACTGGCACTGTGGCCGGTAGCGGGCCTGCTGGTCAGCAGGATGGGGTTCAAGAGCAGGTCTTCCGGGATTCAGGAAGTTTCTCCACGACAGGTACTCTTAAGGGTAATGAGGTACTCTTAATTGATGGTTTCGTAAACAGCCAAAATAATCAAAATCAATTCCAAAGCCAAAATCAATACCAAAGTAACCAAGTGGAGGGTTTACAAAATCAAGGTCAATTCGAAACCTCTCAAAATCAGCTTCAGAGTAGCCAAACTTTGTTCCAGGGAAACCATGGGCAGTTGCCAGAACAGGATCAACACAAAAGTTTCCAGAGTCAATCCCAGAGCAGCCAAGGCTTTCAGAGTCAGCTCCAGAGCAACATAAACCAGCAAAACACAGATGTACTCCAAGCTTCACGAGGTTATAATTACAATACCCCACAATCACAGGCTGTACCCAAATCTGGCAATGTGGTACAACCAGCCAGTGATATTGAGAAAGACGTCCAAGAACCTGTCCCTCAAGGCATCTCCGATAATTTGTCTACCACTGCGGGGGATTCTGAATTTGTTGTTGACATCCGAACAGCTATTTTGAGCCAAATCGCATCAGCTTCCAAAAATGAAAACCCAACACCTGAGCCTACGTTCAGCCCAGTTGAGCCTAGCATCCAGACAGGGCCATCGACTAGCCAGGACCAACTTCCTAGCAGCAAAGTTCCATTCCAGAGCAGCCAGGCTCAATTCCAAGGAAATCAGAATGAGTTCCAGAGCAATATCACGTCATCGCATCTTGTTCCTGGGTCTGGTATGGTGATAGAACCAGCCAGTGATATCCAAAAAAGCGTCCAAGGATCTGTCCTTGTCCTTCACATGGATTCAAATAATAGAGTTATCAATCCTGGGGATTCTGCATTTACCGTTGATGATCGGATAAGTTTTCCAAGCCAGAGTAAACCATATTCCAACAATGAAACCCCAACACCTGAACCTGAACCAGGGTTTAGTCCGGTGCAGCCAGGCAGCCAATCAGAAATATCAGTTGATCAGAACCAATTTCAAAGCAGCCACGTTCAGTTCAAAAGTTTTCAGAGTCAGCTCCAGAGCAACTTAAACCAGCAAAACACAGATATACTCCAAGCTTCACGAAGTTATAATTACAATACCCCACAATCACAGGTTGTACCCAACTCTGGCAATGTGGTACAACCAGCCAGTGATATTGAGAAAGACGTCCAAGAACCTGTCCCTCAAGGCATCTCCGATGATTTGTCTACCACTGCGGGGGATTCTGAATTTGTTGTTGACATCCGAACTGCTATTTTAAGCCAAATCGCATCAGCTTCCAATGATGAAAACCCAACACCTGAGCCTACGTTCACCCCAGTTGAGCCTAGCATCCAGACAGGGCCATCGACTAGTAAGGACCAACTTCCTAGTAGCAAAGATCAATTCCAAAGCCAAGTATTTCAAGATTTCAATTTCAAGACCCCATCAGCACACCAGGGTGTTGTGGCACAACCAGCCAGCAATATGCAAAGTGGCTTCCAGGTAATATTGGAACCAGGCATCTCACCAGATTCATCCCCCTCTACTGCGGGTTCTGGATTTTTCATTCACGATAGTTCAGGTCCTTCGAACCAGATTGACTCATCACCCAGGCAAGAAGACCCAACACCTGAGCCAACCTTCAGCCCAGGTCAACCCGGCAGCCTAACAGAAGCAGTGGTTGTGCCTGTGGAACCTGTCAGGATGGGTGGCACTGGTTCACTAGGGTTCACTGCAGTTCACTTGGGTACTCAGCAAGGAAGTAGCACCTTGGGGACAGGCATCAGATCTTCAGGAGGCGCCACTAGTGTCGCATTTGATCTTACTCCTTTAAGATCGTATATCCCACCCACCAGGGAGTTCACTCCTTCCAAACCTGCTGACTCGCATGGTACCAGAGTCGTATTCCAATCAGCTACTAGCGACAAATCCTCACAGAGTTCCTCCTTATCTCCTGCTCCTCTCTCTCATACCAACAACCTCAAGCAGGAAGTCTTAGCTCCTGTTACCCAACAGCAACAATCATTCACATTCCCAACGCAACATGGTGTCGCATCCTCTGGTGACCTGTCGGCCCTCCTTCAGGGATACCTCCCACCTATTAACGACATCTCACAAGTCAGAACAAGCACCATCCTCTCCTCCCCACCATTGCCCTCATCGTCGGTATCGGCAGGATCTTCGTTTACAAGTTCCTCCCCACCATTGCCCTCATCGTCGGTATCGGCAGGATCTTTGTTTACAAGTTCCTTCCCACCATTGCCCTCCTCGTCGGTATCGGCAGGATCTTTGTTTACAAGTTCCTCCCCACCATTGCCCTCCTCGTCGGTATCGGCAGGATCTTCGTTTACAAGTTCTTCCCCACCATTGCCCTCCTCGTCGGTATCGGCAGGATCTTCGTTTACAAGTTCCTCCCCACCATTGCCCTCCTCGTCGGTATCGGCAGGATCTTCGTTTACAAGTTCCTCCCCACCATTGCCCTCCTCGTCGGTATCGGCAGGATCTTCGTTTACAAGTTCTTCCCCATCAGTTCTAAGTTTCTCCAGTTCTCCAGACAACACTGTTCTTCACGGTTCTTCAGTGCCATCTTTCTCCTCCTCAACCTCCACGACAGGACAGGCATCTTACTCTGGTACTTCTCAAGGGCCAACGTCAAGTCTTATTTCCTCATTCTTTCCATCTCAATCGTTAGCACCGGCTTCTCATTCCTCGGCATCATCGAAGGTTTCATCACATGGGTCATCATCTTCATCATTCCTTTCTCTGTCTTCTTCTTCATCATCATCATCTACATCCCGTGGCTCATCATCGTCAGGCATTTCCATACTGCCCGCCATCACAGTGCCTATACACTCTGCGTCATCAGTATCTCTGCCCTCTAGCTCTGCCTCATCCCTCCTGTCTGAACTCAAAACCCATATGAACGAGCAGCAACAGGGCAATCAGATCCTCAAGCAGCAACAAGGAAATCAGATCCTCCTAATCAACGACAACGACGTCAAAAGCGGAGCTCCTGGGGGCGTCGTGTTGCCACTGGAGCAACACTACCTTCCCCCAGCAAGCAGACCAGATTCCCGTACTATACGACACATTAGCAGTGGCGGGAGGAAGATCTACGTCACACCAGTACCGGAAAAGGAGCATCGACAGGCGCATCAGCTTCAGCATCATCATCAGCAGCAGCAGCAGCAGCAGCAGCAGCAGCATCATCATCAGCAACAGCATCAGCAACATCAACAGGCGCAGCAGCAGCATCAACAGGCGCTGCAGCAGCATCAGCAACTGTCGACAGAGCGCCGCCAAACATTTCGTCCCTCAATACAACTCACTGCCAACATGAACACGAGGGAGTTCGCGCCAAAGAATCCGACACATTTGCTCGGGCGTGGATTCGTCCCACCCACACGAACGGGTGACGTTACCCGCAGCTCCTACGTACACCAAGCGTCCCTGGCGTCCACCTCCTCATTCCCAGCCAACAAATACAAGCTCTCCTGGAAACGCAACGGAGCGAGCCAAACATAAACAGCAACGCTATCGAGACAAATCTCGGGAATCGAGCGAAATTTAAGAAGCGTTAAGGTTGAGTGATAATGTGTGGAGTCTTAACACCAGGGGCATCAACACGTGCTCTTCTCACCCTGTCTTTCAGTGCAGAGTCCTTGCATCTTGCTGCCGTTTGCAAGGAAATGTATACGAGTCTAGGCTGAGGTATTATGAATCAAGTGTTAATGTGTATTTATAAACTTTAAGGTTCTTTGTGAGATTAGCTTAAAGAAACCACCAAATTTTGGGGGGGTAGAAATAGCCTAAGCTACTCTATCCCTTTGAGATGTAGTTTTATCTTATCTCAATAAACATACTTGAACTTGAACCACAAAAAAACATATTAAGTTTTTGGCCAAGTGCTCATAGATGAAAATAAATTGATTTGAGGTTTATTATGTATGACAATGCTTTACAAGGGCAAATTTGTAAACAAAACAACTTTTAAGAGCTACTGGATTTGTTTACTTCTCGAGAGAGGATTGCAATATGTATACTTCAAGGATTCTGCACAAAATCTGTCATTAAATTATTAACCCATTTTCTTGAGCCCTGTCGCAGCTGGCTAGCGACGAGGGTGTTGTTGTTGTGTGTTGTTGTTGTGAGTAGGGGGAGGGGGTTGTGAGCAAGTTGTTGAGAGTAGAGTATTATGTTGTGAATAAGTGGTTGTACGTGGAATGCTATGAGTAGGGTGTTGTTAACCGGGTGTTATGGGTAGGGTGCTTTAGATAGGGGTGTTGTGAATAGTGTGTTGTGAAAATGGGGTTGTGAGTAGTGTGTGTGTGGGGTGTGTAGAGAGCTGTTGACGTTACTGTACGCTTATATGTGTATCCTCAAGTTATATAATAAAAATGACTATTTTTTAATTAAATAACTGTGTTTAATTATCATCAAGTGATTTAACAAACGTGATCTTCTCAAGTTTACAATTAGGCTGGCAGATTAAGGAAAGGTAATTATGAGGAGAAAGCACCAAGCTACTACGAATGCATAGCACTTGGAAGGGATATGAGGCAGACTAAGTGCTGGGATATGAGAATAAAGAACTGGGATAAAACAGAGAAAGGAATAGTGGCCAGCATTGTACTGGCAGATGGAGGAATTTCACCTGCCTGTTTATAATGGTGTGTGATCTACAGTCATGAAGAAATAAATTGTTTATACAGTATATGAAAAATAAATCAATACATTATGGACCTTTAGCGACTCACTGCGCCACTCTGTATATGTGTAAATGTATATATATATATATATATATATATATATATATATATATATATATATATATATATATATATATATATATATATATATATATATTAGTATAATTTGGTAGCAGTCTTTCCTGTAGACATATATTATTAAATATGACCGAAAAAGTAAGATTAATAATTCTAACACGAATTTTCTCAATCTTTCGTACATTACGCTTCACTGTTGGAGGTAAAATTAAGTGGAGGTGAACACTGTTGGAGGTTTACCTCCAACAGTGAAGCGTAATGTACGAAAGATTGAGAAAATTCGTGTTAGAATTATTAATCTTACTTTTTCGGTCATATTTATATATATATATATATATATATATATATATATATATATATATATATATATATATATATATATATATATATATATATATATATATATAGAAGACAGTTTAACGAGGGGGATTTAAATAGATTTCTGGAAATGTTTACCCAAAATCTAAAATAAAAGAATGGAGCCAACTTGGATACGTTTACATTCAGAAACCATAGATGTAAACAATGGTTTAGAAATGGAACAGCTGGTCTGTTTAGTAATGTTCCTTCTATAAAGTTTCGGTCATCGGTTCTATACAAGTGACCAATGTAGTTTGCAGCCTCGCCATGGAAAGGCAGACGCATAAGAGAGAAAGGTCCCAAAATATGTAACAAGGCGCAGTAAATAGGTACCTGGGAGTTAGTCAGCTGTCACGGGCTGCTTCCTGGGGGTGGAGGCCTGGTCTAGGACCGGGCCGCGGGGACACTAAAGCCCCGAAATCATCTCAAGATAACCTCAAGATAGGCCTGAAACTGAACGCAGCCAAGGTCATGACGCTCATGACGCAATGAAGGGAGGATATGAACACTCAACAATTATCATCATGACACAATGAAGGGAGGATATGAACACTCAACAATTATCATCATGACACAATGAAGGGAGGATATGAACACTCAACAATTATCATCATGACACAATGAAGGGAGGATATGAACACTCAACAATTATCATCATGACACAATGAAGGGAGAGTATGAACACTCAACAATTATCATCATGACACAATGAAGGGAGAGTATGAACACTCAACAATTATCATCATGACACAATGAAGGGAGAGTATGAACACTCAACAATTATCATCATGACACAATGAAGGGAGAGTATGAACACTCAACAATTATCATCATGACACAATGAAGGGAGAGTATGAACACTCAACAATTATCATCATGACACAATGAGGGGAGAGTATGAACACTCAACAATTATCATCATGACACAATGAAGGGAGAGTATGAACACTCAACAATTATCATCATGACACAATGAAGGGAGAGTATGAACACTCAACAATTATCATCATGACACAATGAAGGGAGAGTATGAACACTATACAATGATCATGAAACAGGGAAGGGAAAGTAAAGAATTAATACCAATTAAGGTTGAGAAACCTATGGCCCCAAGGTACAGGATTACCTTGCCTAATCTTGCGGTCACTTTCTGATGGATTAGGGGATCAACGTCCCCGCGGTCCGGTCTCTGATCAGGCTTCCTGGTTCATGGTCTGGTCAACCAGGCTGTTGGTGGTCGCAGTTGTCATTTACACACATTACATTATAAATGCACAATCAATCTAACTATCATATATTAGTAATCCAAATTAGCCTAACTTATTTGAAATGTAGCCTAAAAAATAGCGGAAGATGACGCGCTATTGCAGTCACTGAGGTAGAAATAGCCTAAGCTACTCTATCCCTTTGAGATGTATTTCTTTCTTGTCTCAATAAAATACTTGAATTTGTAGCAGTGACATCTTAAAGAAATTGCGGATAAAACCTAGCAAGAAACCATCCCGCCCCTTTAGCTAGGTAGTTTAAGTATAGGGGATCAGATATTGCGCCACGACTAAAGACAAGATTAACCGGCCGGCCAGAGGGTATAAGAAGCCTCAGGTCAATTATCTACGCCAGTTACAGCCTCGCTCCTGTGCCATTAAGTCCTCTACGGGCTCACCATAGTCCGTGCTACTTGCAACTTTTTGTTCCCATTAGCTGAATCTATAACAACAACATTATCTACGCTCTACATCAGCTCCGCACGGGGGACTGAAGCCACAAGCTCTACACTACACTACAAGCAGCATTACAAGCTCTTCAATGGCTGACGCCGTCAAGATCTTCAAGAAGACTGCACCTAATGGTAAGAGCGAGTGTATTTGGGCGGATCTTGGGAGTTAAAATTGGTCACTGGGGTAACAAGGGGGGCAGTTATAAGGATCATTAGGTGGATGTAGAATTGCCTAGAGATTCTTAAATCTGCCCATTGCCTCTCATTATAACTCGTGAGTTATAATGGGGCCATAGGATAGCAAGGAGCAGTTTTAAGGATCACTAGATGGATCTTGTGAATTATAATGGTGATCATTGTAAGTGCATTTTGTGAGTCTTCAAGATAAGGGAGTGTCCAAATAATTTGCTTACAGGAACTATAAACAAATGATAGTTTATAACTATAAACCAACTCTACAGCTCTTTTTCATCGTGTTATGAAGGAAAAAGTAGTTCGTGAATATATTATGTTGTTATCATTCTCAAGCCTCTGTATCTATGAGGAAATATTAAGGCACTACGATGGGTTCGAATACACGGCCTTATAGACTCCCCAGACCCATGTAATACCGACAAATTTAATGTTTGCATGCAATATGTTGTTAATTTGTTGTTATAAGCTGTTGTGTGTGCTGCAACTTGATTGATTGGTCGTTTCTAAATGCATTCTGACTTTACTGTATATTTCTTGACTTGTTGAACATTTATTGTTCTTGTTGCATTGTCTATTTATATATGGAATGAATAGAACACCTTCGATACTGATGTAATATAATTAAGTAAATGATTTGTAATCTAAATCAAATTCAAAATACTTGAAAATGTAAAAATACCATGATGTACAAATAGGCACAAATAGCCTAAGGAAACATGATACAGCACAAATAGCCTAAGGAAACATGATACAGCACAAATAGCCTAAGGAAACATGATACAGCACAAATAGCCTAAGGAAACATGATACAGCACAAATAGCCTAAGGAAACATGATACAGCACAAATAGCCTAAGGAAACATGATACAGCACAAATAGCCTAAGGAAACATGATACAGCACAAATAGCCTAAGGAAACATGATACAGCACAAATAGCCTTCTTCTTGAGGTTATCTTCTTGAGATGATTTCGGGGCTTTAGTGTCCCCGCGGTCCGGTCCTCGACCAGGCCTCTACCCCCAGGAAGCAGCCCGTGACAGTTGACTAACACCCAGGTACCTATTTTACTGCTAGGTAACAGGGGCATAGGGTGAAAGAAACTCTGCCCAATGTTTCTCGCCGGCGCCTGGGATCGAACCCAGGACCACAGGATCACAAGTCCAGCGTGCTGTCCGCTCGGCCGACCGGCTCCCCTAGGGAAACCATGATTGCTATACCTATAGATAGCGAAGTCGAATGTCCATATATTGCTATATTTACGGTATGCATTGCTTAGGCTCATTTGAGAGGCTGGCGAGAGTCAGCAGACAAGAACTAGCTAGTTTTTTTACCTTGCAGGTAAGGTGACCGCTTACCTCACTCGGCGGGACTTTGTGGACCACCTCACCCACACCTCACCCGTGGATGGCGTGGTCGAGGTGGACCGTGACTACCTCCGTGGCAGGCGGGTCTTCGCTCGCGTCGCCGTCACGTATCGCTACGGACGCCCTCAAGATGAGGTGATGGGGCTGCCCTTCAGTAAGGAATTAGAGTTGGTTAACATCCAAGTTGCTCCCAATGTCAGTGACGAGGAGCTCACAAGTGCCCAAGACAGCCTCATCCAGAAACTTGGCGATAATGCCTACGCCTTCAGCGTCTCTCTGCCTCAGGACGCTCCCTGTTCTGTTACTATTGACAACGGGGACATGTCTGTAAGTATGAGATATTTATCCGTTTTATATATATATATTTGGCATAACATGGGTGGTGTTCCATAGGTCTGGAATTCTTTTTCATAAGTCTGGAACAATGTCATATTAGTCTGGCACTACGTGCCATTGGTCTGGAACACCATTACGGTGTTCCATAACACCTATGGAACACGCTTTGCATTTTCACATAATATATTCCTGTCAAATATTAAATGGTGATAATTTATACTCTCGCTAATCTTCATGATGCAATGTAACATGAATAATCTGTCGACTTTAACTTGACCAACAGAGCCATCCTATGGGTGTGATCTACGAGCTTAAGCTCTATGTGGCCAGCAGAAAGGTTGAGAGACCTCACAAGCATAACTCTGTGAGCTTTTCCGTGCGCCGGGTTCAGTTTGCCTCCCTCGAACACAATGTTTGCCGGCCCAAAACCTTGGTCAGCAAGAGCTTCACTTTCTCCCCCGGTAAGCTTGAGCTAGAAGCCAGCCTCGACAGGGGCATGTACTTCCACGGTGAGGTTGTGGAGGCTCATCTCAACATCAGCAACGCCTCCAAGAAAACTGTCAAGAACATCAAGGCTCAGATTGTACAGGACGTGCAGGTGACGATGACCAATACCCATTTAAGCCGGGTTGTGGCCTCCCTCGAGTCTCGCGAAGGTTGTCCCATCCTTCCTGGAGCGAAAGTCACCCAGACCCTCAGCCTAGCTCCCCTGGCTTCCTCCTACAAGAATCGCTTCGGGGTCGCCTACGACGGCCACATGAAGGACGAAGACGTCAACTTAGCCTCTTCTACCGTAATTCCTGCTGATAGAACCGCCAGTGACACCCTGGGCATTATTGTGTCCTACTCTCTCCGTGTGAAGCTAGACTGTGGCGCCCTTGCTGGTGAGCTGCCTGCAGACTTACCCTTCAGGCTTATGCACCCTGACCCTGGCGCTAATATGGCCACCCTCCGCAGAGTGAAGTTCACTGACATGGAAATTCGAAGACTTTGCTAGGCTACGACGCTCGTCGAAGAATGAACTATTCGTATAAAATTTCATTTGTGCTCTTTGTAAATTTTTGTAATTATATTTTGAAATTGGATTTTAGTTATGTAATTGGCTCCAAAAATTCCGGTGAACTTTGTTTCTGTTATTTTTATTATATATACATATATATATATATATATATATATATATATATATATATATATATATATATATATATATATATATATATATATATATATATATAATTTATTGAACGTTGAATTCTTAATAAAGTGAAAAAAAATATTTTGAGTATTTTTCTGCTCCCAAAATATTTTTGTAATTTGGATTTAAAAATATATTTGTATCATTTAAAATTGAAACTTTAATGTCCTAATACCATTCCACCTGGATCTACATCTCCTGATCACGGGATAACACACATGGATGCACAAACATTCCCAGGATTAACGCTGACCCAAATCCTCAGTATATTTCAATACCCTACAAAATAATATAACAATTCTATATCACCACCATTACACGGTTCATCATTGTACTCAAAGAATTTCTCTTAATAACGAAACGCTGAGCGTACTAGTGGCTTTACAAGACTGTAAATACCATGCTATGTATCCTCACAAACCCAATATACCTTCGTGTGTATATAAATAAATAAATAAAAAATAAATAAATAAATAAATAATATCTCCACGAAAATCAATGGTTCTTTGTCACTATTTAGCTGTCCCAGTGATACTGTGCCCAGTATCGCTGATACAGCTGATTATTTATGACCAGCATTGGCACAATAGTTAACAAGTTTAAGATCTCACTCCCTGTCCCTCACAGCGTCATTCAAACTCCTTCCAAACGATGTACAAAAGGCAAAATGTATTTTCATATCTCTTGCCCAATTCCTCAGTAAATTCAAGATGAGGCTTCCTTATACCTCATAGCTATATTACACAGTGTTTCTGTGTAATATAGCTATATTTTACAGTGTTATTGATGAGGCTTCTTTATACCTCATTGCTATATTAGTGTTTCTGTGTAATATAGCTATATTTCAGTGTTATTGATGAGGCTTCCTTATACCTCATAACTATATTACACAGTTTCTGTGTAATATAGCTATATTTCACAGTGTTTCTGCAGGAAATGCTATGCGTGTTAGTGGCTTTGCAAGAATGTAAAAACATCAATGCTCTGTAGTCTCATAAACCCAATGTACCTTCTTGTATATAAATAAATAAATCCTTGTCTAGACTGTGTCCACCATTGTCATACAAGTAATTCGTGTGATACTTTTTATTTTCTTGTCGTATAAAACTGATGACGATGGTGATGATGCCTCTCGGAACAGTAACATTGGATCGTGTAATCATCAATTAAAAAAATAAATTATATCATCCCTATACCTTAAGAAGAATTAAAAACAATAATAACTCCATGTTCAGATAGACGGCATCCGCTGGGCCGTCGCTGGCGACACTCGGCACCTCCCCCTCCCCCGGAGCACATAAATACCTCGAGCTTCGTCCCGCCGACGACACTCTCACCCAAGCCGTCGGAGGGAATACACTGTCCCTCCTCCTCTAGGTCATAACCGCCTTACAATCTCCTACATTTCTCTGCTTGTCGCAACAATTACTATGCAAATTACCTCCATAGCGACAATTTATCATCAAAGGAACATTGTTACGCATAGATACTAGGTCAAATAACTCTGTGAGCTCTTACCTTGATGTGGCGCCCTGGCGTCAGTTTCCCGCAAATTTGTTGACGTGCACGTCGCTATGTTAAGCCCGCCACGGTGCAGCGACTCTTCCTCTCCTCCCGCCGGCTCGTACCTTCAATTCCTCCCTGTTTGAGGAGCCGGCTGACCCTCGTGGGATCAACTGGATAGGATAGATGCCAAGATCTCGAAATGCAGGTCGCAAGTACCCCTGCTACTAGCTGAGTGAGGCTCTGGCCAATCACAGACCTCCTCCTCCTCCTCCTCGGGGCTACGTCACAGCCTATACCCTCTTCTGATTGGTTACCGGTGACGTCATCATTCCAAATCTAAGCGGCCTTCCGCTCCTTATTTGAAATTTTGAAATGTAGTCCGGTACTTTGACGCCTTGGATTATTATGTTGGATATAGTAATTCCAGTCCCCATAGTCTGGTACCATTCCAGTCCCCATAGTCTGGTACCATTCCAGTCTCCATAGTCTGGTACCATTCCAGTCCCCATAGTCTGGTACCATTCCAGTCCCCATAGTCTGGTACCATTCCAGTCTCCATAGTCTGGTACCATTCCAGTCCCCATAGTCTGGTACCATTCCAGTCCCCATAGTCTGGTACCATTCCAGTCCCCATAGTCTGGTACCATTCCAGTCTCCATAGTTTGGTACCATTCCAGTCCCCATACTCTGGTACCATTCCAGTCTTTATAGCTTGGTACCATTCCAGCCCCCCCATAGTCTGGTACCATTCCAGTCTCCATAGTCTTGTACCATTCCAGTCCCCATACTCTAGTACCATTCCAGTCCCCATACTCTGGTACCGTTCCAGTCCCTATAGTCTGGTACCATTCCAGTCCCCATACTCTGGTACCATTCCAGTCCCCATAGTCTGGTACCGTTACAGTCTCCATACTCTGATACCATTCCAGTCCCCATACTCTGGTACCATTCCAGTCCCCATACTCTGGTCCCATTCCAGTCCTCATACTCTGGTACCATTCCAGTCCCCATACTCTGGTACCGTTCCAGTCTCCATACTCTGGTACTATTCCAGTCCCCATAGTCTGGTACCATTCCAGTTTCCATGCACTGGATACACTTGAAATAGTAATCTTTAAACCCAAATTAATATAATCTAATCTTCTATGACAATTCAATGCTACGTTATAAAGAAAAACAAATCATAATAAAATTTGACTGGCCAATTCTGTCCTCAAGAGACAAAACAGATGCTCATGACGTCACAACATCGCGGTCAAAATAGCCCCCAACATTAATCTGATAATTGATTAAATCAACCAGTTCATGTAAATCAGATCATTTTCTTATTAAATAATTAGCCAACATATTAATGGGTTATATCTATAAGTAACAGACTTTTGACGCCTCAAAAAAATCGTTGAAAGGATATAGTTTCTGACATGAGATGGCGGGCTCCCGGTCCCGACGCCATTGTAAATAAAGCCACGCACACGCCGTCGACTCGCACATCAGCTGCGCTTTATACAGCTCATCTGTTGTTAGCAGCTGTTTTTCGCCTACAAGACCTACATTACGGTCTTCCTCGCCTCCAAGACCTACATTAAGGCGTCTTCCTCGCCTCCAAGACCTACATTAAGGCGTCTTCCTCGTCTCCAAGACCTACATTAAGGCGTCTTCCTCGTCTCCAAGACCTACATTAAGGCGTCTTCCTCGCCTCCAAGACCTACATTAAGGCGTCTTCCTCGTCTCCAAGACCTACATTAAGGCGCCTTCCTCGCCTCCAAGACCTACATTAAGGCGTCTTCCTTGCCTCCAAGACCTACATTAAGGCGCCTTCCTCGCCTCACACCACAAAGGTGAGCGAGATCCTGTACCAGTAAGTAGTAAATAACCTAGCTATGGTAGTTTTACTTAAAAGAGTCGCCGAGAGAGAGAGCGGTTACGAGGTATAATAATCAATTAACCAGTTTACAGCTTGGACGGTGAATGAGTTATCACATGTTGTTATAGGTAAACCTTACCGGCAGAGGAAGTGCTGGACGGTCTCGGTTTACGGGAGACTTGAGGTCGTAAGGGAGGGGATAGTCTACCTACTGTGGGAGACGCCAGTCAGTAAAGCCCATCTGGTTTACCTATGAGACCCGACGCAGTATAGCTAAGGCTTTGCATATTGATAATACTGATCCGATTTGTTGTTTTATTCGGCTATTAATCATAAAGAGAAAACTAAGGAATAGTGAAGTAAACTGGTTTACATTTCAGTGCTGCTAATGGTCAGTTCTTGTTGTCCAATGGGCTATTTATGTTCGTAAAAAGGGATCAAGATCAGTCAGGATTTGACCAGAGAAATCAAATTAATATCAGTCAAATCTGAACGTAAGTTTTTTTTTAATTGACTGGATGATACAAATTCTTAATTCAATCCATAAAATTCCACTAACCCGCATTATTGTATGTGGTACCCGCTAAAGTCCAAATGTAGCTATACAGTCCACTACTCATGATAATTAATAACAAATTCATACATACAACAGTTCCCCCATGGTCTGGTATCATTCCAGTTCCCATTTATAAGTACCATTCCAGTCCCCATACTCTGGTACCATTCCAGTCCTCATATACAAGTACTATTCTAGTTCCCATACACAGGTACCATTCCAGTTCCCATAGGCAAGTCCCATTCCAGTTCCAATGCTCTGGTATTCCAATTTTAATACACAGGTACCATTCCAGTTCCCATCCCAGTTCCAATACACAGGTATCATTTCAGTTCCCATAGGCAAGTCCCATTCCAGTTCCAATGCTCTGGTATTCCAATTTTAATACACAGGTACCATTCCAGTTCCCATCCCAGTTCCAATACACAGGTATCATTCCAGTTCCCATACACAAGTACCATTCCAGTTTCAATACACATGTACTATTCCAGTTCTTATACACAGGTACCATTTCAAGAGGCCTGGTCGAGGACCGGGCCGCGGGGACGCTAAGCCCCGAAACCATCTCAAGGTAACCATTTCAGTTCCAATACACGGGTACATTCCAGTTCCCACACACAAGTACTATTCCAGTTCCAGTACACAGGTACCATGCCACTCCTCCGTCAATACAAGGGTACCTTAGCACCTAATGTAGCACTTTAGACCAGTCAACTTACAACCGAAAGGTTCTAAGTTCGATTACCGGACAGGACGGACACGTTTGGGCACGTTTCCTTGTACCTGATACCTCTGTTTACCTAGCTATAGATGGATACCAAGGAGTTACGCAACTGTTGTGCATTGCATAGGCCGACCTCGATAATTCTCTTTAATTAACATGAAAGAAAACGGAACAACTGTTATTTTCAAACGCAAACTTATATATTTATGAGTGATTCATAACTAATTTGCCTACCACCTCTCACTCACCCACACACATCATTGCATCTCATCCATACGCAACGCATCTCATCCATAGCAAAGTAACGCATCTTTGTTTACTTCATCCATTAATCGGCAATTAAGTCCACTTTTTTATTATTGGGATATATCAGATACATGTTAAAACTGGAAGAGTAACTCTTTTGAACTAAGTGTAACCTGTTCTAGGTCAATATGAGTGTTTTTGGGCCTAGGATGGGCCAACTTGAGCCTTATGTAAAGTATATATAGTGATATGCTAGGGTGTTTCTGCCCGAAACGCTATGCGTGTTAGTGGCTTTGCAAGACTGTAAGAACACTTATAGGATTAAGGCTGTACAAGAATGTAAGAACTCTTGTATATATAAATAAATACAAAATAAAAAACACCAATATTATGCCCTTTCACGAACCCAAGGTACCTTGTAAGTAAATAAGTAAATTAGGCTTATACATGCTTAGGTTTGCTTAAAAATTCAAATTCAAATTTGTATTCAAAAGTGTGTGGACAAAGAATTTATAAATTTATTTATTTATATATATATATATATATATATATATATATATATATATATATATATATATATATATATATATATATATATATATATATATATATATATATATATATATATATATATATATATATATATATATATATATATATATATATATGTCGTACCTAGTAGCCAGAACGCACTTCTCAGCCTACTATGCAAGGCCAAATTTGCCTAATAAGCCAAGTTTTCCTGAATTAATATATGTTCTCTAATTTTTTTCTTATGAAATGATAAAGCTACCCATTTCATTATGTATGAGGTAAAATTTTTTTTATTGGCGTTAAAATTAACGTAGATATATGACCGAACCTAACCAACCCTACCTAACCTAACCTAACCTATCTCTATAGGTTAGGTTATGTTAGGTAGCCGAAAAAGTTAGGTTAGGTTAGGTTAGGTAGGTTAGGTAGTCGAAAAACAATTAATTCATGAAAACTTGGCTTATTAGGCAAATTTGGCCTTGCATAGTAGGCTGAGAAGTGCGTTCTGGCTATTAGGTACGACATATATATATATATATATATATATATATATATATATATATATATATATATATATATATATATATATATATATATATATATATATATATATATATATATATATATATATATATATATATATATATATATATATATATATATATATATATATATATATATATATATATATATATATATATACAAGAAGTTACATTGGAGGTTAACAGAGACTATAGAAAATAAGTTGAATTAACATTCTTGTAAAGCCACTAGCACGCATAGCGTTTCGGGCAAGTCCTTAAACTAACAGAATTTTTTTTTATAAAAAAATGTTAGCAGGTATTTTACAGCATTTCTTTACAGGTACAGACAATTTTAAGTAGAATAAATACAGTAAAATCAACAAAAAATGTATACAGGTAATTTGAAGAAATTTTGACACAAAAGCAGATCAGAATAATACACAATAATAACAATAAATAAATAAATAAATAAATGTTTATTTAGGTAAGGTACATACATAAAGAGATTTTACAAAGTTTGTTGGATTAATAGATAGAGCTAGTACATACAATGCCTAAAGCCACTATTACGCAAAGCGTTTCGGGCAGTACACAATACACAATAAAGAAACAAGGATCACTAGGTACATGAGGATATATGAATATAAGAGTAATGCACAGTTGTGGGGGACAGGAGTTATACAAACTAATGAAGCCACTTTTACCCAAAGCTTTTCTGGCAAAAACTTATACTCATTTGGAAAATTTATAAATATTTAAAGGTTTGGAGGGTTAAATACCTGATGCTAAATGAGAAAGAAGTAAGCAAACAATGGAAAAAGTTCAAGAAAAATAAGATAAATACAATAAAAAGGTGATACTTAATAAAAAGGTGAGTAATAAAAATATGAGTTAATAAAAAAAAGAGTTAATAAAATAACAATAAAATAATAATAGTGTTAACTTTATAAAATAACAATAAAATGTTAACAATAATAAATAATAATAATAATAATAATAATAAATAGCCTACAATAAAAAAACTTGTGGGCTTCTTCCTTGTGATCTCTATAAAAATATTACTACAAATAATTTATTATCAAGTTCAAATAAGTTTGAGACAATAAGCTATATCTCAAATGGAGAGAAAGAGGCTATTGCTTTAGGCTATTGGTACCCCTCCTCTACTTCAGGTCCCTCACGAGGCTCACAAAACCATACAGTACACAAATCATTCATTACATTACACACTCTAATTACATCACACATTTTGATTACATTACACACTCTAATTACATCACACACTCTAATAGTCATCTCGAGTTTATTGTCTACTTGCAACAGTCCATTTTTGTACGTTCAGTGAACGTACACTGGACGTTGCTATGAGTTGTACAATTTGCATGACTGGTTACAATCATTATATGAGAAAAAATTAACATATACAAAACTTCACACACACTCCAGTACTTGGATTCATCTAGCAGTTAATTGGCCACTTTCGAAGCCTGTAGATCTTTCCAAAATCATGGCGGCTTTCTATGGATTTATTAATCATGAATTTCCAAGGTCATAAATTTGTTTTGTAAATACAGACTAAAGCGTCTTGCTTGAGCAAAGATGTACAGGTTTCGTAAGTAGGCGTTGTAGACTTCACTTACATCATAAACTGCACTCTTCGCCTACATCATAATCCTTAGACTACATCATACAACAGAATGGACATACATTCACTTGAATGAGTACAGTGAAGTTAATCAAAGATAACTGACAAACTAACTTTAAGTTAAAATTAACTAACAAAGAAATTAACAAAGTTAATTCCAGTAATTAGAAATCTTCCTTATAAAGAGAGGTTAAAAAAATATAACTTACTTCCATAAAAAAGTGATGAGTTAGGGGTGCCAAGGCTGAAGTGTACAAATAGATAAAAGAATATAGGTAGTCGAAAAACAATTAATTCATATATATAGGCCTTGTATATATATATATATATATATATATATATATATATATATATATATATATATATATATATATATATATATAAAGGATAATAATACATTAAACATACCAATAGAAAATGGAACACAATACAATGGGTATAAATTTGATAAGTTTAGATTCAGGAAAGACCTGGGTAAATACTAGTTTGAAAACACGGAGGTTGAATTATGGAACAAATTACCGGGTAAAATAATCGACTTAGAATCACTTGATTAGCTCAAGCGTTGGTTAGATGCATATATGAATTATTTTTGGGTAGATATAAATAGAAGCTGCTCTCGTATGGGGCCAATAGGCCTTCTGTAGCCTCCTGTCTTTTTCAGCTCCTACGTCATTTACGTCACAAGCCTTAGACGTCATCAACGTCACAAACCTTAGACGTCATCTATGTCACAAACCTTAGACGTCATCTATGTCACAAGCCTTAGACGTCGTCAACGTCACAAGCCTTAGACGTCATCTACGTCACAAACCTTAGACGTCATCTATGTCACAAGCCTTAGACGTCGTCAACGTCACACGCCTTAGACGTCGTCAACGTCACAAGCCTTAGACGTCATCTACGTCACAAGCGTCAGACTTCCGTCTAGGTCAGTGCCAACATTCCTGGCTCTCAGCTAAAGGCATTAAAGCACAGACCTGGTTTCACATCCAGTTTTGAACGCAGCAGTTCACAACCTTCAAAGGCTTCTTGCTAAATTGATGTTTACAATTTGAATCTCTATACATATCGACTCATATTTCATTCTCCGAGATGTATATACATCCTTGTATAAGATATTCAGGGATATATATACAGCCAAAGATATTCAGGATATTTTTCAAGTATACTTGAATCCTATGTTCAAGACTAAAGTATTCTTTCTGATTGGTCAGTATAGACTGATTGATGATTGATAAAGATTAAGCCACCCAAGAGGTGGCACGGGCATGAATAGCCCGTAAAGTATAGACATGTGGAGTTGATATGTACCTAAGCCTTTCGAGGTTTCCCTAGGGACCTGGGCCAACTATGGACCTTATCCCATGATGCAAACCCATAACAGATGCCTAAATCCTTGTTCCTATTTTTCTGATAAGTGAACCGAGGCATCAATTAAAAAAGAAACATTGCCCAACGGTTCCCGGTTGTCCGGGAACTGAACCCGGGACCCCCTTTGTTGTGAGGAGAGGACGTATGTGCAGTTTACATTTAGAGCTAAATATGTTAAAATACAATTGAATACCTATAAGGTAAACCATATTATTGAGACGAGAGCGAAAGTCTGATTGAGGATCTGAATAAGCTGCAGATACGTGAGTGCGTGAGTGTGTGCGTGCAGGTGTGTATAAGCGTGCGGGTGTGTATATGCGTGCGGGTGTGAGTGCATGCGGGCGTGAGCGCGTTCCCGTGCATGAGTAGGCGTGAGAGGTGAAGTGTGATCCAGCTTAGTGACTAACGGGATCATGAGAGGGTCGAGGTATAAGAGTCTTCCCCGGGGCCCCGACCCGCCAGTGCCCCAGGGGAAGCGTGTGTGTCAACTACGTCACTCCAGCTGCTGAATCAGTACCAGATATACTTCCATGACGAACGCCATCAAGGTTTACAAGAAAACTGCACCCAATGGTTAGCATATGTTATAAGTCGCCCCTATTATACCATGATACAGTACAAATAGCCTAGGGAAACCATGATTGCCTATAATGATGTCAATTGTCCATATATTGTTATATTTACGCTATGCATTGTTTACCTGCTTGATGGGGTTCTGGGAGTTGTTCTACCCAAGCCCGAGGCCAGGCTTGACTTGTGAAAGTTTGGTCCACTAGGCTGTTACTTTGAGCGGCCCGCAGGCCCACACATCCACCACAGTCCGGTTGGTCCTTAGGGTCATTTGAGAGGATGAGGAGAGTCAGCAGACAAGAACTAGCTAGTTTTTTACCTTGCAGGTAAGGTGACCGCTTACCTCAGTCGGCGGGACTTCGTGGACCACCTCACCCACACCTCACCCGTGGATGGCGTGGTCGTGGTGGACCGTGACTACCTCCGTGGCAGGCGGGTCTTCGCTCGCGTCGCCGTCACGTATCGCTACGGACGCCCTCAAGATGAGGTGATGGGCCTCAAGTTCAGCAAGGAGCTCGAACTGGTGAATGTAGAAGTTGCTCCCAACGGTATCTTCAAGGAGCTCACTGATGTCCAGGAACGCCTCGTCAAGAAGCTGGGTGGCAATGCCTACGCCTTCAGCGTGGAGGTGCCACAGAACGCACCTTGCTCAGTCACCCTTGAGAAAGGGGACGATATGGAAGTAAGTGACGTTTTCTTTAAAACCAAGGACGCTATATTTCTGCCACACAAGAATAATGTATATTATAAATAATAATAATAAGTAATAGTAATGTCTACTCACAGACATAATAACATAGGATAAAATCTCACACTTGTGTATCTGTGAGATTTATGTAAAGAAACTACTTCAATGAACAGTGTAGTGTAAACTACTTCAAGTCTTTCACACTCTCCTGAGTGCTGAGCTGTTTTGATTAGACGCTGAGATGTAAATCTCGTCCTAATCACACACTCAGACCTTGACAAAGCACTCAGGAGAGTGCGAAAGACTGAATTTTTTAAAGAAGGTGTAATTTCATTTCATACATCTTACAAATTCACAAGTGTGGGTTTCTATCCAATAATAATATTTATAATTATTAAGACTAGCGTACATACACACACTGACCGGCCTCTCACGGTGTTCAGAAGAAAACTCGACAAACACCTCCTTAAGATACTGCTTGCGGCGTCCAACAGCCAGGTTGACCAGACCACCGACCAACCAGGAGGCTTGGTCAGAGACCGAGCCGCAGGGACCTTGACCACCGGAATCACCGGAAGGTAACTACATACATAGGTTACGAGAACAGTGAAAGGTTCCTATGGAAGGACGTGTACAGTGTCTAGCATCACCCATAAGTAGAGCGTCTCGGACATAAACTACACTAAAAACAGTGATTGCTTCAGGCGAGTGTTTTCTGGAAACTAACACAATGTAGTAATATCAATAAATTATATTGCATATATTAAAAACTAGGGGTGGTAATAGAAGGAAAATTACTTGACTTTACCTGAGGGTCACTAACACTCTTGAGTGCCCTTGACAAGTACAGAAAGCCACCGGCTTGTCAAACGTCCCCCCCCCCATTTGTCTTGAATTCTCATGTGTTCAGGGAGACTCTGCAAGGTCTTCCGCGAATACCCTTTATTCTCTTCTCCGAGACTAAGGGTCCCTACAATTACACCAGAGGTGACACTCCTACTAAAGAATTTTATATAATAAAATAATGAATGTTGTGGGGGACAGGAAGCCTGTGTATATATATGTCTACTTTAGGCTTGTATGAAGGTCCCCCAAAGCCGATCCTCACCAAGATGCAGCCCCCACAACAGTTGCCTGACTCCCGGGTACCTATTTACTTTTAGGTGAATAGGACATTAGGTAAAAGGAAAAGCGAACAATCATTTCTGTCCCTCCCGGGATTCGAACCTGGAATTCCCGAGTGTAAACCATAACGAACCGAACTGTATTTCTGACTACTGGGGTCAGTACCTTATTCAAGTAACTTAATAATACCACTAATGTTTAAGGAACATGATCAAAAGTTTGGTAATTTATTGTAGTTTGAAGTATAATGCCTTATTTAGGTTCCCTCGACAGATTTGATAACAATGAGTCTAAATGAGTCTTCTTATCGTAGGGAATAGATACTCAGCTTGCGGTGAATACTCACTGAGAGATTAATTTAGCCCTGAACTGTGACCAGGACTAAAGTATTGTTGCTGGTTGGTCAGAAAGGTATTGTGGTGGCCTTAATAACCCTCCAGAGATTGATAGGCCTTAAGCGAACAGCAAACTTGCTGGTTGGTCAGAAAGGTATTGTGGTGACCTTAGTAACTCTCCAGAGGTTGATAGGCCTTCAGCCCAACACCAAACTTGCTGGTTGGTCAGTAAGGTACTGTGGTGGCCCTTAATAACCCTCCAGAGGTTGATTGGCCACAAGTTAAACAGCAAACCAAAGTTATATTTGTGCTAATAGTTATATTTCTCGTGTTACAACTCCAGAGTCAGCCTCTGGGAGTGACTTTCAACCTCAAGCTTTACGTGGCTCACCAGAAGGAGAAGATCCACAAGAGAAACTCCGTAAGCTTCGCCGTCCGCAAGATTCAACTAACGTCTCTCCACTCCAGGATCCGTCAGCCCAAGACGGTTGTGAGCAAAGGCTTCACTCTATCTCCAGGGCGACTGTCTCTCGAGGTCAGCCTCGATAAGGAAGTGTTCTGCCACGGACAGGCAGTAACGGCACACCTGTTAATCAGAAACGCTTCCAAGAAAACCGTGAAGAGTCTCACTGCACAGATTGTGCAACACGTTGAGGTTACAATGCTCAACAGACTTCTCTGTTGTGATGTGTGTTCTCTAGAGACCCGCGAGGGGTGCCCGGTGACCCCAGGAGCCAATCTCTCCAAGTCCTTCTCCCTCTCCCTTGTTCCTCCCGTCAAGAAGCGCTTTGGCGTCGCTCTAGACGGTCGACTTAAAGACGAGGATGCAAACCTTGCCTCTTCCACAATGGCGGCAGCCGGGAGGAGAATCAGCGACGCCTTAGGCTTTATCGTGTCCTATTCGTTTCGTGTGGTGCTGAAGTGCGGCGCCATTGGTGGCGAGCTGACTGCTGATCTGCCATTCCAACTGGTACACCCAGACCCTTCGACTCGCAGAGCCCCTCTCCGCAAGACGCACTCCTTTGAATTTGAAGAATTTAATCGCCTCCGAAGGAGCCAGTCGGCCGGAGACGAATAATGCAGAAGAGTGCAGCGTCTGGCTGACATATATGACTCTCACGAGAGAAGCTCTGCAGGAGAAAACATCGAAGCTATGCAGTTGGGATCGAAGTTGCATCCTCGCACTCAATATTCTCACACAGGTACATCACCTTCATTCATGTGATTGTATTGTGACATTCTTCATGTTATTGTCTACACATTATAACTGTAATGGATGCTAACACAGTCTCGTTGAACGTTTAATTGAATTGTTCAGTGTATAAAGACAGCATTGTAAATTGCAGAAAGACCCTTGTAAAAGGCGTTAAGGCAGCATTGTGTCACTAACCTTGTACAATGTCTTAGAAATACTGGTTAATTGTACAATGTACCAGAAATACTGGTTAATTGTACAATGTACCAGAAATACTGGTTAATTGAGTTTAAATGTTCCCGAAACCTTTTAATAATGAACAAACAACTTTTGTTATTAGAACTGTTCACCTGCAATTCATTACAAGGAATGTGTCTTCGTGTATCCAAACTCATCTCAGGTATTGAATCAAGAAAACAAAAATTATGAAAAAATGTAGAACAATTCCAGACAGAAAAAGTATAGATGATTTGTCATCGTTTCTTCACTGTTCGCCCCAGTAATTAGGGATCTGTATGGTTGTAAAACTTATAACTGATCGTGTTCTAAGTGGAAACATGGCTCTTTATGTAACCTAACCGGTTTCAGTACCTGGCCTGTCTTAAAATCCAACATAAATATTAACAGTATGGAAAATACAGCTCTTTCAAAAATATTTTTATATTTTGTTTAAATAAAGATTGTTGAAATACAGATATTAAATCGTACTTTTGTTTTAATTCCCGATTTTCATTTCAAATAAGACTGAATTGATAGTAAGAATTATTCCTAAATTGAATAAACTTAAAATTTGAATCTAAAAATTAATTTAGTTGGGTATCTTTATCTTGAGGTTATCTTGAGATGATTTCGGGGCTTTAGTGTCTCCGCGGCCCGGTCCTCGACCAGGCCTCCACCCCCAGGAAGCAGCCCGTGACAGCTGACTAACACCCAGGTACCTATTTTACTGCTAGGTAACAGGGGCATAGGGTGAAAGAAACTCTGCCCATTGTTTCTCGCCGGCGCCTGGGATCGACCCCAGGACCACAGGATCACAGGTCCAGCGTGCTGTCCGCTCGGCCGACCGGCTCCCTCCGGGTATACTACCCGACCGGGTATACTGAGAGGTGTACCCAACTTAAAGGTGTATGTAGACCGACAGTTTACTTTAGTCCTGGACAATGTTCAGGACTGAAGTATACTTGATGGTGGTCAGTAAGGTATTGTGGCGGCCTTAATAACCCTCCAAAGATTGGTAGGCCTATCAAGCCCAAGTCCAAACTTCATAGTGCATTAGTAAAGTCCTCATTTGCCCATATGAAATAAATGTTACTTTACTAGGCTGTGAGCTTAGTAGTTGACCAGACCACACTAGAAGGTGAAGGGACGACGACGTTTCAGTCCGTCCTGGACCATTCTCAAGTCGATAGTGATGAATCGTTGAACACAATCGACATGAGAATGGTCCAGGACGGACCGAAACGTCGTCGTCCCTTCACCTTCTAGTGTGTGGTCTGGTCAACATTCTTCAACCACGTTATTGTGACTCATCGCGAGCTTAGTAGGTTATCTTGAGATGATTTCGGGGCTTAGCGTCCCCGCGGCCCGGTCCTCGACCAGGCCTCCTTTTTGTTACACATCCCCCAGGAAGCAGCCCGTAGCAGCTGTCTTAACTCCCAGGTACCTATTTACTGCTGGGTGAACAGGTTCATCAGGGATAGAAGAAACTGCTCATTTGTTTCCGCCTCCGCCAGGGATCGAACCCTGAACGTTAGGACTACGAATCCCGAGTGCTGTCCACTCAGCCGTCAGGCCCCCTTTCAGATTGCCCCAGAGAACTAACTATAATCTTTATACGAGCCTGTGAAAACCCATTACATTTATCAGATACATTTTTAATCATTTGTTTTATGATATCTCGATTGTTAACTGTCACATTATTAACAAAATAGGATTTTATCCATTTCACTTCTAACAATAATGCTTCATTATGAGTATATTTATAAGTCACTGCAATGTTAAATATATACATAAGGTAGTTGAAAATCCGTTTGTTAAACTTTTGTTGAGAGGTGTATTGGAGGTGATATCTTATATTTATAATGAACGTGTATGAGTACCCACAGTGGAGAGGAAAATTAAAATAATGCAAGCGTTTTCGTGTTTAAACCTACAGTATTTCCAAAGAGTACAATTGTTATCGTACAATTGTAAGAGTACAATTCTTGTACAATTGTAAGAGTCCAAGAAATGTACCGCCCTGGAAAATGTGTTAAAATCACTCAATAATTGCTCAGAATATTTTCATTTTATCTTTCCTATGTGGATACATACGCATAACTGAATTACGTGTTCTTGTGATTTACATCATTTAAAAAGAAACATGTTCACATTTATGTGTCTCGGCCGCAAGTCGACGCCATTATCAACATATCTATGCAATGTGGTGTTTCCCACTGACTCAGCACTATGTGTTCCTTCCTTATGTAACACATTTCTCATACACCATTACAACCCTCTTTTGGGGAGTAGGGTCCAAAACCTGAGAAAGAAAAGTGTATATATATTCCCCTCTATGTCGTCATTACTCTTGAAACACTACTAATCTAACCTAACACCACCACCCCTACCATCAACTTTACTCAACCTAACCTAATGAACTTTAACATAAGAGATTGATTGATTGATGAAGATTAAGCCACCCAATCTTCATCAATTACCCAAGGGCACGGGCATGAATAGCCCGCAAGTGGTAGATTTGTTTGTGATCTTTGGTCGTGACCAATAAACTCGCCCCTCGGGGCAAAATTAAATTAAATTATATGGTGTGAATGACGCGTGTCATGTTACTATACCACAAATGTCGTTGTTGGTACAGGTTTTAGACCCTACTGCACTGGGGCCCACAAAGGGGTGGAGAAGATTGTATATAAGCTCCCGACGAGAGAACACCGTCAGCACTTGGTGCCTGACGCCTGCAGGAGGAGGAGGATGAGGTCTGGCGGTGGCGTGCCGTTGTTGTTGGCGGTGGTGGCGGGCGCCTGTGTGCTCTCACTCGCTCAACTGGAAAACCTTCAGGCAGTAGAATGTCCTTTCCCAGGTGAGTTGACTTCAAGTTAATTTTTTCCCTAGGTGAGTCGACTTCAAGTTAATTTTTTCCCAGGTGAGTCTACTTCAAGTTAATTTTTTTCCCAGGCGAGTCTACTTCAACTTATTTTTTTCCCTGGCGAGTCTACTTCAAGTTCACTCTTTTCCCAGGCAAGTATTTCAAGTTCATTCTTTTCCCAGGTGAGACTACTTCAAGTTAATTTTTTTCCCAGGTGAGTCTACTTCAAGTTAATTTTTTCCCAGGTGAGTCTACTTCAAGTTAATTTTTTCCCCAGGTGAGTCTACCTCAACGTCATTCCTTTCCTCAAAATAGTGCAAACATTGTTATATTAAACATCAACAACAATAATACAGCCTGTTAATTTTACAAACAACCTGCTGTCATTAGCTATTCCACCTCACAATTACATATACAAATTACTAAATGTGTGTACTGGAGGCCACCTTTTAATAATGCCTTTAATTAATCATTCTATAATATGCATAGCGTGTGTATGCAAATTGCATATTTAAATTGACATAGGCAGTTTCTATTGCAGGAGCTTGTGCAGACGATTCCTTTAATTGCTTGAAGAACGTCCAGAAAAAATGGTCTGTTGTCTGAGTCGGGGTGAGAGTTGGGAAGAGTTGGGGTGAGAGTTGGGACGATTAGGGGTGAGAGTTGGGACGATTAGGGGTGAGAGTCTGGGTGAGGGAATATGGCGTGTGTGAGAGAAAGAGCAGGTGGCTCCCTGTCAAAGGGTCTCAGCATATCTTATCCCGACCTTCAACAATATACATACATTCAGATACACTCACACACACACAGACGCACTCACAAACAAGTACGTGCAGTTATCTTCATGTATATGTACACACACACACATATATACACTCATGTACACAAACCTGCAGATGCTCTCGCTTATACGTACATGTAAGCGAATGCGTATACATATACACACACAGACCTATAAGATAGAATGTCTGTCTGTGTCTGTCTGGTCAAGGTAAGCGGCCAGAGACTTGTCGCTAGCCTCACGAAACTTTGCAGTGTAGAGGGTCTGGGTTTCGGGCAGTACATAGGGTGGTCGTAGATGTCCTCTATGTCCCCTCTTTGCCGGAAATGACAGGTTACACTAAATTCCAACTCTTCTTCTGGAACCTGTAATTTTATTTCCTGTGCTTGAAGGTGGTGATTGGGAGACACAAGGGAGTGGGGAGAGATTGGGAGAAAGGGGAGGACATGGGTAAAGAGTGAGGGTTGATTGGGACAGAGGGGAAAGAGGGCAGACAGACCCGTCTTGGATTCGAACTTGGGTTGCCAGTGGTGTTCCCCATTTGTGTTGTATCAGATGGGCAGGAGGTGGTGTCAGCAGGGCAGGAGGTGGTGTCAGAGGGACAGGAGGTGTTGTCAGAGGGACAGGAGGTGTCAGAGGGACAGGAGGTGGTGTCAGCGGGGCAGGAGGTGTTGTCAGAGGGACAGGAGGTGGTGTCAGAGGGACAGGATGTGGTGTCAGAGGGACAGGAGGTGGTGTCAGAGGGACAGGATGTGGTATCAGCGGGACAGGAGGTGGTGTCAGAGGGACAGGAGGTGGTGTCAGAGGGACAGGAGGTGGTGTCAGAGGGACAGGAGGTGGTGTCAGAGGAACAGTGCGGGAAGTACTCAACTGTTAATGATCTTGTGTGTTGTCAGAGGGACAGGAGGTGGTGTCAGAGGGACAGGAGGTGGTGTCAGAGGGACAGGAGGTGTTGTCAGAGGGACAGGAGGTGGTGTCAGAGGGACAGGATGTGGTGTCAAAGGAACAGTGCGGGAAGTACTCAACTGTTAATGATCTTGTGTGTTGTCAGAGGGACAGGAGGTGGTGTCAGAGGGACAGGAGGTGGTGTCAGAGGGACAGGATGTGGTGTCAAAGGAACAGTGCGGGAAGTACTCAACTGTTAATGATCTTGTGTGTTGTCAGAGGGACAGGAGGTGATGTCAGAGGGACAGGAGGTGGTGTCAGAGGGACAGGAGGTGTTGTCAGAGGGACAGGAGGTGGTGTCAGAGGGACAGGAGGTGGTGTCAGCGGGGCAGGAGGTGTTGTCAGAGGGACAGGAGGTGGTGTCAGAGGGACAGGAGGTGGTGTCAGAGGAGCAGTGCGGGAAGTACTCAACTGTTAATGATCTTGTGTGTTGTCAGAGGGACAGGAGGTGTTGTCAGAGGGACAGGAGGTGGTGTCAGAGGAACAGTGCGGGAAGTACTCAACTGTTAATGATCTTGTGTGTTGTCAGAGGGACAGGAGGTGGTGTCAGAGGGACAGGAGGTGGTGTCAGAGGGACAGGAGGTGGTGTCAGCGGGGCAGGAGGTGGTGTCAGAGGGACAGGAGGTGGTGTCAGAGGAGCAGTGCGGGAAGTACTCAACTGTTAATGATCTTGTGTGTTGTCAGAGGGACAGGAGGTGGTGTCAGAGGAGGAGTGCGGGAAGTACTCAGCGTGTGAGTGGACGGACGGAGTCTGCCATGTAGTGGACAACGCCGTTGGTGGCTACGTCGTCCAGGGCCCGCCAGAGGTCACCACCAGAGGCTTCAAGGTAACTATAACACTCATTCATCCATCTATCCTTAAGTCGTGAATATAAATGCTGATTATTTCCGTCTAACCATCAACTTTGATGTGACATGCGTCTATCTATCACTCATAATGTGGCTCTATAAGATGTCTATCTTTTATAAATAATACGTTCTTATATACAGTTAATCAATACTTATCGAACAATACCTTTTATGTTGCTGTTGAGTGATCAATTCAAGATGCAGTCATTTTCCCAAAAGTATTCAATCATCCGTCAAGCAATTCTTTCTATTGATAATTACCTTACCTGAATATCAAGCAATCTATAATTATTTATTGTTGGAATTATACCAAACTTCCCAAGACTACGACATAATCTTGCCTGAAGAAGGTCATCTTGGGGAAGGAAGCGGCCTGTGTCGGTGACTTTATGTAACAGGTTAATATTACAGGTTAATATTAATATTACAGGTTAACCTGAAGAAGGCGGACGACACAGTGACGATGTTCGGAGACGACGTGACCAACTTGGTGTTTGAGGTCATCCAGCACGAAGATTACCACCTCCAGGTCAAGGTGAGCTCAGTGACCCCTGATTTGTGTAGGTAATTACTAGTCTCTACTACAGAGGTTGTCTCCAATACGTTGCTGTCGTAGCCGCTGTTGTCTACCACAGTTAAAATAAAAATAAAAATAAAATAATGAATTTCTATCCTGAGTACTATTGAATTCAGATTCCCAATAGAAGAGTACAATAGAGGTACACAAAATATGCATTTAGGTCTAACTTATTGGTGGCATTTTATAATAAACTAGACTAGAAGACCATGAAATGTTGTGTAGATTGTAATTAGTCTACAACTTCCTTAAGTAATTAGTAACTTCCTTAATTTAAGTACCTAATTTCATCTTCATAGTTTTTTACCTTTTGCTTTAAAATTGCACTGTATCTATTGCTACCCAATCTCCCAATCTTTATGTACCCAATCCGAACATCTTTACCATTGTGATCATTGCTGTCTTCTTATTTGTGCTGTCAATCTGCTGTATGGTGTCTATTAATCTTGTTTAAATTACCAATCAAGCTGTCAATGTAATCAATCAGAGCTTTTATATACCAATGTGCTTTAATATACTTATTAATCTCTCTCATCTCATTATTTTTTCTTGCAATGTATTTGTTATCATTTTATTAATTCTGCTAGAATTTACCTACTTAAAGTTATTTGTTAGATTAAGGACCTGCCCGAAACGCTGCGCGTACTAGTGGCTTTACAAGATTGTAAATTCTATGCTATGTATTCTCACAAACCCAATGTACCTTCTTGTATATAAATAAATAAAATAAAATAAAAATAAAATAAATTGTTCCTCCCCGTCAGATCTACAACGCAGACGCGATGCGCTACGAGGTGCCGGTGCCTCTGAGTCTTCCTGACGCCCCAGACGCCGACGCCCTCTACACCGTCAGCGTCAGCGGGGAAGGCGAACCTTTCGACTTCGTTGTCAGCAGAAAATCCAACAACAACATTGTGTAAGTCGTCCCTCTCGCACACTCCGTCACTATCACTCATCATCATCATCACCTTTACTATCCATACCGCTGACAATGCTTCCTTTTGGCATCAGCATTGTTAACTGTAAAATGATTGTCTTGGTGACTGTGGTTCCAGGTTCCGCTCGTTGGGGCCCCTGACCTTCGAGGACCAGTTCCTGCAGCTGCACACCTCCCTCGCCTCCACTTACCTGTACGGCTTCGGCGAGAACACCCACCTCTCCTTCAGACACACGTTCGAGCCCCGCTCCACCTTCCCCATCTTCGCCAGGGACCAGCCAGTGGGCACAGTAAGAGCACCGTGCACACAGAGGGTTGCAGTAAATCCCGTAGTCAGATATAACCGAAGTCAGCACTACAAATTCTTGTTGTCTTCGCCATTGTCTCCTTCCAGCGGTTCTCGTGGTTGTCCTGTAATACATACGTATTTGAAAGCAAATTTACACAATCCTGAATAAGGAATTAGTTTAGAGGATCAATAATAAGCTTGGCCTAACTAATACTTAGATTAGCATTAAGGTATGTATAGTTAGACATGGGTTTATAGGGGTTAATTTATAGTCACATTTCCTAGAAATTTTCTCACTTTCTATTTTTCTATTTTTTGTCTTTTAGAAAGTTCGTTTGGTTACGAATCAATTTATTCAGTATTCAATAAGTATTGAATGAGTCTGGAGAATGAGTTACTCCTATGCAAATCTATACATATGATCAGTAGTATGCCATTATATGTATTATATAGATAGATAAATCTGGAAACTAGAAATTTTGAAAGGGTGGTATAAAGAAAAGGAACCAAATGATTTCTAGAGTCACCCTAACGCCGTCTTCTCTCCCGAGTCAACTCTTAAAATATTCCCTCTCATTACTATATCAGGAACGAGTAGTCTCTGTGGTGTTGTTTCTTAGGTTTGTTGCTAGTGTTGTGTTTGGACTTATTCACACACATGACTAGCAGTGACCTGGATAAATAATCCGGGTCATTGCCTTCGGGCAGGAGGTGGTGTCACAGGGACAGGAGGTGGTGTCAGAGGAGATATGCGGAAAGTACTAAGCGTCAGAGTACTCAACGTCTCTTCATACTTCATGAATGGTGTCTTGAAAATAGAGCTTGGTGAGCGTCCTGCTCTCTTTCTGTTTACATATAGCAGCGTATGAAACGCGTCGACGTGCAAACAACCCACACAGTATTGTGTGTTCTGAACCTCATCAGTGAGGGAGGGCGAAGAGGGACACTATCTCCATCTTCTACTCCCACACTCTCCCATAGTCTCCCAGCCTCTCCCTTATTTTCTCTCTAGGACCCCATGAACGAGTACGGTCACCACCCATACTACATGGTGATGGAGGACGACGAGGGTAACTCTCACTCCGTCCTTCTCTACAACTCCAACGCCATGGGTGAGTGTACATGTGTTTCTGGGGCCATGGGTGAGTGTACATGTGTTACTGGGGCCAAGGGGGAGTGTACATGTGCTTCTGGGGCCATGAGTGAGTACATGTGCTACTGGGGTCATGGGTGAATGTACAGGTTGTACTGTGAAGAACACACCTTTGTACACATTAGGGGAAAGAACAAATGTGCTTGTATTACTCTGCCGTATTTACTATTTCTGTATTCTGTACACACACACTGGCCCATGATTGAATGCACAGATCAACAGAGCTGTTGGTGAGTGCACCTGATCACACATCTTGACAACCAACAGTCCTTTAATTGTTCTCTGAAGTTACCTGACGAAATTCATATAGATTAATGCACTTTATAACTAATTAAAGCCCCATATTATCTGGGATTATGAGCCACATTACCTGAATAGAATTGCCATTATACACACACCACGTCTAAACGTAAACATACACACACACACGTCTGTAATATAGCCATTTACAAGTGTTGATTGAGCCAGAATTAATTTCTGTATCTTGAAATTGGGAAATTGTGCCCTTGACGCATAGCAATCCAAGTATGGACTTACGATATTTAACCAGAGTCAATAAATATAATCAACTTAGATCTTACAGCCAGTCCGGGACTCGACCCCCTGGTGTTCCTGGGGCGTGATAGCGACGAGGTACTAACTAGAATACCTGCCGTGTCGCCCTCCAGAGTACTCGACCTTCCTGCTGGAGGATGGGACGCCGGCGCTCACATTGAGGACCATCGGAGGCATCATCGACCTGCACATGTTCCTGGGCCCCCTGCCGGAGGACCTTATCACGCAGTATACCTCCGTCAGTATCACCGCCCCTCACCACTCTTTCTCCGTCAATATCATCGCCCCCCACCACTCTCTCCATCAGTATCTGCTTCTCCACCACCCTCTCCCAGCCACCAGCCAACATAACGTTGAAGCAACATGTTTCGTTCTTAGAACGAAAAAGCATCGTTCTGGCTCCTTCCCTCTCATTTTCACCTCTTCCCCCCTATCCTGCCCCTTCTTCCCTCCATTCTTGAAGAGACATTTCCGTTTATTTATATAGAAGGGATACCCAGCTGCTCCTGGGTCTCATCCTCTGTTTTCCACTTCCCCCCTTCCCCTCTCCCCCTTTTCCCCCTTACTTTCCTCTCATTTGCCCTCCCCCACCCCCTTCTTCCATGCTGCCCTCCCTCAATAAACACTTGAAGTAACTGTGTAGGTCTCTCAGATTGCTTTTCTTTTGCCCCTTCGTACCCCTCAATTTCCTCCCCATTCCAACCCTCCTGCTTCCCCACTCTCCTCCCTTCTCTCAGAAAAGTTATTATTACAATAACTAAAACTCCATGTTAATCACACAACATTTTTAATATATAAATAAGTAACTAAATAAATATTTCACATTTACTCCAAGAAAATCGCCTGCTGGTTGGCCAGAAATGTACGGTGGTGTCCACAACTACCAACTCATAGTTGATAGGCCTTAGGTTATACACGGGGGAACTAAAAGACCTTTCCACAGATGGTTGGCAATCCAGTCTTCCCTCCGTACTGGTCCCTCGGGTTCCAACTCTCCCGCTGGGGGTATGACTCTACTGACAACGTCCGCGCCGCCAGAGAGAGGATGAAGGCCATGGGCATCCCTCAGGTGAGTAGTGGGCTTCCTCATGGGTATGACATGAGTATAATTCATTTTGTCGGGGACAGAAAGCCAATGTATGCATATATATACTTTTCGCTTGTATTAGGTCCCTCTTAAGGTTCGAACTAGTGACTGCCCCTAAGATGCAGCCCTCACAACAGTTGCCTAACTCCCTGGGTCCTATTTACTGCTAAATGAGCAGGAGCATTAGGTGAAAGGAAACTTGTCCAAATATTTCGGTTTTCGCCTCTGGAATTGAACCTGGGATTCTCAATTGTGAGTCGAGAATGAGGCCAAATGTACTACAGTCTGGTTCGTTCTCGACTCACAATCGAGAATTCCTGGTTCGAATTTCCGGCGGGATTGGAATGGTTGGGCGCATTTCCTATCACCTAATACCTCTGTCCACCTAGTAGTAAGTTGGTACCCAGGAGTTAGTCAGCTTGTTGTGGGGTTGTATCTCGGGGGGGGGGGAGGAGGTGGACCTCGATATAAGCCTAACACGTATATATACAGTGGCTGCTTGTCCCCCGAAACAATGAATTATAAAAATAGTCCCAAGATATAGCCTTAGTTTTCTTTCATATTGAACCTAAATTAATGTAGATGCGTAGATTCATTATTAATTTGTATTTGAAATATGGGAATCTTGTAGAGGAGCTTACTATTCCTTGAAAAGTATAATTTAAAAATTATAATTTAACATAAGTCATTATATTCTGACAATAAGTCACAATAACCTGGTTGGAAATTAGACACCCAACCCACAGATCTAAAAATAAAAGAATTGACAACGTTTCGGACCATTATCACTTCATAATGTTCTAGTACGGACCGAAACGTTGGGACTTTGTTTATCTTCAGCTGCGTGGGATGGGCGTATAATATATATGATATAATATCGTATGAGTATAATATCCTTTTATGACCAGCATTAGTTGTACACTAAAAAATATCTATCGAATATTTAAATTCTATTCTGTAGTAATTGGCATATTTGTAATTACATATTTTTGACACAAATTGTGAATCTTTTAAGTTGAAAATTGGTGAGTGAAGGTAACATTATTGTTTCAGGACGTGCAGACGTGTGACATCGACTACATGTACCGTCAGAGGGACTTCACCTATGATCCAGACAACTGGGGAGACATGCCGGACCTTCTACAGGAGCTGCATAATGATAACCTTAGAGTCATCCTCATCCTGGTACGTGGTGAAACACGACCGGTGACCGCGGTCTTTCACCGTCACTCTTTGCACCTGTTTTCAATTTGTCGTGCACTTAACCGCGGCCTCGCTTATGGCAGATCAGGGTTCGAATCTCGAAGATCCAAGTGGTTGGGCACCATTTCTTTCCCATCATTCCCCGTCTTATCCCAGCTCCTTGTCCCGATATTCTTCCCAAGTGCTACATAGTGTCCTTACTGGCTTGGCACTACCTCCTGATTATTATCAATCAATCAGTTAATCAATTAATCAATAAGTGTTTATTCAAAAGAATGTGTGTACAAAGAACATAAGAGTAATGAACAATTGTAAACAAAACGGAATGTTTACGTTTTGAGAGGAGTTATACATACACATGAAGCCACTAATATGCAAAGCTTTTCGGGCAACGCTTAGTCTTACTATATCTCACTCTGTCGTTCTCATGCCTGCTTTGGCATGGAGATAAGTGTTTATCAACATATCGTAATTGTCTGCATATAGGACTCGTTTATAAGTAAGATATTTTAGTATGTTTATTCATACTTTTATTGAAAATAGAGTTCAAGGGGTGTTGTAGGGAAAACATGATTTTGTGAATGGATATATAATATGTACACAGTTGGTGTTGGCTGCAAAACAAATGTACATCTTAATCGCTGGTAAATACGGTACGTCTTTATTAAGGTTAGCCTACCATATTACACAACAAAGCCTTCCCTTGCACATTATATCCAGGAGTCAGACTTCATCTCATCACTACATCAAGGAGTCAATACCCTCAACACAATTAAGTCATCCTTAAGCAGTACTATAATAGCCTTCTCCACGTTACATCACTGTCAGTTACATCTTCCTCTGAACATCAGGGCATCAGCCCCAACGCTCGTAATTTTCTCTGACTGAGACCTGAATACCAACTTGAGTTGCTTCCTGCAGGACCCGGCGTTGGTGATCGACTTCGACAACTACCCGCCGGCGGCCAGAGGGAAGGAGTCGGACGTGTTCATCAAGTGGTCTGACCCCAGCCTGGTGCCGGACGACCAGGAGCCCGGCACTGACGACTACATAGTCGGCTACGTCTGGCCCGACACAAAGACAGTCTTTCCCGACTTTCTAAAGCCAGAGACTCAAGCCTGGTGGATTAATGAACTGAAGCTTTTCCATGACGTAAGTCAGTGTATGTGTGTGTGTATTCACCTAGTTGTGCTTGCGGGGGGTTGAGCTCTGCTCTTTCGGCCCGCCTCTCAACTGTAAAATGAGTGTGTGTGAATGTGTTTTGTTAATTTGTCATTGTTGTCACCGGAGGCGTCTAGTTTATTGTGCATCGCATACTCATCCTGTGAGCGGTAGTGCAAAACAGGATCACGGAGGGCACAAAAGTTTTTAATCACAACTCTGTGAGGATGTTTATGTTAACAGTTACATCTACCCTTCACACCTGATAATGATAATAGTTAGCAACAATCTATTTTGCATTGGAACACGTCCTGTGTATTTACACCATATTATTATACATGAAAGGTCGTTCTTTTGTTATTACCTAAAATAATTTAAATATTGGATATTGCAGAGTACTAGAAGAACTCTTTATTATCATGTCTTCACTCAACACAGCTAATTGTTCATTTGTCTTAATATATGTCATTTATCTGCTAATATGGAATTACAATATGGAATTATGGATACAATGCAAGGATTTCGGATATTTTCTAATTTATAGTAAGATTGTTTGCCATTACATGCAGCGTGAGTTTTTTGTTTATCTTCAAATGGCTCAATTTTCAGTCTAAAATGTTATGTGATAAGAGTATCTGGCTTTGTCTTTGTCCACACACTTTTCACTGCAATTCATCTAAATCTTCACTCAAACAGAACTGCCAGAGTCGTGGCCATTGCATATGGTTTCATTCTCTTCTGCTTCTTCTTGCTTTACCTATTCTTGAAGTAACTCCACTTCCAGCTCATTCTACTTGCTCGCTACTCTATCATTGGGGATGTGCTACCTTACGTCTCTATGGCTCATTTGGGAATTTCTAGTTTACATCCTTGTCCTCCCGTCTTATGTATGCTCTTGCTTATCTGTAAATGTTTTTATCTGCTTTGTTCGTTTATGGTAACCGGAACAGCATTGTGATCATACAATAAATAAATGTGTATAATTTATTATCTATACCATACAGTTTAAACACCCTCAATTCCCTCTCAATTCTTGGAATATCTACTCACGTGGTGGGTGGGGTGGGGGGAATAACTGAGAACTTTCGAACAGCCGAAGAGCAGTTGTCTTTTGGAGTTATGGAGACGGAAAACTTTTACCATCAGGTTTAACATTGTTGGGAAGATAAATCGACATTCATATATTAACCAAAGGTTATATAATTATATTTATAAACAGCTTCAATAACGGCGTTGTTGCGAGATAATTGATCAATTAATCCATCGCAGGTGCTGGACTACGACGGTCTCTGGATCGACATGAACGAGCCGGCCAACTTCGGCACCAACCTGGACAAGCCCTGGAACTGGCCACTCGACCAGCCGGACTGGAGCCTCAAGTGTCCGGACAACAAGTGGGACTCTCCACCTTACCCAACTATGATGCTCCGAGTAGGTGATAATCAGAGCAAGAAGATCAGGTAAGAAGCCTTTGAACTTATTGGTGATTGGTACAGGGAGTCGTGCATTTGTAGGTGATGAGCGTGGGAGTCTAGCTCCTGTAGGGGAACAACGTGGGAGCTGCACCTGCAGGGGATTAGCGTGGGAGTCTAGCTCCTGTAAGTGAATAACGTGGGAGTCAGCACCTACTGGAGATTAACAGGGAAGTCTGGCAACTAAAGAGGATTAACGAGAGGTATAGAAACGTTTTCACGTGTGATTTGGTTGAGTTTCCGTTTGATAATTTTATTGGATTGATGAAGATATTTGTTTGTAAATGCCTTTATATTATAACTATATAATAATTTATATTTTTTTCCCCATTCCTCGTCACATCTCTGGGCTTGACGGGTGAATGTTTTGGTTGGTAGCGACCACACCATCTGCATGTCCGGCAACCAGACAGATGGCACCTCCACCTACTTGCACTACGACGTTCACTCCCTCTTCGGGTGGGCCGAGACCGTCACCACCTACAGGTAGGAGAACCTCAAGCCACCTCCGTAGAGGTGTTCAGCCACAGGCTACGAGGACCTGGGTTTGGTGTGATAGAAAACGTGCTTTGTTTATTGCTGGTTTCGGACCGTCATCATCAAGTCCACGACGGACCGAAACGTTGTAATATTTACTGTATTTTCAGATACGTGTGTGTGTGTTGTGTCTAATTTTCAACCCGGTTATTGTGACATTGTCTAATTTTATTAGCTTGGTGGTCATTTGTTTTAAAAAATCCTCTTCGTACATACTGATGTGCTTTCATTGTTTTGGGAATTTTTAATAGTCACATAAAAAATATCTAATAATTCGCGAGGTTATACTGACCGTAGTATTGACTCTGGCTTTTATTTACCAAGAATAAACTCATAATTTCTTCTTAATATTGTAAGTTTGAAGCAAAGGATGTCTTCTGGGGAAATCTGTGCCACTGGTTGGGAGTAAAGGAATGAACTTCCGTATCTGGAACTATACATTAAATGTAAACCGAGTGTATACATTATACACTGGGAGGTGATCTTAATAACCCTCCCACCATTTATTGACCATAAGCTTAATGACAAACCAAAATAGCATATATAATGAGCCTATACTGACCCCTATATTGACCTTGACAGAGGCCTGGATGAAGTATTCCCTGGGAAGCGTCCTGTGGTCCTCTCTCGCTCCACCTTCCCGGGCTCGGGCCAGTATGCCGTCCACTGGCTCGGTGATAACTCCGCTGACTGGACGCAGATGCGCATGTCTGTTATTGGTGAGTCTTGAGCGTCCTGGTGGCTAGCTGTGGAAGCTCGACTAGCCCTGTGGCTAGTTGTGGTAGCTCGACTAGCCCTGTGGCTAGTTGTGGTAGCTCGACTAGCCCTGTGGCTAGTTGTGGTAGCTCGACCATCCCTGTGGCTAGTTGTGGTAGCTCGACTAGCCCTGTGGCTAGTTGTGGTAGCTCGACTAGCCCTGTGGCTAGTTGTGGTAGCTCGACCATCCCTGTGGCTAGTTGTGGTAGCTCGACTAGCCCTGTGGCTAGTTGTGGTAGCTCGACTAGCCCTGTGGCTAGTTGTGGTAGCTCGACTAGCCCTGTGGCTAGTTGTGGTAGCTCGACTAGCCCTGTGGCTAGTTGTGGTAGCTCGACTAGCCCTGTGGCTAGTTGTGGTAGCTCGACTAGCCCCATCAGGTTTATGCACTTGTGTTAATAGCGAACCCAAACCCTAATTTTATGTAGTTTCCCTAATTTGTTTACATTTTCTGTAACAATTGCGGTTATTTGTTCCTCGGTAGAATCCTTGGTGAATCAGATAACTTTGATATCGTTCGCCTTATGCGCTTTTGTTTTCGTATTTGGCATCCTTAGTGATATTTAGAGTCATTTAAATAACCTTTGATGGTGCTACATGGTCTCCCCGGCTTGGTACCTTCTGTTGACAATTACTTACTTCTGTATCAATTTACAAATATTAACAAAATTCGAAGGAACACACAATAAAAATATTTAACTTTGGAAAACGCTCTGCAGGCATGTTTGACTTCAACATGTTTGGTATCCCTATGGTGGGCGCCGACATATGTGGCTACTTCAACGAACCTGACATGGAGATGTGTGCCAGGTGGATGGAAGTGGGTGCCTTCTATCCCTTCAGGTGAGTGCCAGGGGGGATAGAGGTAGTTTCCTCCTACCCTTTTCCTTTCAGGTGAGTGCCACGGTTCGATGTTGATTCCTTCTTCCTTTCTGGTAATTTGACATGTATACATTTTTTTAACGTTTTTCTCATATGACAATTGATGGGTAATTAGGTGTAGGTAGGTAGTGTCTACCACTCAGTCAAGGGCTGGGATAAATTGTAGTTGGTAGTGTACTATTTAAATTGGGAAGTTGGTGGTGTTACTAGGAGTAGATAGAAAACATTGAATGTATTTCTATAGTATTTTAGTTAGTATCATTTTTTATACAGGACAAAGAACGAATTCTGATCTAAAACACATATTTGTGATTTTTTTAGTGATTATGCAACATTAATTCAGAGAAACTGAATCAGTGAGACAGTGTTTGAAACAAAATGTTTCGATTGAACATTACCGTCCAGGGCCACGCCCGACGCGCTCCTGGGACGGTAATTCGATAACCCTAACCTATCCTAGCTAATCTATCCTAACCAAACGAAAATCAAAGATAATATTTCGTCTTTTAGGCAGGCTAAAACCCTATGCATTTTAGGGCTGCATCTTCAGGAAGGGGAATGGGGGGACCTAGATAAGCCCAAATGCAGGCTTCCTGTCCCCCCATCAATGGGATTTAAGCTGCGATAGGTGAACTCACCTAGTTGTGCTTGCGGGGGTTGAGCTCTGGCTCTTTGGTCCCGCCTAAGGTGGGTGTGACGTCGTGGGTATGCCTCCTGGAGAGAGGATCTTTTGGAATACAATACCTTGAGGTTACTTTGAGATGATTTCGGGGCTTAGCATCCCCACGGCCCGGTCGTCGACCAGGCCTCCTCGTTGATGTATTGCCTCCATTGGTTGATGGTACTGTCTTTTGTTTACCAGCCGGAACCACAACACCAACGGAACGGCGGACCAGGACCCCGGGGTGTGGCCAGAGGTCGGGGAGATCTCTCGCTACACACTCAACATCCGCTACCAGTACCTGCCCTACCTCTACTACCTCTTCCACAGGGTCAGTTGTATAGGGGGATGTCATATAGAAGTTGACATAGTGGGTTTCAAAGTGTTTTTTGTTTAAATTAATATGTTTTATGTTCAAATTCCACCTTCCACCATATGAAAGATGGAATGGAAAAACAATTTGATGGAAAATGGAATGGATTATGGAAAATACTTGAGTTAGTTTAGTTCTTGTATTATAATATAATCTGATTCCCTACTTCAGATCTGAAAGTATGAGATGGGGAACACTTACCCTCAGGCCTGGGCGTGGGCGGGTCTATCGTAAAAATCGTGGTTGGGCACCGTTTAGGGGCTTCAGAACCTCCCAGTTAATAGAGTAGAGTTCCGGGTTGAATAGCTTTTGTCCTCTTATGGCAGGTGTCTGGGAATCACCAGAATGCCGGTTCAAGTCATCTCATTGCCCCGAAATGATTTTTTAATTGATATATTGATATATCATGTCATTGTTTATATATATATATGTATATATATATATATATATATATATATATATATATATATATATATATATATATATATATATATATATATATATATATATATATATATATATATATATGAATATATATATATATATATATATAATTCAACATTGATTAAATGCTGATGTAACATTGGTATATATATATATATATATATATATATATATATATATATATATATATATATATATATATATATATATATATATATATATATATATATATATATATATATATATATTGTGACGATAATCTCCTTCAAGAGATTGAGCCTGCTCTTCCCTCCAAAATTACGTCTTCACAATTATATAAAAAGACTATGGAAGAAATGTCCAACAACGACAACAACACCATCAAGGCTTGCAAGGGTGAGCAGAAACGTATGCAGCCCGCCACCTGTTCGGACCCAAATCACCAAACTACCCGTTGATCGCTACGGCTCCGCTGATTGGTCGCCGGTCTGGCTGCACCTGCACTCGCCCCCCAATACTACCCGATGTCTGGGGTCGCCCCAACATCAGTCTTCAGAATGTTCCGTGCTTTCGTAGCCAGCACTCCTCCCAGCTAGACGTTAGCGTGTACTGAGAGAGGTGGTGGCTTTAAGCCAATATTCCAGCACCTCCCACTTAACCTTTGTGTTGCACTTCTTGTTATTTTGCCTTAACGTAACTTTTCATTGTGTCATTTAAGTATTCTTATTATTTTGATTCATTGATTTTATTATACATATTTGTTTGTCCATATTTTCATGTTTTGATTTATTTAACGTAATTAAAATTTCATTGTTAAAGTTTTACTTGTGTTTTGTGTGTCTTCTCCTTACCTTACCACAGACGAAGTTCCAGTTTTTCTATTTTTTTTTATAACTATGTGACGAGGCCATACCCCTAGCCTTAAACAGCCGAACACCAACGCGTTACCGTCACAATATATATATAGATATATATAGATATATATATATATATATATATATATATATATATATATATATATATATATATATATATATACCAATGTTACATCAGCAATTTAATCAAATGAATAAAAATTCATTTTTATTTCTAGTCTGACGCGACACGGGCGCGTTTCGTAAAACTTATTACATTTTCAAAGACTTCACAAATACACAACTGATTAGAACTTACGTCTCTCTGATATTATATCTACATTTGAGTGAGGTGGGAAGGATGATGTGGCATTAACACAAGACAGAACAGGGAATATTAATAGGGTATTAAAAGTATCAACACAAGACAGAACAGAAAACAATGGGTATTGAATAGAAGTGTTTGTAGAAAGCCTATTGGTCCATATTTCTTGATGCTTCTATATTGGAGCGGAGTCTTCTACCCACCTCAAGACTCCGCTCCAATATAGAAGCATCAAGAAATATGGACCAATAGGCTTTCTACAAACACTTCTATTCAATACCCATTGTTTTCTGTTCTGTCTTGTGTTGATACTTTTAATACCCTATTAATATCCCCTGTTCTGTCTTGTGTTAATGCCACATCATCCTTCCCACCTCACTCAAATGTAGATATAATATCAGAGAGACGTAAGTTCTAATCAGTTGTGTATTTGTGAAGTCTTTGAAAATGTAATAAGTTTTACGAAACGCGCCCGTGTCGCGTCAGACTAGAAATAAAAATGAATTTTGGAGAAGTGATTTTTGATTTACCTCCAACAGTGAAGCGTAATGTACGAAAGATTGAGAAAATTCGTGTTAGAATTATTAATCTTACTTTTTCGGTCATATTTAATAATATATGTCTACAGGAAAGACTGCTACCAAAATATACTAATATATATATATATATATATATATATATATATATATATATATATATATATATATATATATATATATATATATATATATATATATATACCAATGTTACATCAGCATTTAATCAATGTTGAATTTGAATTAACGTTGATCCAACATTTATTTAGCGTTATTCATGGATATTGTTCCCACTCGGTACATTGTACTCAGCTGTTGCAATGTTATGTTGTTCCTACAGGCGCACATGTTCGGTAATTCTGTCGTCCGGCCGCTGTTGAACGTCTTCCCCAGCGACCTGGCGGCTCGAGACGTCGACGACCAGTTTATGTGGGGCGACGGACTGATGATTGCCCCCGTCCTTACCCAGGGCACCACCTCCAGGGACGTCTACTTCCCTAAGGTAAGGTCCTTACCCAGGGTGCCACCTCCAGGGACGTCTACTTCTCCGAGGTAAGGTCCTTACCCAGGGCGCCACCTCCAGGGACGTCTACTTCCCTTAAGATAAGGTCCTTACCCAGGGCGCCACCTCCAGGGACGTCTACTTCCCCTAAGGTAAGGTCCTTACCCAGGGGCTCCACCTCCAGGGACGTCTACTTCCCTACAGGTAAGGTCGTTACCTAAGGTCATGTAAGGTCTAGATTGTAGTGTTATTTTCGGTTAAATTGTTAAGAACGGAAACTGATATCAATATATGGATATATAAATATAGCACAAACCTGAGGATGGATTATATGCAATTTCCAACCTCAAAATGATCCTTAGTGTTCTGAGTGACAACCTGTCATCCTGAGTGCCCAGAGTGTTAACAGTGACCACCTTGACAGGGGATCTGGTACGACCTGGTGACTGGTGTGGCGACGGCCACGGGACCCACGACGCTCACAGTTGATGCTCCTCTCGAGGTGATCCCTCTCTATGTTCCTGGAGGCGCCATCCTCCCCTACCAGGTGCCCGCCCTCAACACCGTAGAGAGGTAAGTCCCCGCCAGGAGGCACCGTCCTCCCCTACCAGGTGCCCGCCCTCAACACCGTAGAGAGGTAAGTCCCCGCCAGGATGTAATGGCTTGTTTACAGACCTAGCTTCTTCCCTTCTCTTAACCCTCGTTCGTCTTCCCCATCCTTGTTCATTCTCCTCCCTCCTTCATTTCCTAATCTTTCCTTCCCTTCCCCTACCCTTTTGTTGCGCCGGCTCTTTCTTGCCATAAAACTGGAGTCAAGTGCCCTTAGGCAAGTAAGTAATGCAATGTGGAGGTGTGTGTGTGGAGGTACAGTACTCAGCTAATCTAGGAAATACATTACCTGCTTTAGCTACTGAATACAGGATGAGATATGGACCTGTACTGATAATAATTTTTTAATTTTAATGTAGTTTTTGACATTTTCACACTTGGATTCTCTGTATATTTGTGTTGTATTTAACATATATGTTTCTCTAACGTATATATTTCTTACCTGAAGTATGATTGGTGTTTGTTATAGTCGACAAAACCCGCTGGGGCTGACGGTGGCGCTGGACGGGACTCTGGCGGCCTCGGGCGAGATCTTCTGGGACGACGGTGAAGGAGAACACAACATGTCGCTGGTTTATATGTCCATGTTGAATTATAACCAGGTGAGGTGTTTAGGGGCGGTATACAGTAAGGTGGGGGGGGGGGGAGGGGTTTAGTGAGGGACCTGGGGGCGGTATACTGTAAGGTGAGGGGGGAGGGGTTTATAGTGAGGGCCTGGGGGGCGGTATACAGTAAGGCGAGGGGGGTTTAGGGAGGGCTTTGGGGCGGTATACAGTAAGGTGAGGGGGGGGGGGTTTAGTGAGGGACCTGGGGGCGGTATACTGTAAGGTGAGGGGGGGGGGTTTAGTGAGGGACCTGGGGGCGGTATACTGTAAGGTGAGGGGGGAGGGGTTTAGTGAGGGCCTGGGGGGCGGTATGCAGTAAGGTGCGGGGCTTACTTTGCGACTAGGGCGGTACGTGTTCAACTATGAGAGGCTTATAGTGGCGTCAGGAGGTTCGAATCACAGCTAGGTGAGGGACCAGAAGGAATATGCCTATCAATGTCTATAAATATGACTGTCTGTCTGCCTGTACGTTCGAGGTAGGGGGGGGACAGACGCTTATGGCTAGCCCCACCCAATTTGCCCCCGTGGTTGCTATTGGGATACGTGCCCAACATGGTCGGATTCGGGTCGTCAGCAATGAATTGGTCATAGGAAATCTGGTGATTCTGGCACTGGCTGAACCTTTACAGTGTTATAATATTAAAAACAATTATTTGTTCTTGCCATATAGTAAACCATTGTGGACTGATTTGCGAAAAAGTGTTCCAAACCATGGAAGTTACACCCGGGGCTTGGGGTACTGGAGCCCTAGACCTCTCAGGGTTCGTTACCACCCCAAGCAACGATTACCACACCTGCACCACATGTCTTGAACCTGTTATAGCCAGTCTCCCCGCCCCTCTCTCTCTCCAGTAAGAGAGAAGAAACAGGTAAAGAATAGGTACAAAATTTTGATTTGTACATTACACATTTTCAGAACGAGTTGACCATGAGCGTCATGGCCGGAGAGGACATAGTGGCTGGACTGTTTATTGACACCATCGACATCTACGGCTTCCCTAGTGCCCCGCAGGGCGTCAGTGTCAACGATATGGAGCTCCCTGGCGAGGACTGGGAGTACGACGCCTCCACGAGTGTCCTCACTATCACTACCCACGCCCCTCTCGCAGACCCGCTCAGTGTGTTCATACTCTAGGACGTCCCCAGCAGCGTCCTCACCATCATACCCACGCCCCCAGCAGCGTTCTCACCATCACACCCACGCCCTTATTGCTGGGAGCTTTTGTCTATAAACGCCAACTCTATGCTATTCACCTTACTGAAATTTGCTTAATATGAAGACTAATTCTTCAGCTCCTTTTCCTGGCCTTAATCTCCATCTAAATTTTCACCGGCAGACATGTTCTATCCAAATGTTATAATTAAATAAAAAACACTAAAGTCGTATCAACCCATCCTGGAACCTTAGCAAGACGTGTCTGGGGCATACAGAGAAGGAAGGCATTAAAGGCCCAGAAAATAAGTGAAGTACACATGCAAAAATACAGTATGAAAAGAAAATGGAACGAGTCGACCAAGAATAAAGCCCGGGATTTTCATCTGACGGCAGCGCCCCCAGAAGAAAGGGAAGATTTAAGTAAGACAGAGAAGGAAATAAGGGTAGATGAAAACAGGAAATAAAGGAATGCAGAAAAGAAGAACCAAATTAGAGACACAAGAGATAGCATAATATTAATAGCAATATTAACCATAATTTACTTGTCTCTCTCTATCCGCATGTTCATACATTATCTGTACAAATAATTGACGGAAAATTTTGATCTACAAATATTCCAAGTTTGGTATTTAATTCTATTAAAATGTTACCATTGATGATACGTTTTCTCTGATCTTAAAAGTCATAATAGATTTATGAAGCAATGTTATTTCCTATTTGCTAATGCAATGTTTAGATAAAATTATATTTTTATGGTCAACATGTTTTATTTTTATTATTTTTATATACAAGAGTTCTTACATTATTACATAATGTAGTACCACAGTATCGCTAGTTTGAAATTGTACCGATGTGGCTCAGTTGTACCATAGGTGGCAACACTGGATATAGAATCCTACTTTCTGAATGTTGTTTTCCTCAACTAAGAAAGAAATCGGCCTCCGATCAGAGGCTTACTCCTTCCCATTCCCCAAGCATCAAAGGCAAACGTAGAATGCAGAGTTCAGTATTAAATTAATAAACGAGGAACAAATGAAACTGAAAGTAGTGATTTTGTGGATATTGTAAGTAGGGAAAAGGCCAAGAAGGCAGTCAGCCATGGTGGCTGTGTGAGTGTGTAGGGAAGAGCCTAGGGGGGCAGTAGCCTTGAACAAGAGGGAATGAACACATCTAACTTTGTACAAGTACTGTCTGCCCTGATTTATGAAGCGGTGTAATGATGCTCTCAATGATTTTTAGGTGTAAGAATGATGGTCTTCCCCATCCTCCCTTCCCCTCTTAGTCGGTCTCTTTCTCTCGGTCTTTATTAACCTCTCTCCCTCTACGATTAGTGAAGGCTCAGGTGGGAACGGGGACACCTGGCTGAACAGTGTGGCCAGAAAATTTCTTATCTTCTACCACATGTAGCTTATCTTTCCTCGCAAAACGATTCCATTTCTTAAAGAAAAAAGTTAATTTAAGACTATTAATATATCACTTATTTCTACAATTATATCTTAAAACGTAATGCAATTTTTAATGATATAATTGTATATATTTAATGATTGTTGCCACGTGGAGGCGCTTAGTTACACATCATCAGTCCGACCTCGCTTAAGAATTGTTGCCAGGCTACTGGCAGCGAGGGGAGACTATATAATTCCCGGAGGTTCACACGGCTGCAACAGTCGGTGCCTCACTCCTCCAGAAGGATGAGTTTCCGGGGCAGAATGTTGCTGGTGGTGGCTGTTGCCGCCACCTGTGCCATCTCCCTCGCTCAAGACGCCAATCTTCAGGCAATAGAATGCCCTTTCCCAGGTGGGTCCTCTTGAAGAACAGGAATATATATATACATACACCGAAAGGTGTTCCCAAACTTATAGGTATATAAACAGTGTTTGCTTTGTTCAGGATTAAAACATCCTTGCTGGTCAGTTAGCGAGCTGAATAACCCTTCTGCCTTTAGCCCAACACACAAGCTATATACAAACCTCCTCAATGTAAACATAAGTATTAGAGCACCCCAACAGGCTTGCTGGCCATAAATAATTAACCATTTACCTCTCCAGTCTATTAATGAAGCCTGTTAAACTGTCTCAACCTGGCAGCTCATATCCCTTATCCACAACCATATTTATAAAACTATCTTGAACCCGTTGTTGAGGATTTTAGATGCAAAACACAAACTTAGTTGTGTTGATCACACTGCATGGTTACTGAGCTTAATGTCAGTACTCTCGAGATAAATAGGAGTTTTATTCATCATTTCCGCGTTCAATAAACGAATATTTACACCCTCTGTTATGTATCAAATATCAATAAGATCTAACAGCAATAGTGATATATCTTATTCATTAAGTATATTATGGTATGTTCTAATTTTGGCCAACGTTATTAGATGTAGGATACGTTTCTACATTATTCATATGTTTATGCCAAAGAATCTACAGTGCTGCACATTGCTGACCCCTTTTACACCTATTGCATGTGTGTGTGTAGTTGGGTCTCACAGTTGTTGACGTGGGATTTGAGGCACCTCGTGCATTTTCTGAAGTCGCTTAATACGAGTGACTTTATCAGGATAATTGGTGCGGCGGTATGTTGAATGCTGTTCTTGGCAGAATAAACATGTCCCCCAGCCTACAGTACGCTTGGGAGTTACCGCGTTGGGCGAACCAATAACGGTAGGCTTCAAGTGATCTGCTGCTTTAAGTGCCCTCACTGCCTTGCTTCCTCCACTTTAGCGTGGAAGTAATTAGTTGGTGTTTATTTGGAGTACTGGATGTACCCTTTGGTTCCACGGATTTCTCAGTTGTTGACTTTAAAGTGTCAAATTGGTTATTAGTACCAATGTTCTCTACTGACTATCGTTTTAGGTTTGTCAGTTGAAGAACTCGATGTTGGTACTGTTTTTGAAGGCTTAAACTAGACTAGATTGTAAATTCCTTGTTTGTTCGTCAAGGAATTGTGTCTTAGAACACAAACCATCGGATATGTCCTGTACTGTCAGGACGGTATTGTCTTGATGCGAGTATAACTCATCTAATATATCACTGGGCAGTTTTCGTTGGGTGACAACTTTAGTTATCCACTCAGCAGTGGTTATGTCAACCTTTAAGATGAGTGCTCTTAGTACTGACTCACGCTCCAATCTGAAGTCTTGCAGTGAGTCAGCTGTTTGATCAGGTTGGGGAAAGTTCAGCAATTTATGTATTAGTTGTGTAACAACTTTCTCATTGTCAGCATTATCCCCAGGAAGCTGGACTGTGAGATTAGTGCTATCACTGTTTTTATTTAAATTTTCTTCCACAGGTTCACTTGTGGGGCTCGATAATTCGGTAGCCTCAGTTATTGAGTTTCCAGAATCCACAGCAATTGTGGGTAACCTGACTAAAATCAGTTCAATTTCTGGTTGTGTAGTGTTAGGTGAAGCTTTGGTAGAGGAAGCTTTATCCTCGTTGATTAATTCGACAAAAGGATCTAATCCGGCTTGATAATCATCCTCATATTGAGCCAGATCATCCATAATATCATCTATTTCTTCTGATGTACTGGCTGTTGGAAATTACCAACACTTATTTCTCATTTTAGTACTCTGATATATCCTTTTCGTACTAACAATCATATTTTACTAACGCTACTAATCAGTAGTGTACTAATATCAATTCATATCCTATTGCGACGTAATTTCGCCAGAAGTTTTCTAGTATCTGTGGCGCGTCGAGCTAGCAAGCCCATCACCGGCAATCATTTTCCACATATCTAGATCAAATCGAGTCCAGTTATTTACCTTCCTTTATTAAGGATAATCGTTTATTACTAAGTTTACTTTATTTAGTATATTACTACAGCTAGATTAACTGTTACAGTGAAGAATATTACAATATAAAATAATTCCATTTAAATCTTTCTCGTTTATTTTGCGCGGTCCAAATTAACTAACTTACCCTACGAGAAAATATATTGTATAACACATTTATTTATGACGTAAATATTCGTCATATCCACTTCCTTCCATATTTAGAAGTAAATATATAATATAATTTATGCTCGGGGCCCCTACGGGGAGCTATTGCGCATGCGTGTACCCGAGAGGGAAGGAGGAGAGAGTGATCAGTCATATTGCTGATAAAGAGACAGTATCCAGGAGATCACGTTTATATCGGCCCGTAATTGTGTCCGTGCTGCTTGGAACGTTTAGTTCCAAGTAGCGAATCTTGAACAATAACCTTGAGCATGTACACTTATTTCTGCAATACAGCTAAGCCGCTGTTATCTTATTAGCAGTAATTTACTAACATTTAATTGATTATTGATCTTCAACATAAGATCATATATTTACTAACCACTTATATTTACCATGTGATTTATTACCATATCTTGATATTTTATTCTCATAGATGATATGCATTTGTATAGAATTTATGGTGCTCTTAACGCATTAGTTATTTGCACTACATTATAGAATAACCCCCCAAAGAGTGTGGAGGGATTTGGCTCTATAATTTCAATTATTATTCTACAGTCCATTGCCCTAATATTCCTATGAACAATCACATTATATTATCCAGCATCTCAGAGCACCCTATATTATTTATTATTGAAGATCCATAGGCACTGGTTCTCTAATTTATTCAATTTAAATATTTAATTTATTTCTCCCATAAAGGGAGTGGTCCTTCGAAATTTAATTATTATTATTATTAATATTCAGGAGCCAGATTTCCCAACACTGGCTGCTTGATTTGGTACAAGTATCCTGAACAATTTATCCAACCTGGCTTGAGTGTGATCCTAAAACTTGATCCTAATACTAACTAATGCCAGATCAGACCTGATTTGTTCCACATCGTGAACTGATGTGTCGCTGGCGTGGAGCTGATTTTGGTGTGATTTGAATATTTTTTTCAGTTGATCGAATTTGAGATTAGTTATTCGTAGTGAGATTTCCAACTGATAATAATCAACTGGAGACTCGTGTGACAAATGTTCATATTTACTGAGTTGTCTTGTCAGGTGACCTTTAAGTGCTGCTAAAGCACATTTTGTTTTTTGACAAAAATTTTCATAATTACCGAGTTATCTTGTCAATGCTGTCTTTAAAGTGCTGCTAAGGCACGTTTTGTTTTCTGTGAATTAGCCATGGTTAAAACTTTATTAAAACTTCATAAGGTTTATAATATTGTTGCAACTTGGATACTTGCACATTAATTCTGAGCGAGCACTGATGTAAATATCCTAGGGGTTAAATTTCATCATTAGGCTAAATTCTACCTCCTTGGAGGTTGGTACATAAATTGTATATCTAATCACGCCACTAATTTGATTGGTAATCAAGTGTCACTGTAGAAATACCTTTGGCTAGCCCGTTATTATCACCGTTGGATGGATTAGCGACACCTATTAACCTTTAAAGATGAACTATTTACAGTTAAATATAAATTAATATAGCATAGGATAATATAAGTAAAATGATTATATATACAACACAACTCGAGTTATTATTGGTTCGTCTGTAATTGGTCCCACCCTACTTAGGATCTGTACAATGTTTTTTTTATTTTTTTTTTAATACATGAGATACATCTGCATTTGTGCAGCTACCCTAGACTATATGAAGTGGAGTACAGTGTGTCAAAAAAGTTTAGCTAACTACGTGATGCTAAAAAATCCCCATCACACAGGATGGAGATTTTTATACATCATATAGTCATACAGAGGCATGTGGTAGGCAGTCTGCGCTGGCAGACTCTGGATGCATTTTGTACAATGTTCAAATTGTTGCTAGGCTGCTGTTAGTCATACAGAGGCATGTGATAGGCAGTCTGCACTGGCAGACTCTGGATGCATTTTGTACAATGTTCAAATTGTTGCTAGGCTGCTGTTAGTCATACAGAGGCATGTGATAGGCAGTCTGCACTGGCAGACTCTGGATGCATTTTGTACAATGTTCAAATTGTTGCTAGGCTGCTGTTAGTCATACAGAGGCATGTGGTAGGCAGTCTGCACTGGCAGACTCTGGATGCATTTTGTACAATATTTAAATGGTTGCTAGGCTGCTGTTCAGTATTTAGTTCAACACTAGACAAGCTTGATGCGTTAATTTTAGTGGTGAGTAGATATGGTACATACCGTATTTAGTGGTATTACTTATTTATTTGGCACCTTAATTACCTGCATTAAGGTTTGGAGCAACAATAATATAATTTTCAATACCACTATGCGTGCACCTCAGGTTGAGAATTGAAGAGTAAGGCTACTGGGTGAATTTTAGCAGTGCGCTTCTTCAATGATATATATATACTTTATTTCTATATTAATTTATTTCTTGCGATAACAGACTGTGTGATACGATAGTGAACTGTATAGTGGACTATATGATTTAAATTTTCCCACAAGAAGCTTTTCTGCACAAATTTTTTGGGGGTTTAATTATATAGCCTACCAAATCGAAATGAATCGATTGGTAGAAATTTGCTATTAATGGTTAATAATGAATTGAGTTTCAGCTTAGCTGTAGTATAGAATGGAGCCTAGTCAACAAGACCAGGTAACTTATTGATATGTCTTCTTCCCCTTCAATTTTACCTGTGACATATAGTCACATAGTAATAACCGCAACCAATATATGACGGCTGTATCAGGGGCAAGAGATTATGGATAGTTAATTACGTTAATTTAAGTTTACCCGTTCCGGGCGGCTTGCCATGCGTGCTGACAACTTGATAATAAATATGACCATAAATGTAAATATATAATAGTCAGACGGATATAGAACACTTCCCTATTGGCTAGTGGAAGTGTGCTGATGATAGGAGAGTCTGGCGGCCTTCAACACCCTGACTAGCGGGAGGTTTTCATGGGGCTTGTGTGAGCGGGTTCGCTGGCAAGACTTGACATTAACCAACTGTTAATGATCTTGTCAGTTAATGGCTTCAAGCAACGCGTCTTAAGATCGGTTCGAATTCTGCCCTTTTATGACAAACGGACGGAGGAGTTCATTTTATACAATACAATACAATTTTATTTAGGTAAGGTACATACATACAATAAATATTTACAAGGATTGTTTAACTTATAGGTATAGCTAGTACATACAATGCCTAAAGCCACTATTACGCAAAGCGTTTCGGGCATGATAAGGCATTTTATTTATTCAGGGCATTCAGGGTATTTATTCGGGCATTTTATTTATTATTTGCTTATGTCCAGTATCGGGAAACACTTTTTTTATTGAGAAAATCCGTGGGAGCCATCATTAGGGTTCGAATCTATGCCCATATAAATTTCATCCAATAAAAAAATTTGTAGGAGAGTTCATCATGGCTCTTACTGAGTTTCTCATTGACACATCACGTTAGTGTGATTACTCTGTATAATTTCTTATTCTTTCTAGTGCCCAGACTAGTGATTTAGGAATGATTAATTGTAAGTATTATGAAAAAAATTATAATCTGGTGACGTGGCAATAACTCCCATTTTTTTTAGAGAAGTCACAAACCCAATTTTTTATATGATACTCTTAGATAATTATGATTAGTGGTAATTTGTATCGGAATTTCCGATATTTGTCAGGGGACAGAAGATGGTGTCAGAGGGACAGGATGTGGTGTCAGAGGGACAGGATGTGGTGTCAGAGGGACAGGATGTGGTGTCAGAGAGACAGGAGATGGTATCAGAGGAACAGTGTAGGAAGTACTTAGCTCTTAAAGTTCTTGTGTGTTGTCAGAGGGACAGGAGGTGGTGTCAGAGGAGGAGTGCGGGAAGTACTCAGCGTGTGAGTGGACGGACGGAGTCTGCCATGTAGTGGACAACGCCGTTGGTGGCTACGTCGTCCAGGGCCCGCCAGAGGTCACCACCAGAGGCTTCAAGGTAACTCTTAAGAGCTTCTCTCGTCTACCAATCAAGTGTGAATGTAAATATATATTTTTTTTCTTTGACTCCAAACAGCCAGGGGGCTTCATGTACCTTGGCGTGTCTAGTACTTTCACCATGCACCAGTTAAGATGCTTGGAACCCCTAGCTGTCTGGGTTCAAATCCTTCAGGGGTGAGAAGTTTTCTGTTGTATATTAGCTTGGGGACCATTCAAGCGTGCCCCACAAATGTTACTCACGTGGCCCAAACATGATGAAGGGATTTGATGAACTATCTGTGCCCAAAATGGTCATCGAGAGCTGTCGGGAATTGGTTTAAGAGTCACACGACTTCCAATTCTTTTGTATAGTCAGTGTAGCCTAGTGGTGAAAGTACTGGACACACCAAGGTGCATGGAGCCCCTCTGGGTTCGAATCCTTCATGGATGAGGAGTTTTCTGTTTTTTATATATATATATCCTTGAATGTCAAGATTATATTCTCAAAAGATGAAATCCTTGCCAGAAGGATTTCATCTTAGGGAGGAAAGGTGATAACGGTCCGGGCAAATGACTTATGTAAATATTACAGGTTAACCTGAAGAAGGCGGACGACACAGTGACGATGTTCGGAGACGACGTGACCAACTTGGTGTTTGAGGTCATCCAGCACGAAGATTACCACCTCCAGGTCAAGGTGAGCTCAGTGACCCCTGATTTGTGCAGGTAATTACTAGTCTCTACTACAGAGGTTGTCACCAATACGTTACTGTCGTAGCCGCTCTTGTCTACCACAGTTGTTCCTCCCCGACAGATCTACGACGCAGACGCGGAGCGCTACGAGGTGCCGGTGCCTCTGAGTCTTCCTGACGCCGCAGACGCCGGCGCCCTCTACACCGTCAACGTCAGCGGGGAAGGCGAACCTTTCGACTTCGTCGTCAGCAGAAAGTCCAACAACAACACTGTGTAAGTCGTCCCTCCGACACACTCCGTCACTATCAATCATCATCATCATCACAATCATTAACCATACCGCTGACAATGCTTCCTTTTGGCATCAGCATTGTTAACTGCAAAATGATTGTCTTGATGACTTTGGTTCCAGGTTCCGCTCGTTGGGGCCCCTGACCTTCGAGGACCAGTTCCTGCAGCTGCACACCTCCCTCGCCTCCACTTACCTGTACGGCTTCGGCGAGAACACCCACCTCTCCTTCAGACACACGTTCGAGCCCCGCTCCACCTTCCCCATCTTCGCCAGGGACCAGCCAGTGGGCACAGTAAGATCACCATTCACATACAGAGGTTTTGATTTGATTGTTGCCGCCGGAGGTGGCTAGTTTATTGTACACCCTCATACTCTTCCTGTGAGCGGTAGCGCAAAAAGCATTACAGAGGGCACAAAAGGTCTTTATCAGACCTCATCCTAAATTATTACTCAAACAATTTCATCTATCCTTCACACCTGATAGTTACATGTCAGCTAATTACAGAGAATGTTCACACAGAGAGTTGCAGTAAATCCCGTAGTCAGACATAACCGAAGTCAGTACTACAAATTCTTGTTGTCTTCGCCATTGTCATTGCCCGAAGGCAATTGCATCATTGCCTTCGGGCAGGAGGTGGTGTCAGTAGGACAGGATTGGTGTCAGAGGGACAGGAGGTGGTGTCAGAGGAGGAGTGTGGGAAGTACTCGACTATTAATGATCTTGTGTGTTGTCAGAGGGACAGGAGGTGGTGTCAGTGGGACATGATTGGTGTCAGAGGGACAGGAGGTGGTGTCAGAGGAGTGTGGGAAGTACTCGACTATTAATGATCTTGTGTGTTGTCAGAGGGACAGGAGATGGTGTCAGAGGAGGAATGTGGGAAGTACTAAGCTTCAGACTACTCAATGTCTCTTCATACTTCAAGGATAGAATATTGAAAATAGAGCTTGGTGAGCGTCCTCTCTCTCTCTGTTTACATATAGCAGTGTATGAAACGCGTCGACGTGCAAACAACCCACACAGTATCGTGTTCTCTGAACCTCATCATTGAGGGAGGGCGAAGAGGGACACCATCTCCCTCTTCTACTCCCACACTCTCCCATAGTCTCCCAGCCTCTCCCTTATTTTCTCTCTAGGACCCCATGAACGAGTACGGTCACCACCCATACTACATGGTGATGGAGGACGACGAGGGTAACTCTCACTCCGTCCTTCTCTACAACTCTAACGCCATGGGTGAGTGTACATGTGCTACTGGGGCCATGGGTGATGGTACTTGAGCTACTGGGGTCATGGGTGAATGTATATGTTGTACTGTTTTGTGCAGCAGTCGGTGTAGGATGATCCTTACAAGCATCTTGCAAGTGCATGACATGAGACTGATAAATCTGTAATTGCCAGGGTCATTGGGTTTCGGTATGGGAACAATTATTGCGTGTTTTATTATTGCAAGCATTGTGTGGGCAACACTCTACTTAAAAATGATTTGTTAAACAAGTGGAATAGTGGATTCCCAGACACTTCACACAGTGTATTGAGTATGTCGTAGGTGATGCCATCTTCACCAGGTGCAGTACTTTTACCCTTTTTCATAGCCCCCCCTTACTTCTTTGGTTATGATAGGTTCCCCATATTCGTCATCACTAGACTGTGCTCTTGTTATACTAATTCTTCTGTCATTATATCGCAGTTGTTCCTTGCTGATTTCTGCTGGCAGGGAGGAGGAGTATGCTGCATCACTCCACTTGTAAATTAGTTCTTCAGCCTTACCCTGGGGGTCTTTGTGAGCCACAGGCCGGGTTCTGCCCCCTTTAGCTATCTGAATTTTTGCCCACACTTGTCTTGCAGATGTTTCCCGTCCAATAGAGCTAGTGAACTCAAGCCATTGTCTTTCCCGCTCTTTAATCTTATCTTTCCTGGCTACTTGACACACAGTTTTAAACAGCTCTTGGTTGCTGTCAGTGGGATGTCTCCGGTACTCTACTCATGTCTCTTACATTTGCGTTAAGCATATTTATGTAATCGTTCTCATATCTTTTATTTTCTTCCTCTGAGGGATACTGCGCAAAGTCGCAAGGCGCGGAATCTGAGACAGCTCTATGTTTGGTGATTAAGGTTTCAACAAGTGTGTCAATGTCTTCTGGGATTTGGTATTCCGTAAACCAGTCACTCATCTTGTTTATGAAGTGCGGCCTCATATCTGGTCCCAGTGATAACCTTTTTCTTTTATTTGTCTCTTTCTTTCTCTTGCTCATGTCGACGGTGGTAATTAGTGCCCAATGGTCACTACATAAACTGTGCACAATGTGTGTACTGGCATCCGTGTCCTGTGCATTCAGCAGGAGAGCATAGTCTAATCTTCCTCCTCTGAGGTGAGTTGGCTGTTCATCTCCCAGACCCTGAGGTTTTCACTTCCCCTGAGATAGAGCGACAGTTTCCGCCCATTGACATTGGGCTGATGACAGTGGGCACCAAAGTGTGGGTGTCTGGCATTAAGGTCACTGACCAGCAGGGTAGGTTCTTCATTAACAAATTCAGGTAGTGTGTCAAGGTCAAGTTTACTCTGTGGTATATAGGTTGATTATATGTAAGGCATTATTGTTTAAGTGAAGGGTTACGCCCAGTGATTTATACTTATCCCTCATGTGGAAGTCATCAATAATCTGTGCGGGAATGTTGTTGTTTACAAAAGTGATGAGACCCCGTTTTCTTTCCCCAGCGGGCAGGGAGAACTTGCGATAACCGCTGAATCTTGGGTTGAAGTCATCACCTACCAGCGTCTCCTGTAGCACTATGACGTCAGTTTGGTGTTCACATACGTACTGAACGATGCCATTAATTCTATTGTGAACTCCATTGCAGTTCCATTGTAGTATAGTGAGATGTTCTTCAATGTGATTATCCATTTTGAGGTTGTTTGTCATCAGATGCGCTATGTGTGTAATTATTATGTTCGCGTGTGTTATTGTGTATTCCATGATGTTTGGTGTTACTGTGTGTACTGGCGTTACTGTGTGTACTGGTGTTACTGTGTGTACTGGTGTTACTGTGTGCACTGGTGTTACTGTGTGTACTGGCGTTACTGCGTGCACTGGTGTTACTGTGTGCACTGGTGTTACTGTGTGTACTGGTGTTACTGTGTGTACTGGCGTTACTGTGTGTACTGGTGTTACTGTGTGTACTGGCGTTACTGTGTGTACTGGTGTTACTGTGTGTACTGGTGTTACTGTGTGCACTGGTGTTACTGTGTGTACTGGTGTTACTGCGTGCACTGGTGTTACTGTGTGCACTGGTGTTACTGTGTGTACTGGCGTTACTGTGTGTACTGGTGTTACTGTGTGTACTGGTGTTACTGTGTGCACTGGTGTTACTGTGTGTACTGGTGTTACTGTGTGTACTGGTGTTACTGCGTGTACTGGCGTTACTGTGTGTAGTGGTGTTACTGTGTGTACTGGTGTTACTGTGTGCACTGGTGTTACTGCGTGCACTGGTGTTACTGTGTGTACTGGTGTTACTGTGTGCACTGGTGTTACTGTGTGTACTGGTGTTACTGCGTGCACTGGTGTTACTGTGTGCACTGGTGTTACTGTGTGTACTGGCGTTACTGTGTGTACTGGTGTTACTGTGTGTACTGGTGTTACTGTGTGCACTGGTGTTACTGTGTGTACTGGTGTTACTGTGTGTACTGGTGTTACTGCGTGTACTGGTGTTACTGTGTGCACTGGTGTTACTGTGTGTACTGGTGTTACTGTGTGCACTGGTGTTACTGCGTGCACTGGTGTTACTGTGTGTACTGGTGTTACTGTGTGCACTGGTGTTACTGTGTGTACTGGTGTTACTGCGTGCACTGGTGTTACTGTGTGCACTGGTGTTACTGTGTGTACTGGTGTTACTGTGTGTACTGGCGTTACTGTGTGTACTGGTGTTACTGTGTGTACTGGCGTTACTGTGTGTACTGGTGTTACTGTGTGTACTGGTGTTACTGTGTGCACTGGTGTTACTGTGTGTACTGGTGTTACTGCGTGCACTGGTGTTACTGTGTGCACTGGTGTTACTGTGTGTACTGGCGTTACTGTGTGTACTGGTGTTACTGTGTGTACTGGTGTTACTGTGTGCACTGGTGTTACTGTGTGTACTGGTGTTACTGTGTGTACTGGTGTTACTGCGTGCACTGGTGTTACTGTGTGCACTGGTGTTACTGTGTGTACTGGTGTTACTGTGTGTACTGGCGTTACTGCGTGTACTGGTGTTACTGTGTGCACTGGTGTTACTGCGTGTACTGGTGTTACTGTGTGCACTGGTGTTACTGTGTGCACTGGCGTTACTGTGTGTACTGGTGTTACTGCGTGCACTGGTGTTACTGTGTGCACTGGTGTTACTGTGTGCACTGGCGTTACTGCGTGTACTGGTGTTACTGTGTGCACTGGTGTTACTGTGTGCACTGGTGTTACTGTGTGTACTGGTGTTACTGCGTGCACTGGTGTTACTGCGTGTACTGGTGTTACTGTGTGTACTGGTGTTACTGTGTGTACTGATGTGCTGGTGTCTTGGTTGTGTCTGCCGACGTACCTCGGCAGCATGTGTTGCATCATCTTGCACTAGGCTCTGGCTTGCAGGACCTCCACTTAATGGAGTCTGCTGTTGCAGGATTTTGAGAATTTGTTCCTGAGTCGTCTTAATTTGGCAGAGGGCTTTCTCAGGTTCCGTTTGCTTTTATAATATTTGGTGGACAACTGGATGAGTTTGTATCATATAGTCTGATATTGCCCATGGGTGAATGCACTGATCAACAGAGCTGTTGGGGAGTTTACCTGATCACACCTCTTGACAGCCAACAGTTCTTTAATTGTTCTCTGAAGTTTCCTGACGAAATTCATATAGATTAATGCACTTTATAACTAATTAAATCCCCATATTATCTGGGATTATCAGCCACATTCCCTGATTAGAATTGTCATTATACACACACCACGTCTAAACGTAAACACACACACACACACGTCTGTAATATAGCCATTTACAAGTGTTGATGGAGCCAGAATTAATTTCTATATCTTGAAATTGGGAAATTGTGCCCTTGACGCATAGCAATCCAAGTATGGACTTACGATATTTAACCAGAGTCAATAAATATAATCAACTTAGATCTTACAGCCAGTCCGGGACTCGACCCCTGGTGTTCCTGCGGGCGTGATAGTGACGAGGTACTAACTAGAATACCTGCCGTGTCGCCCTCCAGAGTACTCGACCTTCCTGCTGGAGGATGGGACGCCGGCGCTCACATTGAGGACCATCGGAGGCATCATCGACCTGCACATGTTCCTGGGCCCCCTGCCGGAGGACTTGATCACGCAGTATACCTCCGTCAGTATCACCGCCCCCCACCACTCTCTTTCTCCGTCAATATCACCGCTCTCCACCACCCTCTCCCAGCAATCGTAACGTTGAAGGTAACTTTGGAAAACGCTCTGCAGGCATGTTTGACTTTAACATGTTTGGAATCCCTATGGTGGGCGCCCGACATATGTGGCTATTTCAACGCACCTGACATGGAGATGTGTGCCAGGTGGATGGAATTGGGTGCCTTCTATCCCTTCAGGTGAGTGCCAGGGGGGATAGAGGTAGTTTCCTCCTACCCTTTTCCTTTCAGGTGAGTGCCACGGTTCGATGTTGATTCCTTCTTCCTTTCTGGTAATTTGACATGAATACATTTTTTTAACATTTTTCTCATATGACAATTGCGAGGTAATTAGGTGTAGGTAGGTAGTGTCTACCACTCAGTCAAGGGCTGGGATAAATTGTAGTTGTAGTGTACTATTTAAATTGGGAAGGTTGGTGGTGTTACTAGCAGTAGATAGAAAACATTTAATGTATCTCTTTAGTATTTTAATTAGTGTCATATTTTTACAGGACAAAAACCGAATTCTGATCTGAAACACAAGTTTTTGCATCCTCAGGAAGGGGAATGGGGGGGGGGGTCCTTGATATGCCGAAATGCAGGCTTCCTGTCCCCCCAACAATGGGATTTAGGCTGCGAGAGGTGTGTGTGTGTGTATGTGTGTGTGAGACGTCGCCGGTTTGCCTGCTGGAGAGGATCTTTTGGAATACAATATCTTGAGGTTACTTTAAGATGATTTCGGGGTTTAGCGTCCCGCGGCCCGGTCATCGACCAAGCCTCCTCGTTGATGTATTGCCTCCATTGGTTGATGGTACTGTCTTTTCTCACCAGCCGGAACCACAACACCAACGGGACGCCCGACCAGGACCCCGGGGTGTGGCCGGAGGTCGGGGAGATCTCTCGCTACACACTCAACATCCGCTACCAGTACCTGCCCTACCTCTACTACCTCTTCCACAGGGTCAGTTGTACACGGGGATGTCATATAGAAGTAGACATAGTGGGTTTCAAAGTGTTTTTTTTTTGCAAATTAATATGTTTTATGTTCAAATTTCGTCTTCCACCAGATGGAAGATGAAATGGAAAAACTCTTGATGGAAAATGGAATGGATAATTGAAAACACTTAAGTTAGTTTGGTTCTTGTATTATAATATAATCTGATTCCCTCCTTCAGATCTGAAGGATCTGTAAGTATGAGATGGGGACACTTACCCGCAGGCCAGGGCGTGGGCGGGTCTATCGTAAAACTCGTGGTTGGGCACCGGTTAGGGCCTTCAGAACCTCCTAGTGAATACGGTAGAGTTCCGGGTTGATAGGTTTTTGTCGAGATAGGATTGATAGGATTATGGCCGAGTGGGTTATGGCAGGTGTCTGGGAATCACCAGAACGCCGGTTCAAGTCATCTCATTGCCCCGAAATAATTTTTTCATTTATATAACTCGCAATTGTTTATATATACATATATCAACGTGTCATCAGCATTTAATCAACGTTGATCAATGTTGAATTTGAGTTAACGTTGATCCAATATTTATTTAGCGTTTCTCATGGATATTGTTCCCACTCGGTACATTGTACTCAGCTGTTGCAATGTTATGTTGTTCCTACAGGCGCACATGTTCGGTAATTCTGTCGTCCGGCCGCTGTTGAACGTCTTCCCCAGCGACCTGGCGGCTCGAGACGTCGACGACCAGTTTATGTGGGGCGACGGTCTGATGATTGCCCCCGTCCTTACCCAGGGCGCCACCTCCAGGGACGTCTACTTCCCCGAGGTAAGGTCCTTACCCAGGGCGCCACCTCCAGGGACGTCTACTTCTCCGAGGTAAGGTCCTTACCCAGGGCGCCACCTCCAGGGACGTCTACTTCCCTGAGGTAAGGTCCTTATCCAGGGCGCCACCTCCAGGGACGTCTACTTCCCTAAGGTAAGGTCCTTACCCAGGGCGCCACCTCCAGGGACGACTACTTCCCCTAAGGTAAGGTCCTTACCCAGGGCGCCACCTCCAGGGACGTCTACTTCCCTAAGGTAAGGTCCTTACCCAGGGCGCCACCTCCAGGGACGTCTACTTCCCTGAGGTAAGGTCCTTACCCAGGGCGCCACCTCCAGGGACGTCTACTTCCCTAAGGTAAGGTCCTTACCCAGGGCGCCACCTCCAGGGACGACTACTTCCCCTAAGGTAAGGTCCTTACCCAGGGCGCCACCTCCAGGGACGTCTACTTCCCTAAGGTAAGGTCCTTACCCAGGGCGCCACCTCCAGGGACGTCTACTTCCCTAAGGTAAGGTCCTTACCCATGGCGCCACCTCCAGGGACGTCTACTTCCCTAAGGTAAGGTCCTTACCCAGGGCGCCACCTCCAGGGACGTCTACTTCCCTAAGGTAAGGTCCTTACCCAGGGCGCCACCTCCAGGGACGTCTACTTCCCTAAGGTATGGTCATTACCTAAGGTCATGTAAGGTGTAGATTATAGTGTTATTTCGGTTAAATTGTTTGATCGGAAACTGACATCAATATATGGATATATAAGTATTTGTACAAACCTGAGGATGGATTATAGGCAATTTGCAACCTCGAAATGATCCTTAGTGTTCAGCTGTCATCCTGAGTGCCCAGAGTGTTAACAGTGACCACCTTGACAGGGGATCTGGTACGACCTGGTGACTGGTGTGGCGACGGCCACGGGACCCACGACGCTCACAGTTGATGCTCCTCTCGAGGTGATCCCTCTCTATGTTCCTGGAGGCGCCATCCTTCCCTACCAGGTGCCTGGCCTCAACACCGTAGAGAGGTAAGTCCCCACCAGGAGGCGCCATCCTCCTCTACCAGGTGCCCGCCCCCAACACCGTAGAGAGGTAAGTCCCCGCCAGGAGGCACCGTTCTCCCCTACAAGGTGCCCGCCCTCAACACCGTGGTTCACTCACCACCTACAACTTATGGCTACAGTACTTAGCTAAACTAGGAAATACATTACCTGTTTTAGCTACTGTATCCAGGATGAGATATGAACCTGTCCTGATAATAATTATTTAATTTTAATGTAGTTTTTTTACAGTTTTACACTGGGATTCTCTGTATATTTACGTTGTATTCAACATATATGTTTCTTAACGTATATATTTCTTACCTGAAGTATGATTGGTGTTTGTTATAGTCGACAAAACCCGCTGGGGCTGACGGTGGCGCTGGACGGGACTCTGGCGGCCTCGGGCGAGATCTTCTGGGACGACGGTGAAGGAGAACACGACATGTCGCTGGCTTATATGTCCATGTTGAATTATAACCAGGTGAGGTGTTTAGTAAGGGCTTTGGGGCGGTATACAGCAAGGTAAGGGGCTTACTTTGCGTCTAGGGGCGGTACGTGTTCAACTATGAGAGGCTTATACTGGTGCCAGGAAGTTCGAATCACAGCCAGGTGATGGACCAGAAGAAATATGTCTATCAATATCTATAAATCAGAATGTCTGTCTGTCTGTACGTTCTAGGTAGGGGGGCCAGACGCTTAGAGGCTAGCCCCACCCATTTTGCCCACGTGGTTGCTATGGGCATACGCGCCCAACATGGTCGGATCGGTGTCGTCAGCAATGAATTGACACTGTGCCATAGGGAATCTGCTGATTCAGGCACTGGCTGGTCCTTCAAAGTGTTAAAAATATTAAAAAATATTAAAAAATATTTTGTCTTGCTATATAGTAAACCATTATGGACTGATAGTGAAAAAGTGTTCCAAACCATGGAAGTTACACCCCTCAGGGTTCGGTACCACACCTGCACCACATGTCTTGAACCTGTTATAGCCAGTCTCCCCTCCCCCCACTCTCTCTCTCTCTTTCTCCAGTAAGAGAGAAAAAACTTGTAAAGAATAGGTACAAAATTTTGATTTGTACATTACACATTTTCAGAACGAGTTGACCATGAGCGTCATGGCCGGAGAGGACATAGTGGCTGGACTGTTTATTGACACCATCAACATCTACGGCTTCCCTAGTGCCCCGCAGGGCGTCAGTGTCAACGATATGGAGCTCCCTGGCGAGGACTGGGAGTACGACGCCTCCACGAGTGTCCTCACTATCACTACCCACGCCCCTCTCGCAGACCCGCTCAGTGTGTTCATACTCTAGGACGTCCCCAGCAGCGTCCTCACCATCATACCTACGCCCCCAGCAGCGTCCTCACCATCACACCCACGCCCCCAGCAGCGTTCTCACCATCATACCCACGTCCCTAGCAGCGTCCTCACCATCATACCCACGTCCCTAGCAGCGTCCTCACCATCATACCTACGCCCCCAGCAGCGTCCTCACCATCACACCCACGCCCTTATTGCTGGGAGCTTTTGTCTATAAACGCCAACTCTATGTTATTCACCTTACTGAAATTTGCTTAGTATGAAGACTAATTCTTCAGCTCCTTTTCCTGGCCTTAATCCCCATCTAAATTTTCGCCGACAGACATGTTCTATCCAAATGTTGACCAGACCACACACTAGAAGGTGAAGGGACGACGACGTTTCGGTCCGTCCTGGACCATTCTCAAATCGATGAGAATTCATCCACTTGATTAATTTTCAATCGACTTGAGAATGGTCCAGGACGGACTGAAGCGTCGTCGTCCCTTCACCTTCTAGTGTGTGGTGTGGTCAACATACTTTAGCCACGTTATTGTTTCTATCCAAATGTTATAATTAAATAAAAAACATTAAAGTCGTATCAACCCATCCTGGAGCCTTAGCAAGACGCGTCTGGGGCATACAGAGAAGGAAGGCATTTTAGGCCCAGAAAATAAGTGAAGTAAATATGGACAAAGTGCAGTATGAAAAGAAACTGGAACGAGTCGACCAAGAATAGAGCCCGGGATTTTCATCTGGCGGCAGCGCCCCCAGAAGAAAGGGAAGATTTAAGTAAGACAGAGAAGGAAATAAAGGTAGATGAAAACAGGAAATAAAGGAATGCGGAAAAGCAGAGTTAAATTAGAGACACAAGAGATAGCATAATATTAATAGCAATATTAACCTTAATTTACTGTAATTCTATTACAATATAACCATTGATGATATGTTTTCTCTGACCTTAAAAGTCATAATGGATTTGTGAAGCAATGTTATTTCCCATTTGTTAATGCTATGTTTAGATAAAATTATATTTTTATGGTGAACATAAGTGTTCAACCATGAGTGAACAAGACTCTCCTGGTTATGTATGGTCGAATGTGAAACTTTACCAACATTTGGACGTAATAATTGTGAATACATCTGGTGACTCTCACAGCTGAACCTCTGTTGTTATAGATTATTTGCCAACTGATAAATAGTTTCGGGAATTTTAACAGTCCAGTCTGAAATTTAATACAAAAATAATCCAACCTGCGCATATGAAATGAAATAAGAGTATTCTTACTTTTACTTAGCATGTGTTCAAGAATGATCAGCGCACCGTAAAAATCTAAATTATTATGCAAGACGAGCTCAATCAAAGGATTTTTATTACTAGGTTCTTTGGGATAATTAAAATGTCTCAAACTTGTCGAGATAATGCAACACAAGCCAATGTACACTCACTCTGCTCTGAGCTTAGTAATATATATCCAGATAATACACATAGAAATCACAATAGCGTGCTGCATCAAATGAATATATCCACAAGGGCCGTGATGAGGGTTCGAACTTACGTCTGGGATAATCCCAGACGCTGCCTTAGTCGACTAGGCTTCGACATGGAAAAGAATTGCAACCAGGAATTCCACTTAATCCAGATATTAATATAACCAATAACTCCATTATCCCCGAATGAGTTCTAATAGCAATGGTCATACCTGTGTCTGTCAGAGGGATAATTGTGCTTAAAATATTTTAAAAGGAAATTTATTTACATTAAGGCAAACAAGAATAATGAAAATAAATAAATAAATAAAAAATTTTCTGCAAGTGACACAAACACAAATTAATAAAAAGTTAAGCAATAAACTTTTAGTTGATATTGATTATTTAGTTGAAATAATTCAAAGGGTTTTTAGAACGGAGAGAATTTGTATTTATTTCTTATTTTTTGTTTACTGTACACAGTTTACTGTACACAGTTTACTGTACACAGTTTCGATAGTTTGAGTAGTTCTTCGAGGATGGCATGTACGCATGATGAGTCAGAATGCTGCTGGAGGCATTCATGCTGAGTGATTATGGGGCGGTGAGTAAGGAAGGTGACGAGACACAATCCTACACAATCTTGACACTGAGGGGTTGAGCGAGAGGAGCGTGAGTGGTGATGGTGAGGACGCTACTGGCGGCAGTGTACTCGAAGTCCTCAGCAGGAAGAGCTACGTCGTTGACAGTGACGCCCTGCGGGGCACTAGGGAAGCCGTAGATGTTGATGGTGTCAATGAAGAGCCCAGTCACCATATCCTCTCCATGCATGATACTCATTGTCAGCTCACTCTGAAAATTATAAAATAAAATTATATAAATACCGTGTTAAAAAATTGGTATGTATAGGCGAAGTAAGACAAAGTCCAACACCAATACGAGGGACCTGATAGTCTAGGCAGATGTCTAGATAAGAATTAAGGATGGCTACTAGAAAATTTCCAACATAAGGATCTTGTACAGCATAAAGTCATGCTCGAACTTTCCTGAAAACTTCCACTAGGGAGCTTTTCAGTAAAGTCGGTTTTCAGTCGTTTGGGAAAGGTAGTCAGGCGAAAAACCTGCAAGTATACCCCCCACTGACTGCTTCCTTCAGTGATCTTGAGGTCACGAATCGCAATGAAATTTCATTTCTTAAGTGCTCTGGTAAGATCACTCCTAGTAACTCACTAGCAGTCGTAGAAGATAAGAATGCAGACAGTGCTGTTGGCACTGCCTTGTGGGTACACATTCCATGTACCATACCTCGCCTCACTAAACCCCTCATGTTTAGCGAGGCGTTGTATATCCATCCGATTGATTGATTGATGACTGATAAAGATTAAGTCACCAAAAAGGTGACACGGGCATGAATAGCCCGTAAGTGGTGGCCCTTTTGAGCCATTACCAGTATCAATAGATGATACTGGAGATCTGTGGAGGTGCGACTGCACCCTGCGTGACGGGAGATGTCTCCCGTGGAATGTGTTAAGATTGATAAAGATTAAGCCGCCCAAAAGGTGGCACGGGCATGAATAGCCCGTAAGTGGTGGCCCATTACCAGTATCAATAAATGATACTGGAGATCTGTGGAGGCGCGACTGCACCCTGCGTGACGGGAGATGTCTCCCGGACCAAATGGTGACCATCCCCTTAGAGAGAGAGAAGATTAAGCCACCCAAAAGGTGGCTTGGGCATGAATAGCCCATAAGTGGTGGCCCTTTTGAGCCATTTCCATTATCAATAGATGATACTGGAGATCTGTGGAGGAGCGACTGCACCCTGCGTGACGGGTGATGTCTCCCGTGTCCATCCCCTTCCCCAGGCCATACATATATAGGCCTGCTTGCCTGTATGCCGCACCTCACCTGGTTATAATTCAACATGGACATATAAGCCAGCGACATGTCGTGTTCTCCTTCACCGTCGTCCCAGAAGATCTCGCCCGAGGCCGCCAGAGTCCCGTCCAGCGCCACCGTCAGCCCAGCGGGTTTTGTCGACTATAACAAACACCAATCATACTTCAGGTAAGAAATATATACCTTAAGAAACATATATGTTGAATACAACTCAAATATACAGAGAATCCCAGTGTAAAACTGTCAAAAACTACATTTAAATTAAATAATTATTATCAGGACAGGTTCATATCTCATCATGGATACAGTAGCTAAAACAGGTAATGTATTTCCTAGTTTAGCTAAGTACTGTAGCCATAAGTTGTAGGTGGTGAGTGAACTACGGTGTTGAGGGCGGGCACCTTGTAGGGGAGGACGGTGCCTCCTGGCGGGGACTTACCTCTCTACGGTGTTGAGGGCGGGCACCTGGTAGGGGAGGATGGTGCCTCCAGGAACATAGAGAGGGATCACCTCGAGAGGAGCATCAACTGTGAGCGTCGTGGGTCCCGTGGCCGTCGCCACACCAGTCACCAGGTCGTACCAGATCCCCTGTCAAGGTGGTCACTGTTAACACTCTGGTCACTCAGGATGACAGGTGGGCATTCAGAACACTAAGGATCATTTTGAGGTTGGAAATTCCCTATAATCCATCCTCAGGTTTGTGCTATACTTACATATCCATATATTGATGTCAGTTTCCGATCTTAACAATTTACCGAAAATAACATTATAATCTAGACCTTACATAACCTTAGGTAACGAACGACCTTACCTCGGGGAAGTAGACGTCCCTGGAGGTGGCGCCCTGGGTAAGGACCTTACCTCGGGGAAGTAGACGTCCCTGGAGGTGGCGCCCTGGGTAAGGACCTTACCTCGGGGAAGTAGACGTCCCTGGAGGTGGCGCCCTGGGTAAGGACCTTACCTTAGGGAAGTAGACGTCCCTGGAGGTGGCGCCCTGGGTAAGGACCTTACCTCGGGGAAGTAGACGTCCCTGGAGGTGGCGCCCTGGGTAAGGACGGGGGAAATCATCAGACCGTCGCCCCACATAAACTGGTCGTCGACGTCTCGAGCCGCCAGGTCGCTGGGGAAGACGTTCAACAGCGGCCGAGCGACGGAGGCGCCGTTCATGTGAGCCTGTAACAGCGTAGAACAACGCTGCAATACAGCAGTATAACAATATACTGTTGAAAGAACTTAGAACACCATTAGACTGCAACAAGATAATACGGTGTAGCACTTGAGAGAATGATTCAGACTGTGTGTTGGTAGGGGCTGTGTGTTGGTAGAGGCTGTGTGTTGGTAGGGGCTGTGTGTTGGTAGGGGCTGTATGTTGGTAGGGGCTGTATGTTGGTAGGGGCTGTGTGTTGGTAGGGGCTGTGTGTTGGTAGGGCTGTATGTTGGTAGGGGCTGTATGTTGGTAGGGGCTGTGTGTTGGTTGGGGCTGTGTTGCTAGGGGCTGTATGTTGGTAGGGGCTGTGTGTTGGTTGGGGCTGTGTTGCTAGGGGCTGTATGTTGGTAGGGGCTGTGTGTTGGTAGGGGCTGTATGTTGGTAGGGGCTGTATGTTGGTTGGGGCTGTGTTGCTAGGGGCTGTATGTTGGTAGGGGCTGTATGTTGGTAGGGGCTGTATGTTGCTAGGGGCTGTATGTTGGTAGGGGCTGTATGTTGGTAGGGGCTGTATGTTGGTAGGGGCTGTATGTTGCTAGGGGCTGTATGTTGGTAGGGGCTGTATGTTGGTAGGGGCTGTATGTTGGTAGGGGCTGTGTGTTGGTAGGGGCTGTGTTGCTAGGGGCTGTATGTTGGTAGGGGCTGTGTTGCTAGGGGCTGTATGTTGGTAGGGGCTGTGTGTTGGTAGGGGCTGTGTGTTGGTAGGGGCTGTGTGTTGGTTGGGGCTGTGTTGCTAGGGGCTGTGTGTTGGTTGGGGCTGTGTTGGTAGGGGCTGTATGTTGGTAGGGGCTGTGTGTTGCTAGGGGCTGTATGTTGGTAGGGGCTGTGTTGCTAGGGGCTGTATGTTGGTAGGGGCTGTGTGTTGGTAGGGGCTGTGTGTTGGTAGGGGCTGTGTTGCTAGGGGCTGTGTGTTGGTAGGGGCTGTGTTGCTAGGGGCTGTGTGTTGGTAGGGGCTGTGTTGCTAGGGGCTGTGTGTTGGTAGGGGCTGTGTTGCTAGGGGCTGTGTGTTGGTTGCATTTATTCAAACATTTAGACACAAACATTCCGTGCTTGTTTATTCAGACAAAACATTTAAGAAAGTCTGTGTAGTGGAGCAGAAACCTAAAATGTGTACTCGCCTATTTGTGCTTGCGGGGGTTGAGCTTTGGCTCTTTGGTCCCGCCTCTCAACTGTCGGTATTTATGATTGCCCCTGTCCTTACCCAGGGCGCCACCTCCATGTACATGTGTATATGAGGGGAAAATGTTAAGACCATCATGGTCCAGTTGGTAGTGCGTGTGCTTGAGGAGTCGAGGGGAACCAATTATTCCAGTAGTTGACGAGCTTGGGAAAGATCATTATTGTTATAGACAACCTTTTAGCACTTTAACATGGCTTGAACTCTTCAATCAATGTAAACTATATCACCATAATTAAGGAAAAGATGTACAGGTTTCGTAAATGCTTGATCAATCCTCGTCCCTCCCACATTGCCTCTATTGGCAGAGATTCTCTTGATTTGCCACTCCGTAAAAAATGCAACTGTTTCAATCAACGCAAGTGACCTCTCGAGGCCGTTGTATAGAAACGTCAATATATTAGTGCCTTAATTCGTAATAATACATTGTACTTCATATGAATTGTCGATTCCATAAACAAATATGGCGTACTAAGGTGAGAGGACAGGTTGTGTACGTTTCTGGTTAGACGAAACAATTACATCTTGCCACTTTTTACAGAGTGGCAAGTCAAGAGAACGGGCAGATCTCGGTAGATAAGGATGGATAGCTAATTGGAAGGAGAAATCACTAAGCCATTACGACTATGTAACCCTTTTGGAAGGGTCAGGCTAAGGATTTGGGATAAGACGGAGGGAAGGAATGATACCCAATCACTTCGACGGTCGGGGATTGAACCTGCATGAAGCGAGACTGTCGCTCTACCGTCCATTTCGAGTGCAAAGAGACGAGGACCTCCCACTACTGACCCTATGGAAGAGGGAGTAGAGGTAGGGCAGGTACTGGTAGCGGATGTTGAGTGTGTAGCGAGAGATCTCCCCGACCTCCGGCCACATTGCTGGGTCCTGGTCCGCCGTCCCGTTGGTATTGTGGTTCCGGCTGATGAGAACGACCAAATATATTAATCAGCTATGAACTTGATTGGCTAAGTTCCCTCTGTGATGGGTGTCAAGTTCATTAATTCAACTTTTGCTAAGGTTTACAACTTTAGTTGTTGTTGTTTTAGATTTAGCTACTCAGAACGAAGTGTCCATGTAGCACGGTCTATAGTGAGCCCGTATAGAACTTTAGATTGTTTAGGTCTTAAGTACATCTCCTGAAGGGATAGGAGTTAATTGCATCTATCCGCCTAGAACTCGCCTGATGCGGTAGGAGGAACCTAATTCCATCCATGACTCACCTAAAGGGATAGAAGGAGCCCAGTTCCATCCATCTGGCACACAGCTCCATGTCAGGCTCATCGAAGAAGCCACAGATGTCAGCTCCCACCATCGGCACCCCAAACATGTTGAATTCTAACACGCCTAAAGGTAAAAAAAACCAAAGCATGAGGAATTTTTTTAAGTCATCAAATCTCCTAGACCTAGGGTAGAGAGAGATCAGTAGCCACTGTCAGCCACAGCAAGCCACTATTAGCTAATATCAACCACTGTCAGCCACCGTGAACCACCATCAGAAACGCGTCAACTCACCAATAACAGACATGCGCATTTGCGTCCAGTCAGCGGAGTTATCACCTAGCCAGTGGAAGGCGTACTGGCCGGAGCCCGGGAAGGTGGAGCGGGAAAGTATAACTGGGCGCCTGTCCGGGAACACTTCCTCCAGGCCTCTGTGGGGGGTCAGAACAAGGGGCCAGATTCATGAAAGAACTTACGCAAGTACTTACGAACGTGTACATCTTTCCTCAATCTTTGACGGCTTTGGTTACATTTATTAAACAGTTTCCAAGCATGAAAACTTTCCATTCCTCTGTTGTTTTTGTTATAAACAGCCTCCTGGTGCTTCGGAGCTCATTAACTGTTTAATAATTTTAAACAAAACTGCCAAAGATTGAGAAAAGATGTACAGGTTCGTAAGTGTTTACATAAGTGCTTTCGTGAATCTGGCCCAAGGAGCGTATTTCCCAAAGGAAAAAAACATGCATGAATAACGATTAATCTATGTTGTATTAACATTAAATCAACGTTTAATCAGTGTTTAGGATTGTGGCATTCACGAGCTATGGAAATGTTTAGGGTCTTACCTGTAGGTGGCGACAGTCTCTGACCAGCCATAGAGGGAATGGACGTTGTAATGCATGTAGGTGGTGTTTCCGTCTGTCTGGGCGGCGGACATACACAGGGTGTGTTCGCTGCCCACCAAAAATATACATTTTGTTGTGAAAGCCGAGCATTTCTATTATTACACATCAAAATCACATCATATGGGACAAATAGATATCATAAATACATTTGAAAACACATAAATAAAAGGTAAAATAATCAGTTGTCAGCCTTCAGGGGTCCTTAGAGATCACTAACAGGCCAATGGGGGCCTCAGAGATCACTAAAAGTTCATTAAGCACTCAGAGATCACTAACAGGTCAGCGAGCCCTCAGAGATCCGTAAATTGTTAGTGCAGGGCCCAAAGAGATTATTATAGGCCTTTACCTGTACACCTGAATCTCCCTGAACCACCTGTACATAACAAGTTGAAGGACCTGTGCTGATTACTTCACTTTGTTATCCTCTCAGCTTACAGATCACCAAGAGACAACTTTATCCTCACTTCAGTAGACTCGTGGCTTCTCCCTGATTAATTAGGCGTCTCAGTTTGCCAGTCAGCAACATGGCTCCCAACAGAATCCCATTGGCTTCTCGAAGATCTTGAGTCATCTATAGGTAGAAGTAGTCAAGCATCTTGCAGAGGCCTGGCGTCCTATAGGAGGACCCGTGGTACCTCGCTGATCAGCTACAGGTCCTCTGGATACTTGCTGATCTCTAGTGAGTGCTTGGGTCATAATTTATCAAGCACTTAACTTTTACTTACGAAACCTCTATATCGTTCCATACATGCGGTGGCTTAATCTGTCTTTATTAATCAGTTTACGAGCTTCGAAACGCTGCGAAGTATTTTCGGTCGAAGCTTATTGTCGTGGACAACCTCGTCGCACTTCATAGCTCATAAACTGCTTAATAAATACAAACTAATTTGCCATGATTGTTGAGTAAAGGTGTATAGGTTTCGTAAGTGGACACTCAACTACTTAGTGAATCATGGTGTCCAGCAGGTACGAGCTGAAGTATTACTGATCACCTACAAACTTCCTGGCTCCTTACCTTAGTCTCTTGCTCAGGTTTTCTCCTGTGCGGGTCATCACGGTGGGGTAGGGTGGAGAGTCCCACTTGTTGTCCGGACACTTGAGGCTCCAGTCCGGCTGGTCGGGTGGCCAGTTCTCTGGTTTGTCCAGGTTGGTGCCGAAGTTGGCCGGCTCGTTCATGTCGATCCAGAGGGTGTCGAAATCGAGCAACTGCGAGGGGAGGTATATAACATTTATAAAATAGAATGGAATGCTCGGCATTTTAGATCTATTAATACAGGTGTATTTAGTACTTGAGGAGGATAAATCCTGCGCTATTGTCGTAAAAACTTGAAATAGTGTGAATTATTGCATTTCAGGTGACAGAAATTAGGACAGGAGAACTTGCAGATTGTAGGACAAGATAATGTATATTTAACATTGTAAATTAGCCAAACATATTTCACAAGCTCTTAGTAACCTCGTGGAAGATCTTCAGTTCGTTGATCCACCAGGCTTGAGTCTCTGGCTTTAGGAAGTCGGGAAAGACTGTCTTGTTAGCGGGCCAGACGTAGCCGACCATGTAGTCGTCAGTGCCGGGCTCCTGGTCGTCCGGCACCAGGCTGGGGTCAGACCACTTGATGAACACGTCCGACTCCTTCCCTCTGGCCGCCGGCGGGTAGTTGTCGAAGTCGATCACCAACGCCGGGTCCTGCAGGAAGCAGCCCAAGTTGGTATTCAGAGCACTGAGAAAATTTTGTATGGAGGGTGATAACATAAAACATGAACTCTTGGTGCTGTGAGGAGTTTTATACATGTATAGCACCTGTATGTTGTAAGCAATGGGTGATGACCCCATGCATGTATTGTAAGGAGAAGGGGTGACTCCTTTATGTTGTATGATAGGTCTGCCTCCCTTGTGTTGCAAAGAGAGCTGATCCTTGGCCTTGAAAGACATATTAACAACCAATCCCTAACAAACGCAATGTACACTCAAGAAAAGGAAGTCCCAGTCAAACGCAAGATACAATCAACTCATTAACTCTCCAAGCTAAAAGTGGCGTGTTTATGAGGACGATATAAATCACAAAGAATAGTTGTAAATAATGAGAATAACGACAAACACCACATAACTCTGCGCCACGTACCACAAGGAGCGTGAGTTTAAGGCCATCGTTGTGCAGCTCTTGGATGAGTTCGGGAAAATCGCTCCAGTTGATCGGGTCCAATGTGAAGTCCCTCTTCTCATCCGTGTAGTTGATGTCAACGGTCTGGATGTCCTGTCACCACAACAACGTCTGCATTAGTAACGTAGCCTTGCAAGTCGCATCGTAAACAGGAAGGTTCTCTTACGGATTTTATAACCTACTTAACCTAACCAAACCTAAATCAACTTTACCTAACCTAACTTAATCTTACCCAATCTAACATAATCTAACTTAACCTGATCTAACCTAACCTACCCAAACCTAACTCAATCCAAACCAGCCTTACCCAACCCAACCGAGACTAACACAGCCTAACCTAAGCAAATATATTCTATCCTAACTTATATACGGTTTCACAATCAGAAAACACGTTTTGGTCGAATTTCCCTGGGGCTATTCCCATGATCCACCTGGGAAGGGGGGGGGGGGGTATTCGCATGACCCACCTGGGTATATGTATGCCCGTAACTCACCTGGGGGATGCCCATGGCCTTCATCCTCTCCCTGACGGCGCGGACATAGTCGGTAGAGTTGTATCCCCAGCGGGAGAGTTGGAACCCGAGGTACCAGTATGGAGGGAAGGCTGGATTGCCAACCATCTGGCGACAAACGATAATTATTCAAGCCACGACGACATCATTATACAATTAGTAAACATTAAATGCACGGTTAGAACCCATTAGAATATATTGCGCTTATTCTAGGGTTAAAGATCATGGAGTTATAACTAAGTGGAATATTATAATTTTCTGTTTTGCAGATTGGAAGATAAAACAGAGATAACTGAGAAAGTTTTTAAACTACTTAATTATCTTAAGATCATACATGAGATCCTCTCCTTCACGACGCCAGCAATCCCAGGGACATTGCAGGTGTTACGAGGGAGAGAAAAGGGGACATGTAAGAAAGAGAGAGAGAGAGAGTGGAGGGAAGGAGGTGTGAGGGAGAAAGCGGTGTGGTGGGGGGCGGTGATACTGACGGAGGTATACTGCGTGATCAGGTCCTCCGGCAGGGGGCCCAGGAACATGTGCAGGTCGATGATGCCTCCGATGGTCCTCAATGTGAGCGCCGGCGTCCCATCCTCCAGCAGGAAGGTCGAGTACTCTGGAGGGCGACACGGCAGGTATTCTTGGGAAGCGTCCTGTGGTCCTCTCTCGCTCCACCTTCCCGGGCTCGGGCCAGTATGCCGTCCACTGGCTCGGTGATAACTCCGCTGACTGGACGCAGATGCGCATGTCTGTTATTGGTGAGTCTTGAGCGTCCTGGTGGCTAGCTGTCGAAGCTCGACTAGCCCATCAGGTTTATGCACTTTTGTTAATAGCTTACCCCCCCCCCCTCCCTTTCGGGCTCATTGTCGTCGTGAGGGGGCTTGGTAGGCGGCTGCCGGAGTGTGATGCTCCATGGGTCAGTCCTCTGTCCTTTTGAAGCCTTATGCTCCTGCTGCTGTCTTCACCAATTTTGCCAGAAATCTTTTCCTTTTCCTGGTGTTTCATTTTTCTCTCCCCCCCCCTCCCCTCTTCTCCTTTCTAATTATCATTTCCTGCCGACCTTTTGCCAGTCTTGATTATTCTTTCGGATTTCTTCTGTTTTGATGCCCGGGTGTTTGGGGAGGCATACTCTCTCTCACCCGTAGAACTCTTGTTTCCATGTCGCTGAATACTGTTCCTCTTATGACTTCTCAGGCTCGTGGGGTGGGTGACCAAGCCCCCTAGTCAGACTGTGTTGGAAGACAGGAGGGTCCCCCTTTCTTCAATATTGCAAATCCTTGACCCACATCACTAAAGCTTTTACCCCTCCTACAGTTTTGATGTGCCTTTTCCTTGAACAGTTTTCTTCCCACTCCCACTCCATCACTCCTTCTGCCCGAAACGCTGCGCGTACTAATGGCTTTACAAGAGTGTAAATACTGTACTATCCAATGTATTCTCACAAACCCAATGTACCTTCTTGTATATATATAAATAAATAAATAAATTACCCGTCTTCACCGATGGGTCTAAGTCTGCAGACGGTGTAAGTTACTCTGTTGTTTTTCCTGACCACACCTATATGTGTCGTCTGCCTTCGGAGACTAGCATCTTTATGGCAGAACTTTATGCTATTCTCTATGCTCTTTGTCTCCTGCTTTCTTGCTGTCAATCCTCCTTTGTGGTTGTAGTTGACTCTCGTAGCGTCCTCATGGCTCTGGAGTCCTATAATCCAGTCCATCCGGTAGTCGTCGAGATTCAACATTGGCTGTTTCTTATCTCTGGTAGACACCAGCCATGTTGGTGTCTCTTTAAATGAGCATGCGGATACTGCCGCTAGGGAAGCTATCTGCACTTGTCCCATCTCCCGTAAAGGTATTCCTTATTCCGACTTTTACCCATTTATTCATTTCTCCATCCTTGCCCGTTGGCAGGGTTGTTGGTCTTCTGTTACTGGTAACAAACTGCTTACTCTTAAGGGTAGTGTGTCCCTGTGGCCTTCTTCCTGTCACCGTAACCGGCGATGGGAAACAGCTCTGGTAAGGCTGCGTATTGGCCACGCGCTTAACTCACGGACACTTAATGGAGCGCCGTCCTGCTCCTTATTGTCCTAACTGCATTGTCCCTCTTACAATTGTGCATATGCTTAGTGAATGTTCTGACTTCCAGGACGAGTGTGTGCCTTGCTTTCCGACTGTCCCCCGTGATCACTTTTCCTTCGATAGAATTCTTGGTGAATCGGATACTTTTGATATCCTTCGCCTTATGCGTTTCTGTTCTCTAATTGGCATCCTCAGTGATATTTAGCGCCCTCTGATTATTCCGCACGTTTTATGGTGCTAAATAGCCTTCCTGGCATGGTGCCTTCTATGATAATTACTTACTTACCCAAACCCTACTTTTCTGTAGTTCCCTAATTTGTTTCCGTTTTCTGTAACAATTGCGGTCATTCGTTCCTCGATAGAATCCTTGGTGAATCAGATAACTTTGATATCGTTCGCCTTATGTGCTTTTGTTCTCGTATTGACATTCTTAGGGATATTTAGAGTCATTTAAATAACCTTTGCTACATGGTCTCCTCGGCTTGGTACCTTTTGTTGATAATTACTTACTTATGTAACAATTTGCAAATATTAACAAAATTCGAAGGAGCACACAATAAAACAATGTAACTTTGGAAAACGCTCTGCAGGCATGTTTGACTTCAACATGTTTGGAATCCCTATGGTGGGCGCCGACATATGTGGCTATTTCAACGCACCTGACATGGAGATGTGTGCCAGGTGGATGGAATTGGGTGCCTTCTATCCCTTCAGGTGAGTGCCAGGGGGGATAGAGGTAGTTTCCTCCTACCCTTTTCCTTTCAGGTGAGTGCCACGGTTCGATGTTGATTCCTTCTTCCTTTCTGGTAATTTGACATGTATACATTTTTTTAACATTTTTCTCATATGACAATTGCCAGGTAATTAGGTGTAGGTAGGTAGTGTCTACCACTCAGTCAAGGGCTGGGATAAATTGTAGTTGTAGTGTACTATTTAAATTGGGAAGGTTGGTGGTGTTACTAGCAGTAGATAGAAAACATTTAATGTATCTCTTTAGTATTTTAATTAGTGTCATATTTTTACAGGACAAAAACCGAATTCTGATCTGAAACACAAGTTTTTGCATCCTCAGGAAGGGGAATGGGGGGGGGGGGTCCTTGATATGCCGAAATGCAGGCTTCCTGTCCCCCCCAACAATGGGATTTAGGCTGCGAGAGGTGTGTGTGTGTGTATGTGTGTGTGAGACGTCGCCGGTTTGCCTGCTGGAGAGGATCTTTTGGAATACAATATCTTGAGGTTACTTTAAGATGATTTCGGGGTTTAGCGTCCCCGCGGCCCGGTCGTCGACCAAGCCTCCTCGTTGATGTATTGCCTCCATTGGTTGATGGTACTGTCTTTTCTCACCAGCCGGAACCACAACACCAACGGGACGCCCGACCAGGACCCCGGGGTGTGGCCGGAGGTCGGGGAGATCTCTCGCTACACACTCAACATCCGCTACCAGTACCTGCCCTACCTCTACTACCTCTTCCACAGGGTCAGTTGTACACGGGGATGTCATATAGAAGTAGACATAGTGGGTTTCAAAGTGGTTTTTTTTTGCAAATTAATATGTTTTATGTTCAAATTTCGTCTTCCACCAGATGGAAGATGGAATGGAAAAACTCTTGATGGAAAATGGAATGGATAATTGAAAACACTTAAGTTAGTTTGGTTCTTGTATTATAATATAATCTGATTCCCTCCTTCAGATCTGAAGGATCTGTAAGTATGAGATGGGGACACTTACCCGCAGGCCAGGGCGTGGGCGGGTCTATCGTAAAACTCGTGGTTGGGCACCGGTTAGGGCCTTCAGAACCTCCTAGTGAATACGGTAGAGTTCCGGGTTGATAGGTTTTTGTCGAGATAGGATTGATAGGATTATGGCCGAGTGGGTTATGGCAGGTGTCTGGGAATCACCAGAACGCCGGTTCAAGTCATCTCATTGCCCCGAAATAATTTTTTCATTTATATAACTCGCAATTGTTTATATATACATATATCAACGTGTCATCAGCATTTAATCAACGTTGATCAATGTTGAATTTGAGTTAACGTTGATCCAATATTTATTTAGCGTTTCTCATGGATATTGTTCCCACTCGGTACATTGTACTCAGCTGTTGCAATGTTATGTTGTTCCTACAGGCGCACATGTTCGGTAATTCTGTCGTCCGGCCGCTGTTGAACGTCTTCCCCAGCGACCTGGCGGCTCGAGACGTCGACGACCAGTTTATGTGGGGCGACGGTCTGATGATTGCCCCCGTCCTTACCCAGGGCGCCACCTCCAGGGACGTCTACTTCCCCGAGGTAAGGTCCTTACCCAGGGCGCCACCTCCAGGGACGTCTACTTCTCCGAGGTAAGGTCCTTACCCAGGGCGCCACCTCCAGGGACGTCTACTTCCCTGAGGTAAGGTCCTTATCCAGGGCGCCACCTCCAGGGACGTCTACTTCCCTAAGGTAAGGTCCTTACCCAGGGCGCCACCTCCAGGGACGACTACTTCCCCTAAGGTAAGGTCCTTACCCAGGGCGCCACCTCCAGGGACGTCTACTTCCCTAAGGTAAGGTCCTTACCCAGGGCGCCACCTCCAGGGACGTCTACTTCCCTGAGGTAAGGTCCTTACCCAGGGCGCCACCTCCAGGGACGTCTACTTCCCTAAGGTAAGGTCCTTACCCAGGGCGCCACCTCCAGGGACGACTACTTCCCCTAAGGTAAGGTCCTTACCCAGGGCGCCACCTCCAGGGACGTCTACTTCCCTAAGGTAAGGTCCTTACCCAGGGCGCCACCTCCAGGGACGTCTACTTCCCTAAGGTAAGGTCCTTACCCATGGCGCCACCTCCAGGGACGTCTACTTCCCTAAGGTAAGGTCCTTACCCAGGGCGCCACCTCCAGGGACGTCTACTTCCCTAAGGTAAGGTCCTTACCCAGGGCGCCACCTCCAGGGACGTCTACTTCCCTAAGGTATGGTCATTACCTAAGGTCATGTAAGGTGTAGATTATAGTGTTATTTTCGGTTAAATTGTTTGATCGGAAACTGACATCAATATATGGATATATAAGTATTTGTACAAACCTGAGGATGGATTATAGGCAATTTGCAACCTCGAAATGATCCTTAGTGTTCAGCTGTCATCCTGAGTGCCCAGAGTGTTAACAGTGACCACCTTGACAGGGGATCTGGTACGACCTGGTGACTGGTGTGGCGACGGCCACGGGACCCACGACGCTCACAGTTGATGCTCCTCTCGAGGTGATCCCTCTCTATGTTCCTGGAGGCGCCATCCTTCCCTACCAGGTGCCTGGCCTCAACACCGTAGAGAGGTAAGTCCCCACCAGGAGGCGCCATCCTCCTCTACCAGGTGCCCGCCCCCAACACCGTAGAGAGGTAAGTCCCCGCCAGGAGGCACCGTTCTCCCCTACAAGGTGCCCGCCCTCAACACCGTGGTTCACTCACCACCTACAACTTATGGCTACAGTACTTAGCTAAACTAGGAAATACATTACCTGTTTTAGCTACTGTATCCAGGATGAGATATGAACCTGTCCTGATAATAATTATTTAATTTTAATGTAGTTTTTTTACAGTTTTACACTGGGATTCTCTGTATATTTACGTTGTATTCAACATATATGTTTCTTAACGTATATATTTCTTACCTGAAGTATGATTGGTGTTTGTTATAGTCGACAAAACCCGCTGGGGCTGACGGTGGCGCTGGACGGGACTCTGGCGGCCTCGGGCGAGATCTTCTGGGACGACGGTGAAGGAGAACACGACATGTCGCTGGCTTATATGTCCATGTTGAATTATAACCAGGTGAGGTGTTTAGTAAGGGCTTTGGGGCGGTATACAGCAAGGTAAGGGGCTTACTTTGCGTCTAGGGGCGGTACGTGTTCAACTATGAGAGGCTTATACTGGTGCCAGGAAGTTCGAATCACAGCCAGGTGATGGACCAGAAGAAATATGTCTATCAATATCTATAAATCAGAATGTCTGTCTGTCTGTACATTCTAGGTAGGGGGGCCAGACGCTTAAGAGGCTAGCCCCACCCATTTTGCCCACGTGGTTGCTATGGGCATACGCGCCCAACATGGTCGGATCGGTGTCGTCAGCAATGAATTGACACTGTGCCATAGGGAATCTGCTGATTCAGGCACTGGCTGGTCCTTCAAAGTGTTAAAAATATTAAAAAATATTAAAAAATATTTTGTCTTGCTATATAGTAAACCATTATGGACTGATAGTGAAAAAGTGTTCCAAACCATGGAAGTTACACCCCTCAGGGTTCGGTACCACACCTGCACCACATGTCTTGAACCTGTTATAGCCAGTCTCCCCTCCCCCCCACTCTCTCTCTCTCTTTCTCCAGTAAGAGAGAAAAAACTTGTAAAGAATAGGTACAAAATTTTGATTTGTACATTACACATTTTCAGAACGAGTTGACCATGAGCGTCATGGCCGGAGAGGACATAGTGGCTGGACTGTTTATTGACACCATCGACATCTACGGCTTCCCTAGTGCCCCGCAGGGCGTCAGTGTCAACGATATGGAGCTCCCTGGCGAGGACTGGGAGTACGACGCCTCCACGAGTGTCCTCACTATCACTACCCACGCCCCTCTCGCAGACCCGCTCAGTGTGTTCATACTCTAGGACGTCCCCAGCAGCGTCCTCACCATCATACCCACGCCCCCAGCAGCGTTCTCACCATCACACCCACGCCCTTATTGCTGGGAGCTTTTGTCTATAAACGCCAACTCTATGCTATTCACCTTACTGAAATTTGCTTAGTATGAAGACTAATTCTTCAGCTCCTTTTCCTGGCCTTAATCCCCATCTAAATTTTCGCCGACAGACATGTTCTATCCAAATGTTGACCAGACCACACACTAGAAGGTGAAGGGACGACGACGTTTCGGTCCGTCCTGGACCATTCTCAAATCGATGAGAATTCATCCACTTGATTAATTTTCAATCGACTTGAGAATGGTCCAGGACGGACTGAAGCGTCGTCGTCCCTTCACCTTCTAGTGTGTGGTGTGGTCAACATACTTTAGCCACGTTATTGTTTCTATCCAAATGTTATAATTAAATAAAAAACATTAAAGTCGTATCAACCCATCCTGGAGCCTTAGCAAGACGCGTCTGGGGCATACAGAGAAGGAAGGCATTATAGGCCCAGAAAATAAGTGAAGTACACATGGAAAAAGTGCAGTATGAAAAGAAACTGGAACGAGTCGACCAAGAATAAAGCCCGGGATTTTCATCTTGCGGCAGCGCCCCCAGAAGAAAGGGAAGATTTAAGTAAGACAGAGAAGGAAATAAGGGTAGATGAAAACAGGAAATAAAGGAATGCGGAAAAGAAGAACCAAATTAGAGACACAAAAGATAGCATAATATTAATAGCAATATTAACCTTAATTTACTGTAATTCTATTACAATATAACCATTGATGATATGTTTTCTCTGACCTTAAAAGTCATAATGGATTTGTGAAGCAATGTTATTTCCCATTTGTTAATGCTATGTTTAGATAAAATTATATTTTTATGGTGAACATAAGTGTTCAACCATGAGTGAACAAGACTCTCCTGGTTATGTATGGTCGAATGTGAAACTTTACCAACATTTGGACGTAATAATTGTGAATACATCTGGTGACTCTCACAGCTGAACCTCTGTTGTTATAGATTATTTGCCAACTGATAAATAGTTTCGGGAATTTTAACAGTCCAGTCTGAAATTTAATACAAAAATAATCCAACCTGCGCATATGAAATGAAATAAGAGTATTCTTACTTTTACTTAGCATGTGTTCAAGAATGATCAGCGCACCGTAAAAATCTAAATTATTATGCAAGACGAGCTCAATCAAAGGATTTTTATTACTAGGTTCTTTGGGATAATTAAAATGTCTCAAACTTGTCGAGATAATGCAACACAAGCCAATGTACACTCACTCTGCTCTGAGCTTAGTAATATATATCCAGATAATACACATAGAAATCACAATAGCGTGCTGCATCAAATGAATATATCCACAAGGGCCGTGATGAGGGTTCGAACTTACGTCTGGGATAATCCCAGACGCTGCCTTAGTCGACTAGGCTTCGACATGGAAAAGAATTGCAACCAGGAATTCCACTTAATCCAGATATTAATATAACCAATAACTCCATTATCCCCGAATGAGTTCTAATAGCAATGGTCATACCTGTATCTGTCAGAGGGATAATTGTGCTTAAAATATTTTAAAAGGAAATTTATTTACATTAAGACAAACAAGAATAATGAAAATAAATAAATAAATAAAAAATTTTCTGCAAGTGACACAAACACAAATTAATAAAAAGTTAAGCAATAAACTTTTAGTTGATATTGATTATTTAGTTGAAATAATTCAAAGGGTTTTTAGAACGGAGAGAATTTGTATTTATTTCTTATTTTTTGTTTACTGTACACAGTTTCGATAGTTTGAGTAGCTCTTCGAGGATGGCATGTACGCATGATGAGTCAGAATGCTGCTGGAGGCATTCATGCTGAGTGATTATGGGGCGGTGAGTAAGGAAGGTGACGAGACACAATCCTACACAATCTTGACACTGAGGGGTTGAGCGAGAGGAGCGTGAGTGGTGATGGTGAGGACGCTACTGGCGGCAGTGTACTCGAAGTCCTCAGCAGGAAGAGCTACGTCGTTGACAGTGACGCCCTGCGGGGCACTAGGGAAGCCGTAGATGTTGATGGTGTCAATGAAGAGCCCAGTCACCATATCCTCTCCATGCATGATACTCATTGTCAGCTCACTCTGAAAATTATAAAATCAAATCTATATAAATACCGTGTTAAAAAATTGGTATGTATAGGCGAAGTAAGACAAAGTCCAACACCAATACGAGGGACCTGATAGTCTAGGCAGATGTCTAGATAAGAATTAAGGATGGCTACTAGAAAATTTCCAACATAAGGATCTTGTACAGCATAAAGTCATGCTCGAACTTTCCTGAAAACTTCCACTAGGGAGCTTTTCAGTAAAGTCGGTTTTCAGTCGTTTGGGAAAGGTAGTCAGGCGAAAAACCTGCAAGTATACCCCCCACTGACTGCTTCCTTCAGTGATCTTGAGATCACGAATCGCAATGAAATTTCATTTCTTAAGTGCTCTGGTAAGATCACTCCTAGTAACTCACTAGCAGTCGTAGAAGATAAGAATGCAGACAGTGCTGTTGGCACTGCCTTGTGGGTACACATTCCATGTACCATAAACCCCTCATGTTTAGTGAGGCGTTGTATATCCATCCGATTGATTGATTGATTGATGAAGATTAAGCCACCCAAAAGGTGGCACGGGCATGAATAGCCCGTAAGTGGTGGCCCTTTTGAGCCATTACCAGTATCAATAGATGATACTGGAGATCTGTGGAGGTGCGACTGCACCCTGCGTGACGGGAGATGTCTCCCGTGGAATGTGTTAAGATTGATAAAGATTAAGCCGCCCAAAAGGTGGCACGGGCATGAATAGCCCGTAAGTGGTGGCCCATTACCAGTATCAATAAATGATACTGGAGATCTGTGGAGGCGCGACTGCACCCTGCGTGACGGGAGATGTCTCCCGGACCAAATGGTGTCCATCCCCTTAGAGAGAGAGAGAAGATTAAGCCACCCAAAAGGTGGCTTGGGCATGAATAGCCCATAAGTGGTGGCCCTTTTGAGCCATTTCCAGTATCAATAGATGATACTGGAGATCTGTGGAGGAGCGACTGCACCCTGCGTGACGGGTGATGTCTCCCGTGTCCATCCCCTTCCCCAGGCCATACATATATAGGCCTGCTTGCCTGTATGCCGCACCTCACCTGGTTATAATTCAACATGGACATATAAGCCAGCGACATGTCGTGTTCTCCTTCACCGTCGTCCCAGAAGATCTCGCCCGAGGCCGCCAGAGTCCCGTCCAGCGCCACCGTCAGTCCCAGCGGGTTTTGTCGACTATAACAAACACCAATCATACTTCAGGTAAGAAATATATACCTTAAGAAACATATATGTTGAATACAACTCAAATATACAGAGAATCCCAGTGTAAAACTGTCAAAAACTACATTTAAATTAAATAATTATTATCAGGACAGGTTCATATCTCATCATGGATACAGTAGCTAAAACAGGTAATGTATTTCCTAGTTTAGCTAAGTACTGTAGCCATAAGTTGTAGGTGGTGAGTGAACTACGGTGTTGAGGGCGGGCACCTTGTAGGGGAGGACGGTGCCTCCTGGCGGGGACTTACCTCTCTACGGTGTTGAGGCCAGGCACCTGGTAGGGGAGGACGGTGCCTCCTGGTGGGGACTTACCTCTCTACGGTGTTGAGGGCGGGCACCTGGTAGGGAAGGATGGCGCCTCCAGGAACATAGAGAGGGATCACCTCGAGAGGAGCATCAACTGTGAGCGTCGTGGGTCCCGTGGCCGTCGCCACACCAGTCACCAGGTCGTACCAGATCCCCTGTCAAGGTGGTCACTGTTAACACTCTGGGCACTCAGGATGACAGGTGGTCACTCAGAACACTAAGGATCATTTTGAGGTTGGAAATTCCCTATAATCCATCCTCAGGTTTGTGCTATACTTACATATCCATATATTGATGTCAGTTTCCGATCTTAACAATTTACCGAAAATAACATTATAATCTAGACCTTACATAACCTTAGGTAACGAACGACCTTGCCTTAGGGAAGTACCCGTCCCTGGAGGTGGCACCCCTGGGTAAGGACCTTACCTCGGGGAAGTTGACGTCCCTGGAGGTGGCGCCCTGGGTAAAGACCTTACCTTAGGCGAAGTAGACGTCCCTGGAGGTGGCGCCCTGGGTAAGGACCTTACCTTAGGGAAGTAGACGTCCCTGGAGGTGGCGCCCTGGGTAAGGACCTTACCTCGGGGAAGTAGACGTCCCTGGAGGTGGCGCCCTGGGTAAGGACGGGGGCAATCATCAGACCGTCGCCCCACATAAACTGGTCGTCGACGTCTCGAGCCGCCAGGTCGCTGGGGAAGACGTTCAACAGCGGCCGAGCGACGGAGGCGCCGTTCATGTGAGCCTGTAACAACATAGAACAACGCTGCAATACAGCAGTATAACAATATACTGTTGAAAGAACTTAGAACACCATTAGACTGCAACTAGATAATACGGTGTAGCACTTGAGAGAATGATTCAGACTGTGTGTTGGTAGGGGCTGTGTGTTGGTTGGGGCTGTGTTGCTAGGGGCTGTGTGTTGGTAGGGGCTGTGTGTTGGTTGGGGCTGTGTTGCTAGGGGCTGTGTGTTGGTAGGGGCTGTGTGTTGGTTGGGGCTGTGTTGCTAGGGGCTGTATGTTGGTTGGGGCTGTGTTGCTAGGGGCTGTATGTTGCTAGGGGCTGTATGTTGGTTGGGGCTGTGTTGCTAGGGGCTGTATGTTGGTAGGGGCTGTGTGTTGGTTGGGGCTGTGTTGCTAGGGGCTGTATGTTGGTAGGGGCTGTGTGTTGGTTGGGGCTGTGTTGCTAGGGGCTGTATGTTGCTAGGGGCTGTATGTTGGTTGGGGCTGTGTGTTGGTTGCATTTATTCAAACATTTAGACACAAACATTCCGTGCTTGTTTATTCAGACAAAACATTTAAGAAACTCTGTGTAGTGGAGCAGAAACCTAAAATGTGTACTCGCCTATTTGTGCTTGCGGGGGTTGAGCTTTGTCTCTTTGGTCCCGCCTCTCAACTGTCGGTATTTATGAGTGCCCCTGTTCTTACCCAGGGCGCCACCTCCATGTACATGTGTATATGAGGGGAAAATGTTAAGACCATCATGGTCCAGTTGGTAGTGCGTGTGCTTGAGGAGTCGAGGGGAACCAATTATTCCAGTAGTTGACGAGCTTGGGAAAGATCATTATTGTTATAGACAACCTTTTAACACTTTAACATGGCTTGAACTCTTTAATCAATGTAAACTGTATCACCATAATTAAGGAAAAGATGTACAGGTTTCGTAAATGCTTGATCAATCCTCGTCCCTCCCACACAGCCTCTCTTGGCAGAGATTCTCTTGATTTGCCACTCCGTAAAAAAATGCAACTGTTTCAATCAACGCAAGTGACCTCTCGAGGCCGTTGTATAGAAACGTCAATATATTAGTGCCTTAATTCGTAATAATACATTGTACTTCATATGAATTGTCGATTCCATAAACAAATATGGCGTACTAAGGTGAGAGGACAGGTTGTGTACGTTTCTGGTTAGACGAAACAATTACATCTTACCACTTTTTACAGAGTGGCAAGTCAAGAGAACGGGCAGATCTCGGTAGATAAGGATGGATAGCTAATTAGAAGAAGAAATCACTAAGCCATTACGACTATGTAACCCTTTTGGAAGGGTCAGGCTAAGGATTTGGGATAAGACGGAGGGAAGGAATGATACCCAATCACTTGGACGGTCGGGGATTGAACCTGCATGAAGCGAGACTGTCGCTCTACCGTCCATTTCAAGTGCAAAGAGACGAGGACCTCCCACAACTGACCCTATGGAAGAGGGAGTAGAGGTAGGGCAGGTACTGGTAGCGGATGTTGAGTGTGTAGCGAGAGATCTCCCCGACCTCCGGCCACATTGCTGGGTCCTGGTCCGCCGTCCCGTTGGTATTGTGGTTCCGGCTGGTGAGAACGACCAAATATATTAATCAGCTATGAACTTGATTGGCTAAGTTCCCTCTGTGATGGGTGTCAAGTTCATTAATTCAACTTTTGCTAAGGTTTACAACTTTAGTTGTTGTTGTTGTTTTAGATTTAGCTACTCAGAACGAAGTGTCCTGTAGCACGGGCTATAGTGAGCTCGTATAGAACTATAGATTGTTCAGGTCTTAAGTACATCTCCTGAAGGGATAGGAGTTAATTGCATCTATCCGCCTAGAACTCGCCTGATGCGGTAGGAGGAACCTAATTCCATCCATGACTCACCTAAAGGGATAGAAGGAGCCCAGTTCCATCCATCTGGCACACAGCTCCATGTCAGGCTCATCGAAGAAGCCACAGATGTCAGCTCCCACCATCGGCACCCCAAACATGTTGAATTCTAACACGCCTAAAGGTAAAAAAAACCAAAGCATGAGGAATTTTTTTAAGTCATCAAATCTCCTAGACCTAGGGTAGAGAGAGATCAGTAGCCACTGTCAGCCACAGCAAGCCACTATTAGCTAATATCAACCACTGTCAGCCACCGTGAACCACCATCAGAAACGCGTCAACTCACCAATAACAGACATGCGCATTTGCGTCCAGTCAGCGGAGTTATCACCTAGCCAGTGGAAGGCGTACTGGCCGGAGCCCGGGAAGGTGGAGCGGGAAAGTATAACTGGGCGCCTGTCCGGGAACACTTCCTCCAGGCCTCTAAACAGTTTCCAAGCATGAAAACTTTCCATTCCTCTGTTGTTTTTGTTATAAACAGCCTCCTGGGGGGTCAGAACAAGGAGCGTATTTCCCAAAGGTATTTCCCAAAAAAAAACATGCATGAATAACGATTAATCTATGTTGTATTAACATTAAATCAACGTTTAATCAGTGTTTAGGATTGTGGCATTCACGAGCTATGGAAATGTTTAGGGTCTTACCTGTAGGTGGCGACAGTCTCTGACCAGCCATAGAGGGAATGGACGTTGTAATGCATGTAGGTGGTGTTTCCGTCTGTCTGGGCGGCGGACATACACAGGGTGTGTTCGCTGCCCACCAAAAATATACATTTTGTTGTGAAAGCCGAGCATTTCTATTTATTACACATCAAAATCACATCATATGGGACAAATAGATATCATAAATACATTTGAAAACACATAAATAAAAGGTAAAATAATCAGTTGTCAGCCTTTAGGGGTCCTTAGAGATCACTAACAGGCCAATGGGGGCCTCAGAGATCACTAAAAGTTCATTAAGCACTCAGAGATCACTAACAGGTCAGCGAGCCCTCAGAGATCCGTAAATTGTTAGTGCAGGGCCCAAAGAGATTATTATAGGCCTTTACCTGTACACCTGAATCTCCCTGAACCACCTGTACATAACAAGTTGAAGGACCTGTGCTGATTACTTCACTTTGTTATCCTCTCAGCTTACAGATCACCAAGAGACAACTTTATCCTCACTTCAGTAGACTCGTGGCTTCTCCCTGATTAATTAGGCGTCTCAGTTTGCCAGTCAGCAACATGGCTCCCAACAGAATCCCATTGGCTTCTCGAAGATCTTGAGTCATCTATAAGTAGAAGTAGTCAAGTATCTTGCAGAGGCCTGGCGTCCTATAGGAGGACCCGTGGTACCTCGCTGATCAGCTACAGGTCCTCTGGATACTTGCTGATCTCTAGTGAGTGCTTGGGTCATAATTTATCAAGCACTTAACTATTTACTTACGAAACCTCTATATCGTTCCATACATGCGGTGGCTTAATCTGTCTATTAATCAGTTTACGAGCTTCGAAACGCTGCGAAGTATTTTCGGTCGAAGCTTATTGTCGTGGACAACCTCGTCGCACTTCATAGCTCATAAACTGCTTAATAAATACAAACTAATTTGCCATGATTGTTGAGTAAAGGTGTATAGGTTTCGTAAGTGGACACTCAACTACTTAGTGAATCATGGTGTCCAGCAGGTACGAGCTGAAGTATTACTGATCACCTACAAACTTCCTGGCTCCTTACCTTAGTCTCTTGCTCAGGTTTTCTCCTGTGCGGGTCATCACGGTGGGGTAGGGTGGAGAGTCCCACTTGTTGTCCGGACACTTGAGGCTCCAGTCCGGCTGGTCGGGTGGCCAGTTCTCTGGTTTGTCCAGGTTGGTGCCGAAGTTGGCCGGCTCGTTCATGTCGATCCAGAGGGTGTCGAAATCGAGCAACTGCGAGGGGAGGTATATAACATTTATAAAATAGAATGGAATGCTCGGCATTTTAGATCTATTAATACAGGTGTATTTAGTACTTGAGGAGGATAAATCCTGCGCTATTGTCGTAAAAACTTGAAATAGTGTGAATTATTGCATTTCAGGTGACAGAAATTAGGACAGGAGAACTTGCAGATTGTAGGACAAGATAATGTATATTTAACATTGTAAATTAGCCAAACATATTTCACAAGCTCTTAGTAACCTCGTGGAAGATCTTCAGTTCGTTGATCCACCAGGCTTGAGTCTCTGGCTTTAGGAAGTCGGGAAAGACTGTCTTGTTAGCGGGCCAGACGTAGCCGACCATGTAGTCGTCAGTGCCGGGCTCCTGGTCGTCCGGCACCAGGCTGGGGTCAGACCACTTGATGAACACGTCCGACTCCTTCCCTCTGGCCGCCGGCGGGTAGCTGTCGAAGTCGATCACCAACGCCGGGTCCTGCAGGAAGCAGCCCAAGTTGGTATTCAGAGCACTGAGAAAATTTTGTATGGAGGGTGATAACATAAAACATGAACTCTTGGTGCTGTGAGGAGTTTTATACATGTATAGCACCTGTATGTTGTAAGCAATGGGTGATGACCCCATGCATGTATTGTAAGGAGAAGGGGTGACTCCTTTATGTTGTATGATAGGTCTGCCTCCCTTGTGTTGCAAAGAGAGCTGATCCTTGGCCTTGAAAGACATATTAACAACCAATCCCTAACAAACGCAATGTACACTCAAGAAAAGGAAGTCCCAGTCAAACGCAAGATACAATCAACTCATTAACTCTCCAAGCTAAAAGTGACGTGTTTATGAGGACGATATAAATCACAAAGAATAGTTGTAAATAATGAGAATAACGACAAACACCACATAACTCTGCGCCACGTACCACAAGGAGCGTGAGTTTAAGGCCATCGTTGTGCAGCTCTTGGATGAGTTCGGGAAAATCGCTCCAGTTGATCGGGTCCAAGGTGAAGTCCCTCTTCTCATCCGTGTAGTTGATGTCAACGGTCTGGATGTCCTGTCACCACAACAACGTCTGCATTAGTAACGTAGCCTTGCAAGTCGCATCGTAAACAGGAAGGTTCTCTTACGGATTTTATAACCTACTTAACCTAACCAAACCTAAATCAACTTTACCTAACCTAACTTAATCTTACCCAATCTAACATAATCTAACTTAACCTGATCTAACCTAACCTACCCAAACCTAACTCAATCCAAACCAGCCTTACCCAACCCAACCGAGACTAACACAGCCTAACCTAAGCAAATATATTCTATCCTAACTTTATATACGGTTTTCACAATCAGAAAACACGTTTTGGTCGAATTTCCCTGGGGCTATTCCCATGATCCACCTGGGAAGGGGGGAGGGGTGTATTCGCATGACCCACCTGGGTATATGTATGCCCGTAACTCACCTGGGGGATGCCCATGGCCTTCATCCTCTCCCTGACGGCGCGGACATAGTCGGTAGAGTTGTATCCCCAGCGGGAGAGTTGGAACCCGAGGTACCAGTATGGAGGGAAGGCTGGATTGCCAACCATCTGGCGACAAACGATAATTATTCAAGCCACGACGACATCATTATACAATTAGTAAACATTAAATGCACGGTTAGAACCCATTAGAATATATTGCGCTTATTCTAGGGTTAAAGATCATGGAGTTATAACTAAGTGGAATATTATAATTTTCCGTTTTGCAGATTGGATATGATTCTTTTTATATAAAACATTAGAGATAATTGAGAAAGATTTTAAACTACTTAATTATCTTAAGATCATCATACATAAGATCCTCTCCCTTACAACGCCTGCAATCCCCGGAAGATTGCAGGTGTTGTGAGGGAGAGAAAAGGAGATATGTAAGAGAGAGAGAGAGAGACAGTGGAGGGAAGGAGGTGTGAGGGAGAAAGCGGTGTGGTGAGGGGCGGTGATACTGACGGAGGTATACTGCGTGATCAGGTCCTCCGGCAGGGGGCCCAGGAACATGTGCAGGTCGATGATGCCTCCGATGGTCCTCAATGTGAGCGCCGGCGTCCCATCCTCCAGCAGGAAGGTCGAGTACTCTGGAGGGCGACACGGCAGGTATTCTAGTTAGTACCTCGTCACTATCACGCCCCCAGGGACCAGATTCACAAAGCAGTTACGCAAGTACTTACGAACCTGTACATCTTTCATCAATCTTTGATGGCTTTGGTTATATTTATTAAACAGTTTACAAGCATGAAAACTTCCCAATCAACTGTTGTTATTGTTATAAACAGCCTCCTGGTGCTCCGGAGCTCATTAACTTTTTAATAATTGTAAACAAAGCCGCCAAAGATTGAGAAAACCTGTACAGGTTCGTAAGTGCTTGCTTAACTGCTTCGTGAATTTGATCCCAGGGATCGAGTCCCGGACTGGCTGTAAGATCTATGTTGTGGCTGTTTGCTAGCACAGGATTACTTTATCGTTAATATCACAATCAGACTAAAGTTATTTAGTTGGCCTGAACTTTTCCAGGAATTTAATATCAATTTGAGGATGATGTTAGAGCATTGTCAAAGCAATTAGTCCACTACGGGCTCACCATAGCCCGTGCTACTTGGAACTATTCGTTCCAAGTAGCGAATCTTAAACAACAACAACAACGTCAAAGCAAGATTCATATGAGCTGACCCTCAGAGGAGCGCAGCGTAGTAGAACATTGTACAAGATGTACACACTTTAAGGTCATGTGTGTGAACTAATGAAATTGTAATAATCTCTGGGCCCTTTACAAAGGCAATAGTACAAAAGGTGGATTGTTTTTATACAAAAGTCCATAATCTGCACACTCCATCCATAATAGCTATATGTACTCTATTCTTTTTTTGGGGATAACATTACATGCCATCCATGATAGCTATATGTACTCTATTCCTTTTTTGGGGATAACATTACATGTCCATAGCATCTGTACTCACCCATGGCCCCAGTAGCACATGTACACTCACCCATGGCCCCAGTAGCACATGTACACTCACCCATGGCCCCAGTAGCACATGTACACCCACCCATGGTCCCAGTAGCACATGTACACTCACCCATGGCCCCAGTAGCACATGTACACCCACCCATGGCCCCAGTAGCACATGTACACTCACCCATGGTCCCAGTAACACATGTACACTCACCCATGACCCCAGTAACACATGTACACTCACCCATGGTCCCAGTAACACATGTACACTCACCCATGGCCCCAGTAACACATGTACACTCACCCATGGCCCCAGTAACACATGTACACTCACCCATGGCCCCAGTAACACATGTACACTCACCCATGGCCCCAGTAACACATGTACACTCACCCATGGTCCCAGTAACACATGTACACTCACCCATGGCCCCAGTAACACATGTACACTCACCCATGGCCCCAGTAACACATGTACACTCACCCATGGTCCCAGTAACACATGTACACTCACCCATGGCCCCAGTAGCACATGTACACTCACCCATGGTCCCCAGTAGCACATGTACACTTACCCATGACTCCAGTCCAGTAGCACATGTACACTCACCCATGGCCCCAGTAACACATGTACACTCACCCATGGTCCCAGTAACACATGTACACTCACCCATGGCCCCAGTAGCACATGTACACTCACCCATGGTCCCCAGTAGCACATGTACACTTAACCATGACTCCAGTCCAGTAGCACATGTACACTCACCCATGGTCCCAGTAACACATGTACACTCACCCATGGTCCCAGTAGCACATGTACACTCACCCATGGCCCCAGTAGCACATGAACACTCACCCATGGTCCCAGTAGCACATGTACACTCACCCATGGCCCCAGTAGCACATGTACTCACCCATGGCCCCAGTAGCACATGTACACTCACCCATGGCCCCAGTAGCACATGTACACTCACCCATGGCCCCAGTAGCACATGTACACTCACCCATGGTCCCAGTAACACATGTACACTCACCCATGGTCCCAGTAACACATGTACACTCACCCATGGCCCCAGTAGCACATGTACACTCACCCATGGTCCCCAGTAGCACATGTACACTCACCCATGGTCCCAGTAGCACATGTACACTCACCCATGGCCCCAGTAGCACATGTACACTCACCCATGGTCCCCAGTAGCACATGTACACTCACCCATGGTCCCAGTAGCACATGTACCATCACCCATGGTCCCCAGTAGCACATGTACACTCACCCATGGTCCCAGTAACACATGTACACTCACCCATGGTCCCCAGAAGCACATGTACACTCACCCATGGCCTCAGTAGCACATGTACACTCACCCATGGTCCCCAGTAACACATGTACACTCACCCATGGTCCCAGTAACACATGTACACTCACCCATGGTCCCAGTAACACATGTACACTCACCCATGGTCCCAGTAACACATGTACACTCACCCATGGCCTCAGTAGCACATGTACACTCACCCATGGTCCCCAGTAACACATGTACACTCACCCATGGTCCCAGTAACACATGTACACTCACCCATGGCCCCAGTAACACATGTACACTCACCCATGGCCCCAGTAACACATGTACACTCACCCATGGCCCCAGTAGCACATGTACACTCACCCATGGCCCCAGTAACACATGTACACTCACCCATGGCCCCAGTATCACATGTACACTCACCCATGGCCCCAGTAGCACATGTACACTCACCCATGGCCCCAGTAACACATGTACACTCACCCATGGCCCCAGTAACACATGTACACTCACCCATGGCCCCAGTAGCACATGTACACTCACCCATGGCCCCAGTAACACATGTACACTCACCCATGGCCCCAGTAACACATGTACACTCACCCATGGCCCCAGTAACACATGTACACTCACCCATGGCCCCAGTAACACATGTACACTCACCCATGGTCCCAGTAGCACATGTACACTCACCCATGGCGTTAGAGTTGTAGAGAAGGACGGAGTGAGAGTTACCCTCGTCGTCCTCCATCACCATGTAGTATGGGTGGTGACCGTACTCGTTGGTGGGTTCCTGGGGGAGACGGGTACTGTAAGGCAAGGGCAGGGAGAGGCAAGGACAGGCAAGGAGAGACAGGGAGAGGCAAGGACAGGCAGGGAGAGGCAAGGACAGGCAAGGAGAGACAGGGACAGGCAAGGACAGGCAGGGAGAGGCAAGGACAGGCAGGTAGAGACAGGGAGAGGCAAGGACAGGCAGGGAGAGGCAAGGACAGGCAGGGAGAGACAGGGACAGGCAAGGACAGGCAGGGAGAGGCAAGGACAGGCAAAGAGAGACAGGGAGAGGCAAGGGCAGGAGCAGGCAAGTAGGGACAGGGAGAGACAAGGAGAGTCAAGAACAGGGAAAGGCAAGGAGAGTCAGGGAGAGTATTAGAGAGACATGTAGAGTAAGAGAGAAACATGGAGGGTTAAGGAGAACCAGTAAATGCAAGGAAGAGACAAAAGAATATGGGAGAAGGAAGAAAACAGAGATATACAGTCGGCAGGAAGAAACAGAGGCAAACTGAACATAGAAACCCCAGGAATGTGAACGAATTTAAGAACGGCGAGGAAGTCAAAGTGCAAAGACAGCAAGGAGAGTTAAAAGATGGAGTAAAGAGGGAGGAGAGTAAGAAGCAGTGTACAAGAAACGACAGTGTGCACAAGAACTCCCAAAGAGTACGCAAACATCAAGGGAACAACAGAGCATCGCACTGTGTTTACAGACGGATCTCCCACCCAACATTCCTACCGTGGCTATTGGATGGTCTCTGGCGAAGATGGGGAAGGTGGAGCGGGGCTCGAACGTGTGTCTGAAGGAGAGGTGGGTGTTCTCGCCGAAGCCGTACAGGTAAGTGGAAGCGAGGGAGGTGTGCAGCTGCAGGAACTGATCCTCGAAAGTCAGGGGCCCCAACGAGCGGAACCTGGAACCAGTCACCAAGACAGTCATTTCGAAGTAAAGAATGCGGAGGCCAAAATGAAGCATTGTCAGCGGTATGGATAGTGAATGTAATGATGATGATGATGATGATGAGTGATAGTGACGGCGTGTGCGTGGGAGGGACGACTTACACAATGTTGTTGTTGGACTTTCTGCTGACAACGAAGTCGAAAGGTTCGCCTTCCCCGCTGACGCTGACGGTGTAGAGGGCGCCGGCGTCTGCGGCGTCAGGAAGACTCAGAGGCACCGGCACCTCGTAGCGCTCCGCGTCTGCGTCGTAGATCTGTCGGGGAGGAACAACTGTGGTAGACAAGAGCGGCTACGACAGTAACGTATTGGTGACAACCTCTGTAGTAGAGACTAGTAATTACCTGCACAAATCAGGGGTCATTGAGCTCACCTTGACCTGGAGGTGGTAATCTTCGTGCTGGATGACCTCAAACACCAAGTTGGTCACGTCGTCTCCGAACATCGTCACTGTGTCGTCCGCCTTCTTCAGGTTAACCTGTAATATTAATATTAACTTGTAATATTAACCAGTTACGCAAAGTCACCGACACAGGCCGCTTCCTTCCCCAAGATGACCTCCTTCAGGCAAGATTATGTAATTGAACATAATAACTTTGGGAAGTTTGGTATAATTCCAACAATAAATAATTATAGATTACTTATAGTATAGATTATATTATAGTATTAATATAGTGATAATTAAATATTGCAGGAAATAAAGGTGTTATATAATTATTGCCTGGCCACCCAACTTCTGCCGTCTTCAGTGGGAGTTGTCTCACACAAATGATGATTTTTTTCTTTTTTTTTTTCTTTTTTAGCAGGGATAATCCTGCGCGGGCCCTAAGCCTCTGGCTGGCGCACTAAGTGTTGCTTGTTTCTGTTTTACTTAGGCGGAGTATGAGTATTTATGACTCGTATGGTCGCTTCAGTAAGATTTTGTCCCATGAGTTTAACAACTGCTTCTGCTCTGTTGAATCTAAGTTGAAATCTTAATGGGTTTGTAACTGTGCACTGTGTTAGATAATGTTCCAGTGGTCTGTCGGGCATTTCTCCACAGTGCTGACATATCCTCTCATCTTCCGGAACCTGTAAGCCTATTTCCCATGCACATGGGTATCCAAGCCTGATGCGATGTAAGTGTACTTCTGTTGTTCTACTGCTCCCTTTCATCAAACTAAGTGGTTCGTAGTTGGTTGAATTCTTGTACCAACCCGCAGATCCTGATGTTGCAACTGCTGTGTTGTGGTCACTGTACATCTTTTGCATTGCTCTGTTTCTAATTACGATTGCTTGACGATACGGTAAGGTAATTATCAATATAAATAATTGTTTGAAGGATGATTGAATACTTTTGGACTGTGTCATAAATTGATCACTCAATAGCAACATAAAAGGTATTGTTCGATAAGTATTGATTAACTGTAAATAAGAATGTATTATTTATAAAAGATAGACATCTTATAGAGCCACATTATGAGTGATAGATAGACGCATGTCACATCAAAGTTGATGGTTAGACGGAAATAATCAGCATTTATATTCACGACTTAAGGATAGATGGATGACTGAGTGTGATAGTTACCTTGAAGCCTCTGGTGGTGACCTCTGGCGGGCCCTGGACGACGTAGCCACCAACGGCGTTGTCCACTACATGGCAGACTCCGTCCGTCCACTCACACGCTGAGTACTTCCCGCACTCCTCCTCTGACACCACCTCCTGTCCCTCTGACAACACACAAGATCATTAATAGTTGAGTACTTCCCGCACTGCTCCTCTGACACCACCTCCTGTCCCTCTGACACCACCTCCTGTCCCTCTGACACCACCTCCTGTCCCTCTGACACCACCTCCTGTCCCTCTGACACCACCTCCTGTCCCTCTGACACCACCTCCTGTCCCTCTGACACCACCTCCTGTCCCTCTGACACCACCTCCTGTCCCTCTGACACCACCTCCTGTCCCTCTGACACCACCTCCTGTCCCTCTGACACCACCTCCTGTCCCTCTGACACCACCTCCTGTCCCTCTGACACCACCTCCTGTCCCTCTGACACCACCTCCTGTCCCTCTGACAACACCTCCTGTCCCTCTGACATCACTTCTTGTCCCACTGACACCACCTCCTGTCCCTCTGACATCACTTCTTGTCCCACTGACACCACCTCCTGTCCCTCTGACACCACCTCCTGTCCCTCTGACACCACCTCCTGTCCCTCTGACACCACCTCCTGTCCCTCTGACACCACCTCCTGTCCCTCTGACACCACCTCCTGTCCCTCTGACACCACCTCCTGTCCCTCTGACACCACCTCCTGTCCCTCTGACACCACCTCCTGTCCCTCTGACACCACCTCCTGTCCCTCTGACACCACCTCCTGTCCCTCTGACACCACCTCCTGTCCCTCTGACACCACCTCCTGTCCCTCTGACACCACCTCCTGTCCCTCTGACACCACCTCCTGTCCCTCTGACAACACCTCCTGTCCCTCTGACACCACCTCCTGTCCCTCTGACACCACCTCCTGTCCCTCTGACAACACCTCCTGTCCCTCTGACATCACTTCTTGTCCCACTGACACCACCTCCTGTCCCTCTGACATCACTTCTTGTCCCACTGACACCACCTCCTGTCCCTCTGACATCACTTCTTGTCCCACTGACACCACCTCCTGTCCCTCTGACACCACCTCCTGTCCCTCTGACACCACCTCCTGTCCCTCTGACATCACTTCTTGTCCCACTGACACCACCTCCTGTCCCTCTGACACCACCTCCTGTCCCTCTGACATCACTTCTTGTCCCACTGACACCACCTCCTGTCCCTCTGACACCACTTCCTGCCCCCTCTGACAACACACCCCACAAGATCATCATACATTTTACATCAAAAATCAACTATCTTTCTTCCTTTATATTATTTTGCCCCCTAGCTAAACTATGTGTTTGACTGCAGAGTTCCTGGTACACCCACCTGGAAAAGGACATTCTATTGCCTGAAGATTGGCGTCTTGAGCGAGGGAGACAGCGCAAGTGGCGGCCGTAGCCACCACCAGCAACACTCTGCCCCAGAAACTCATCCTTCTGGAGGAATGAGGCACCGACTGCTGCAGCTGCCCGATTACCGAAGCTTATATACCTCCCCCCCCCCCCAATGCCCGCCCGGGTCATGGAGGAAGTAGCCGCTGGAGGTGTTATTGTCGCGTCAGATGGTGAGTAATGTTATGTTCATGTTTGTATTTCCTACATATTCCTCCTCTCCTCCAGTGCTATGATATCCAGCTCCCTCAGTGTTTCCTTGTGGCTCAGGAACTAGGCTTGTAGCATATCGTTGGACCTTTTCTAGTATTGTTTACCTTTCCATTTCGGAGTTGTATATTTAAGATTGAGTGCCATATAGGTTCCATATAGCTAGAGAGGTAACCAGTGGAGTGCCGCAGGGGCTGTACTAGCAGCCAGAGAGGCAACCAGCTGTGTTTTGCAGACTGGTCTTGGGGCTGAGGGAATTATCTTGGGGTGAGAGACTGGTCTTGGGGCTCAGAAAAATGTCTTGGGGTTGAGAGACAGGTCTTGAAGCTCAGAGACATGTCTTGGGGCTGAGAGACTGGCCTTGGGGTTCAGAGACATGTCTTGGGGCTGAGAGACAGGTCTTGGGGCTCAGAAAAATGTCTTGGGGCTGAGAGACAGGTCTTGGGGCTCAGAAAAATGTCTTGGGGCTGAGAGACAGGTCTTGGGGCTCAGAAAAATGTCTTGGGGCTGAGAGACTGGCCTTGGGGCTGAATGATTGGCCTTATGAGCTGAGAATTTGGTCTTGGAGATTCGAAAGATGAACAACGAGCATAAGATGAAGACTGTAAACCTCACAGTAGAAATAAAAGAAACATGATCATTACTAATAAAATACTCAGGATAGTTGACAAGGTGGACAAGCAATAATTAGTTTACATTATTAATACAAGAACGAGGGAATACGATAGCTAATTAATTACCGAAAATGAGATAATATATGGACATCAGGAATACCATCTGCGTCAGAGAAAATAAGAAATGGAATGAACTAGGGAATGAAGTGCTTGATACCGAGCAATAAGCAGATATGAACAAACCTGAATGATGTAGGGAAAAATGAACACTTCCCTCTCTTTCACCACTATGCAGGTCAGCGTTCAATTCCCGACCATCCAAGTGGTTGGGCACCATTCCTTTCCCCCGTCCCATCCCAAATCCTTGTCCTGATCCCTTTCAAGCTCTATAGTCGTAATGGCTTGGCGCTTGACCCCTCTGATAATTCCCTCCCTCACCACCTTCCCTATAAAAGACTGGGTCTGACCGCCGCAGCTCAACCCCCTTCCCCCCAACACCAGTAAAAACAGATGAGCACCAGCCTGCGCTAGTGCTCCCTGCCCTTGGACTTGAAGCACAGGTGTGTCAATTCCCACCCGTGACCTCCACCATGGTTTCTCGCACGTTCACATGTCCACCCTTCCCTGTCTGGTAATACAGCTGGTAATTCCCCACCATAAGGGAAGGTAGAAAGGGGAGAGAGAGAGAGAAAGAGTAGAGAAAGTTGCGGATGGCAAGACAGAGAAGTAAGATGCCAGTAATATAGCCATTATTCAAGAAGCCAGTACACACGAGCACTGAGAATATTTTCCACGCACTCCCAACGACGCTCAGACAACCACACTTCCCCTCCATTCATAATGCTTTCAATAATTCACTCAAAGACTGTAAACAATACATTAGAATTAAAGGAACTACAGAAGGCCTATTGGCCCAGAACAGGCAACTCTTATTTGTATCCACCCAAACTCATTTGTATATACAATATGTCTAACCGACGCTTGAAACACTCCCGCGATCCCACATCCATTATATTACCCGGTGTTTACAGGCTAAGATGCTGTGAAACAGCGATCCCCAAGTGCAGGCGATGAGTCACAATAACGCGGCTGAATAATGTTGACTAGACCACACACTAGAGGGTGAAGGGTTGACGACGTTTCGATCCGTCCTGGACAATCCTCAATCGACTTGAGAATGGTCCAGGACGGACCGAAACGTCAGCGATCCCCAAGATAGTCGTAATTAATCATTCTAAATATAAGACTAAGTTGCTCCAAATGAACAAAATAATGAAACGTCGTCGACGAAGGGACGAAACGTCGTCGTCCCTTCAATTTCTAGTGTGTGGTCTGGTCAACAACAAAATAATGAGTTGTTGTTGAGTCTCTTAGTATGAATCTTAAAGCAAACTAAAATCAATTTTTTTAGTTCATAAATGTTCCACAAGAAAATAATGTTTTATACGAATGGATGAAAGGGTATGATAAAGGGAATATAAATAAGATGGAAAATATATCAACACAAAATGGAACGCGATACAATAGATAACAATTGGGTAGGTTTAGATTCAGGGAAGATTTGGGTAAATACTGGTTTGAAAATGGTTGTTTTTTTGTGGAATAAAATATCCGGTAATATAAAGGATGCGGGTAAAGGATGTAACATAAACACTACTGTTTCTAGCGCAGGTTAGACGTATATATAACTAAAAGGAGCACCCAGCTGTGCCCGAGTTTCTCTCCGCCTTCCTTTCTCTTCCTCACTCTTCTTTATCTTATATCTCTTTCATTATCCCCCCCCTTCACATTCCCCCCCTCGCCCCCTTTCCTCTCTCTCACCTGTGCCCCTCTCTTCAAAATTCCCCTCATATTATAATTTAGATAAAGGGGGCCTTAGTAGTTATAGCCAAACCAAAGACGGTTGGATATAATTACTCTATTGGCATTATTTTTGACCATTTATATGGTCTAATTCAGAGCACAGACAGAGCACTGAGCTTGCCAAATATTCTCCCAAAGTTTCATATTACTTGAAGTAATAGCAATATTTTATATGTGAAGGTAATTATTCATTTATTTCTCAGTGATATAATATTTATGATAACTTACAACTGGTCTGAATTCCATCCCTACATATCTATAAAAGGAAGATGTCTTTCAGTTTGCCTGTCCGAGGATGGAGGTTAGACATTTGGGGCTTGTCTTGTCCTTTTGAGGCTAGGTGGTGATGATAGGAGTTATAAGATACGAGCTAGATGGTGTTGAGATTGAGAAGTCGGATTACGAAAGGGATCTGGGAGTTATGATTAGTAAGAATTTAAAATCAAAAGATCAATACATAAATGTTCGAAATTAAGGCAAACAAGACACTGGGATTTATTTCTTGAAGCGTTAGTAATAAAACGCCTGGTCCACAGAGAGTAGTGTTCCATCTATTATTATTGTTTCATCCTTTTTGTCTTTGATTTTTCAATAAAAGAATGATGGGTTGACCTGAGCACCACTGGGTACCATATGTTACATGTACTGGTGTACAGATTCTGGAGCCTATTGGACTCTATCAAATCTACATTTGAAACTGTGTATGGAGTCAGCCTCCACCACATCACTGCATAATGCATTCAATTTGTTAACTATGCTAACACTGAAATTAATTCTTTCTAATGTCTGCGGCTCATTTGTGTACTAAGTTTCAACCTATGTCCCCTTGTTCGTGTTCCACCCGTGCTAAATAATTTTTCTTTGTCCACCCTGTTAATTCCTCAGAAAATTTTGTTGTTGTGATCATGTCTTTCCTCACTCTTCTGTATTCCATGGACGTGAGGTTTATCTTCCGTAGCCTTTCCTCGAAGCTCATACCTCAGTTCTGGGACTAGTCTGGTGGCATATCTATGAATCTTCTCTAACTTTGTATTGTGTTATCTAGGTATGGACTCAAGGCTGTTCATGGGATACCTAATGACCGGATCTACCCCTCTAAACACAGCAATATTTAAGTGATGGACTACCAAAACGTTTGCACCATGGAGGTCGACCCGGATCCACCTATGGTTGTCCTTCCTCTTTTGTTCACTATTTAGGTGGCTTAAAATGATAAAATTCTAGAGATTCTGATAGCCACCATTTCTCTCCACCGATTTTATTGGGTCGCCATTAGAACCGACCCCCCTTCCCCTTCCCTGTTAGTGGAAGCAATGGGGAGTTGACTTTGGACCTGTGATGTTTCTGCGCCCCCTCCGCCCCCTCCGTCCCCTCCTCCTGCAAGGTTGTGAGTGACTAGCCCCAAGCATCTAATCTCCAACCTGGGGTAAACAGATATTCTCTCGTATAGATTTAGTTATATTCTGATCCCTTGATTGTTTCAAACATAGGTTAGACATATATATATGAATGAGATTGGGTGGTTATAAATAGGAGCTGCCTCGTATAGGCCAATTGACCTTCTGCAGTTACTTTCATTCTTATAGTCTTATATAACGTTTTGGTATTTCTCCTGTGGTTTCCAATCGCACCTCTATATACGTAGATCTGAAGCTGTACGTCTCAACGTAGTTTCCCAGCAGATAAGATAAATACATATAGAAACAAATTATGTTTTCTCGTGTCTTGATGAGGTCGCCCCATTTTATTTTTCACGCCACAGCTCCTGAGTAAACAGCCTATCATCTCCTGCTAAGAATTAATTAATACCATGGGCTGTACCATTCAACTCGGATAAAAATGTCCCGATTGTACCGTGAAGTACTTCAAAATGTATCAATCATAAATATTCCTTAATTTCCAATTCCCATTCCCCAGACATCGAAGGCAATCTCAAAATGCTGTGTTCAGTATTAAATTAATACATGAGGAACAAATGAAACTGAAAGTAGTGCTTTTGTGGATATTGTAAGTAGGGAAAAGGCCAAGAAGGCAGTCAGCCATGGTGGCTGTGTGAGTGTGTAGGGAAGAGCCTAGGGGGGCAGTAGCCTTGAACAAGAGGGAATGAACACATCTAACATTGTACAAGTACTGTCTGCCTTGATTTATGAAGCGGTGTAATGATGCTCTCAATGATTTTTTTATGTGTAAGAATGGTGGTCTTCCCCATCCTCCCTTCCCCTCTTAGTCGGTCTCTTTCTCTCGGTCTTTATTTCCCTCTCTCCCCCTGTGATTAGTGATGGCTCAGGTGGGAACGGGGACACCTGGCTGAACAGTGTGGCCAGAAAACCTCTATCTTCTACTTCATGTACCCAATATATCCTCGCAAAACGATTCAATTTCTTAAAGACAAAATGTTAATTTAAGTTTTATTAATATGTCGCATATTTCTGTAATCATATCTTAAAACCTAATCCCATTATTTAATTATATTATTGTATATATTTAATAACTGTTGCCACGTGGAGGCGCTTAGTTACACATCATCAGTCCGACCTCGCTTAAGAATTGTTGCCAGGCTACTGGCAGCGAGGGGAGACTATATAATTCCCGGAGGTTCACACGGCTGCAACAGTCGGTGCCTCACTCCTCCAGAAGGATGAGTTTCCGGGGCAGAATGTTCCTGGTGGTGGCTGTTGCCGCCACCTGTGCCATCTCCCTCGCTCAAGACGCCAATCTTCAGGCAATAGAATGTCCTTTCCCAGGTGGGTCCAAGAACAAGAATATATATATGTACATACACCGAAAGGTGTTCCCAAACTTATTGGTATATAAACAGTGTTTGCTTTGTTCAGGTTTAAAACATCCTTGCTGGTCAGTTAGCGAGCTGAATAACCCTTCCGCCTATAGCCCAACACCAAACCTCCTCAATGTAAACATAAGTATTAGAGCACATAAATAATTAACCATTTAGCTCTCCATCTATTAATGAAGCCTGTTAAACTGTCTCAATCTGGCAGCTCATATCCCTTATCCACTACCATATTTATAAAACTATCTTGTACCTGTTGTTGAGGATTTTAGATACAAAACACAAACTTTGTTGTGTTGATCACACTGCATGGTTAGTGACCTTAATGTCAGTACTCTCGAGATAAATAAGAGTTGTATTCATCATTTCCGCGTTCAATAAACAAATATTTATACTTTCTGTTTTAACATATTACAATAAAATCTAACAGCTATAGTGATATATCTTATTCATTTAGTATATTATTGAAACTTAAATTAAAATAAGTTTATTGAGGTAAAATACACACAAAAGGATGAGGTAGCTCAAGCTATTCTCACCCCGTTCAGTACATCGTGTTAATACATACATAGACACACATAACAAGCAATAAACGTATTACCGAACATTCTGAGAGATACACATATACATTTCCTCCTTTACACAAGTAATTAGTATATTATGGTATGTCCTAACTTTGGCCAACGTTATTAGAGGGTGGGATAGTTTCTATATTACTCATATCTTTATAAATACAGTATCTACTGAACTGTTTAGAAGCCTAACTGTTCCTTGTCGATCAATATATTCACAAATGTGTGAGTTGGGTTAATAATATTAACAATGTGTGGTGGAAATATATGGCAACAACAATGTATTTGCTTGGATTACAAGAAAATAATTCAAAACATTTGTTTTTCTTATGAGGATTTTTGAGTTGGGAGTCTGTATAAACAATTGAGCCTCTTCCATTCAGACAGAAAGGACTATTTTCCTTGCTTCTTGCACTGAAATGTGTACAAGTCTCCAAACTTCATACATTAATTTTAAGTGACTTTATCATCCTTAATTGCACTTAACTCTTTAAAACATACTTTGCTTCAGACATGCTCGTGTCTGAAGCTAGACACAAATACAACAAAATTATTAATGATGAATGATGAGTCCATTTCATGTGGATTCCATCTCATGTTGGCCTCCGAATGCCTGATAGAGCTGATGAGTTTGCCAAAGAATCTACAGTGCTGCACATTGCTGACCCCTTTTACACCTATTGCATGTGTGTAGTTGGGTCTCACAGTTGTTGACGCGTGATTTGAGGCACCTCGTGCATTTTCTGAAGTCGCTTAATACGAGTGACTTTATCAGGATAATTGGTGCGGCGGTATGTTGAATGATGTCCTTGGCAGAACAAACATGTCCCCCAGCCTACAGTACGCTTGGGAGTTACCGCGTTGGGCGAACCAGTAACGGTAGGCTTTGAGTGATCCGCTGCTTTAAGTGCCCTCACTGCCTTGCTTCCTGTACTTTAGCGTGGAAGTAATTGCTTGGTGTATTTGGAGTATTTGTTGTACTCTTTGGTTCCACGGGTTTCTCACTTGTTGACATTGATTTCTCAGTGTCAAATTTGTTATTAGTACCGATGTTCTTTCCTGACTGTTGGTTTTGGTTTGTCAGTTGAAGAATCGATGTTGGTACTGTTTCCAAAGGCTTAGAATAGGCTGTAAATTCCTTGTTTGCTTGTCGTCTGTCTTAGACAGAACGCAAACTATCGGATATGTCCTGTACTGTCAGGACGGTATTGTCTTGATGCGAATATAACTCATCTAATATATCACTGGGCAGTTTTCGTTGGATGACAACTTTAGTTATCCACTCAGCAGTGGTTATGTCAAGTTTTAAGATGAGTGCTCTTAGTACTGACTCAGACTTCAATCTGAAGTCTTGCAGTGAGTCAGCTGTTTGATCAGGTTGTGTAAAGCTCAGCAATTTATGTATTAGATATGTAACAACTTTCTCATTGTCAGCATTATCCCCAGGGAGCTGGACTGTGACATTAGTGCTATCACTGTTTTTATTTAATTCGGTAGCCTCAGGCATCGAGTTTTCAGAATCCACAGCAATTGTGAGTAAGCTGACTGAGGTCAGTTTAATTTCTGGTTGTGTGGTGTTAGGTGAAGCTGTGGTAGAGGAAGTTTTATCATAGTTGATTAATTCGACGAAAGGATCTAACCCGGCTTGAGAATCATCTTAATATTGAGCCAGGTCATCCATAATATCATCTATTCCTTCTGATGTACTGGCTGCTTGATATGGTACAAGCATCCTGAACAAGTGATCCAACCTGGCTTGAGTGGGATCCTAATACTTTGCCAGATCAGACCTGATTTGTTCCACATCGTGAACTGATGTGTCGCTGGCGTGGAGCTGATTTTGGTGTGATTTGAATATTCTTTTCAGTTGATCGAATTTGAGATTAGTCATTCGTAGTGAGATTTCCAGCTGATAATAATCAACTGGAGACTCGTGTGACAAATGTTCATATTTACGAGTTGTCTTGTCAGGTGACCTTTAAACGCTGTTAAAACACGTTTTGTTTTTGTTGATTAGCCATGGTGGCTGCTTGATTAAACTTTATAGAGCTTATAATATTGTTGCTAATGTAGCTTGGATGCTCATAAATTATAGATGATCTAATTCCTAGACCATCTAGGTTCGAATGTCTATAAAGATGTTGGTAAAACTGAATCGTGGGATTTATTAATTATTTTAATTACTATTATTAATTTATTTATTTAATGATTTATAATTTAATTTGTTTTTAATTTATTTTTTAAATAATTTATACATTATTTCTATATTAATTTATTTCTTACGATAGCAGACTGTATGATACGATAGTGAACTGTATGATTTTATAGTGGACTTTATGATTTTGATTTTCTCACTAGTAGTTTTCTGCACAATGTTTGGAGGGTTTAATTACATAGTCTACCAGATCGAAATGAATCGATTGGAAGAAATTTGCTATTAATGGTTAATAATGAATTGAGTTTGAGCTTAGCTGTAGTATAGAATGCAGCCTAGTCAACAAGACCAGGTAACTTATTGATATGTCTTCTTCCCCTTCAATTTTACCTGTGACATATAGTCACATAGTAATAACCACAACCAATATATGACGGCTGTATCAGGGGCAAGAGATTATGGATAGTTAATTACGTTAATTTAAGCTTACCCGTTCCGGGCGGCTTGCCATGCGTGCTGACAACTTGATAATAAATATGACCATAAATGTAAATATATAATAGTCAGACGGATATAGAACACTTCCCTATTGGCTAGTGGAAGTGTGCTGATGATAGGAGAGTCTGGCGGCCTTCAACACCCTGACTAGCGGGAGGTTTTCATGGGGCTTGTGTGAGCGGGTTCGCTGGCAAGACTTGACATTAACCAACTGTTAATGATCTTGTTGTTAGAGGGACAGGAGGTGGTGTCAGAGGGACAGGATGTGGTGTCAGAGGGACAGGATGTGTTGTGTCAGAGAGACAGGAGAGGTGGTATCAGAGGGACAGTGTAGGAAGTACTTAGCTCTTAAAGTTCTTGTGTGTTGTCAGAGGGACAGGAGGTGGTGTCAGAGGAGGAGTGCGGGAAGTACTCAGCGTGTGAGTGGACGGACGGAGTCTGCCATGTAGTGGACAACGCCGTTGGTGGCTACGTCGTCCAGGGCCCGCCAGAGGTCACCACCAGAGGCTTCAAGGTAACTCTTAAGAGCTTCTCTCGTCTATCCATCAAGTGTGAATGCATAAATATATTTTTTTCTTATAGCTCCAGACAGCCATGGGCTTCATGCACCTTGGGGAGACCAGTACTTTCACCATGCATCAGTAAAGGTACATGGAGCCCCTGCCTGTCTGGGTTCGAAACATTCAGGAGTGAGAAGTTTTCTGTTGTATATTAGCTTGGGGACCATTCAAGCGTGCCCCACAAATGTTACTCACGTGGCCCCAGCATGATGAAGGGATTTGATGAACTATCTGTGCCCAAAATGGTCATCGAGAGTTGTCGGGAATTGGGTTAAGGGTCAGACAACTTCCAATTCTTTTGTACAGTCAGTGTGACCTAGTGATGAAATTACTGGACACACCAAGGTGCATGGAGTCCCCTGGCTTTCTGGGTTCGAATCCTTATGTCAAGAATATATCCTCCCAAGATGAAATCCTTACCAGAAGGATTTCATCTTAGGGGGAAAGGTGATAACGGTCCGGGCAAGTGACTTATTGTAAATATTACAGGTTAACCTGAAGAAGGCGGACGACACAGTGACGATGTTCGGAGACGACGTGACCAACTTGGTGTTTGAGGTCATCCAGCACGAAGATTACCACCTCCAGGTCAAGGTGAGCTCAATGACCCCTGATTTGTGCAGGTAATTACTAGTCTCTACTACAGAGGTTGTCACCAATACGTTGCTGTCGTAGCCGCTCTTGTCTACCACAGTTGTTCCTCCCCGACAGATCTACGACGCAGACGCGGAGCGCTACGAGGTGCCGGTGCCTCTGAGTCTTCCTGACGCCCCAGACGCCGACGCCCTCTACACCGTCAGCGTCAGCGGGGAAGGCGAACCTTTCGACTTCGTCGTCAGCAGAAAGTCCAACAACAACACTGTGTACGTCGTCCCTCTCGCACACTCCGTCACTGTCACTCATCATCACATTCACTATTAATTCCTGTAACACATTCACTATCCATACCTGCTGACGATGCTTCCTTTTGGCCTCCGCATTCTTTACTTCAAAATGATTGTGTTGGTGACTGTGGTTCCAGGTTCCGCTCGTTGGGGCCCCTGACCTTCGAGGACCAGTTCCTGCAGCTGCACACCTCCCTCGCCTCCACTTACCTGTACGGCTTAGGCGAGAACACCCACCTCTCCTTCAGACACACGTTCGAGCCCCGCTCCACCTTCCCCATCTTCGCCAGGGACGTGGCAGTGAGCACGGTAAATATACTATAGGGTGACTTATTAACAATGCGTCATTCCCTACATATGATCATCCCCACCCCATCAAATCAGTTCTTAAAGTTGCACGCAAGAAAAGCTATGATGATGAATGCGTCTAGGCATGTGGTAGGGATATCACTGCCCTTCCCATACTCTCCCAGCCTTTCCCTGCTTCTGCTGCCTCTCCCTGCCCTTGCCTTTTCCGTCTCTTCCATCCTTGCCTCTCCCTGTCTCTCCCTGCCTGTCCTTGCCTCTCCCTGCCTGTCCTTGCCTGTCCCTGTCTCTCCCTGCCTGTCCTTGCCTCTCCCTGCCTGTCCTTGCCTCTCCCTGTCTCTCCCTGCCTGTTCTTGCCTCTCCCTGCCTGTCCTTGCCTCTCCCTGTCTCTCCTTGCCTGCCCTTGCCTCTCCCTGCCTGTCCTTGCCTGCCCTTGCCTGCCCTTGCCTCTCTCTGCCTGTCCTTGCCTCTCCCTGTCTCTCCCTGCCTGTCCTTGCCTCTCCCTGCCTGTCCTTGCCTCTCCCTGTCTCTCCCTGCCTGTCCTTGCCTCTCCCTGCCTGTCCTTGCCTCTCCCTGTCCTTGCCTCTCCTTGCCTGTCCTTGCCTCTCCCTGCCTGTCCTTGCCTCTCCCTGTCCTTGCCTCTCCTTGCCTGTCCTTGCCTCTCCCTGCCTGTCCTTGCCTCTCCCTGCCTGTCCTTGCCTCTCCTTGCCTGTCCTTGCCTCTCCCTGCCTGTCCTTGCCTCGCCCTGCCTGTCCTTGCCTCTCCCTGTCTCTCCCTGCCTGTTCTTGCCTCTCCCTGTCTCTCCCTGCCTGTCCTTGCCTCTCCCTTCTCTCCCTGCCTGTCCTTGCCTCTCCCTGTCTCTCCCTGCCTGTCCTTGCCTCTCCTTGCCTGTCCCTGCCTGTCCCTGCCTCTCCTTGCCTGTCCTTGCCTCTCCCTGCCCTTGCCTTACAGTACCCGTCTCCCCCAGGAACCCACCAACGAGTACGGTCACCACCCATACTACATGGTGATGGAGGACGACGAGGGTAACTCTCACTCCGTCCTTCTCTACAACTCCAACGCCATGGGTGAGTGTACATGTGTTACTGGGACCATGGGTGAGTGTACATGTGTTACTGGGGCCATGGGTGAGTGTACATGTGTTACTGGGACCATGGGTGAGTGTACATGTGCTACTGGGGCCATGGGTGAGTGTACATGTGTTACTGGGACCATGGGTGAGTGTACATGTGTTACTGGGGCCATGGGTGAGTGTACATGTGTCACTGGGACCATGGGTGAGTGTACATGTGCTACTGGGGCCATGGGTGAGTGTACATGTGCTACTGGGGCCATGGGTGAGTGTACATGTGCTACTGGGACCATGGGTGAGTGTACATGTGTTACTGGGGACCATGGGTGAGTGTACATGTGTTACTGGGACCATGGGTGAGTGTACATGTGCTACTGGGGCCATGGGTGAGTGTACATGTGTTACTGGGGACCATGGGTGAGTGTACATGTGTTACTGGGACCATGGGTGAGTGTACATGTGCTACTGGGACCATGGGTGAGTGTACATGTGCTACTGGGGCCATGGGTGAGTGTACATGTGTTACTGGGACCATGGGTGAGTGTACATGTGCTACTGGGACCATGGGTGAGTGTGGGGACCATGGGTGAGTGTACATGTGTTACTGGGACCATGGGTGAGTGTACATGTGCTACTGGGGCCATGGGTGAGTGTACATGTGTTACTGGGGACCATGGGTGAGTGTACATGTGTTACTGGGACCATGGGTGAGTGTACATGTGCTACTGGGACCATGGGTGAGTGTACATGTGCTACTGGGGCCATGGGTGAGTGTACATGTGCTACTGGGGCCATGGGTGAGTGTACATGTGCTTCTGGGGACCATGGGTGAGTGTACAGCACATGTACTTTTAGGCCCTTTAGTGAGTACAAGTGCTACTAGGGGCCCCTGGGAGAGTGTGCATGTACTCCTCTCTATAGAACACTCTAGGCTATGTATTCATTTGTTATTGTACTCATCGCTTTAGGCGGCTATTGTGTGTTTATTCAAAAACATTAGTAGAAAGTACTTATTCTTTGTAGGCTTTTCATGTGTGTTTAAGCACTTCGCAGATGTTAGTGAGGAAATATGGACTTTTGTGTTGTGTTGCTCTAAAGTAGCGTTCATAATACAGTTAGTTTTACATGTTTGACGTAATTGCTAAGGTGAAACCTCTACTGGAACTCTGTTGTAATTTGTCATTCCACAAGAATGTCAATCAGTGTGGGACTCGACCCCCTGGTGTTCCTGGGGGCGTGATAGTGACGATGTACTAACTAGAATACCTGCCGTGTCGCCCTCCAGAGTACTCGACCTTCCTGCTGGAGGATGGGACGCCGGCGCTCACATTGAGGACCATCGGAGGCATCATCGACCTGCACATGTTCCTGGGCCCCCTGCCGGAGGACTTGATATGGCAGTATACCTCCGTCAGTATCACCACTATCCACCATTCTTTCCTTCACAAACAATGCTTACCAAGCATTATAAACCCAAGAGACACATTTTGCCTTACCGGGAATCTAGAACTATGATGGTAGAACCTCACTAAAAATAATAAGGTCAGAGTATCACATATAAAACACATCAATTACTTCTCTGTTCTAATGAAAAAGTGGAATGATAATTTCATAACAGCCCTTAATCTACGTGTTTCCAGATGATTGGCACCACGGCCATGCCCCCATACTGGTACCTCGGGTTCCAACTCTCCCGCTGGGGATACAACTCTACCGACTATGTCCGCGCCGTCAGGGAGAGGATGAAGGCCATGGGCATCCCCCAGGTAGGTCATAGGCATACCACCCCATGGGAGGTATGTGCATTTCCTAGGTGCGTCATGAAAAGGCATAAGCCATACACATCTCCCAGCTGATTCAAACACATGCGTATTCATTCCTAAGTGAATTCACAGTGTGAACAGCTAATGTGATTCAGGGAACTATGGCGATACAATACATGCAGGTAGTCTAGCTATTTCGATGTAATAACTATTAAACAGCACCACTTGACATTCATTTTGGCAAGAGGCTTCGTGGAAGAGGGAGCACGCGTGTAGCCTTCAGCAATTCTTGCCCACGAAGGGACCCAGCAAACCCAGTAGGTACAGTATTCAAGAGCAACGTTAATTTAACGTCGAATTAACGTTGATTCGACGTGGAACCCGCCACGCCTCTCTTGGATATTGACGTACTGCCTAACATGACCACAATGTTGATTGTGTAATAGTGAAAGAAGTCTTGGGGTTATCCTACATGTTGCTGGATTAGCACCATGTGATCTTGACCCACATGATCTGCGGACTCACATAGACGTCATTGTGGTTGTTATGGCTTTGGTTATACTAGAATTGTCTAAAACAAGCTTGATACATATAATAATTATACGGTATCAATATTGATATTATATAACAAGGTGGTCCAAATATTTTCAAACATAGGGGAAAATAAACACCTTTTGTGAATGCATAACTTTATTCACAAAATAAGCTGTACATATGTGTCATTACTTTTAAAACATATTGATGCCACTCTCTCACTCATGGGACACTTAAAAGCTATAGTCGAAAGGTTCGACACATAAATCAAATAAACACATTTGAAATGTAGTTTTATGCGTACCATTAACACGTGATGAAAAATGTGCCAGTGTCAGACCACGGAAGAAGAATTGAAACAGGAATTTCCTTAAATACTTTCGTATTTAATAATACGTCTTCAGAAGGAATAATTTACAAGTCAGTAAGTTTGGACATATAAAGGCAGGAGAGAGAGGTGAAGTGAAGTGAGGTACAATGACAAATATATGAATAGTAGGTGGATATAAATAAGGGGTGCATCATATGGGCCAATAGGCCCATACGTGGATAATAATAGCATAACATAGTGGATATTAACAATGAATTAGTGAGACATATGTGTACCAATGATCCTACTCAAATCTCCCTTTAACTGATCAATCAAGAATGGATCTAAATTATATAAACCATTGCTAACGTTCAAATTACATTATTTTGTAATCTGTATTAAAGCAGATTCAATTATGTTCCTATTGAAATTGCTTTTACAATTCGTTACTGAAGAAGCCATTTCCCAGTCAATTATGTTTTCCCAGTACTCCTATTATGTTTTCCCAGTACTCCTATTATGTTTTCCCAGTACTCCTATTATGTTTTCCCAGTACTCCTATTATGTTTTCCCAGTACTCCTATTATGTTTTCCCAGTACTCCTATTATGTTTTCCCAGTACTCCTATTATGTTTTCCCAGTACGCCTATTATGTTTTCCCAGTACTCCTATTATGTTTTCCCAGTACTCCTATTATGTTTTCCCAGTACTCCTATTATGTTTTCCCAGTACTCCTATTATGTTTTCCCAGTACTCCTATTATGTTTTCAAACATTTGTCAGTTTACTTGTAAATTAAGATTCTGACGATTTTACCCATGTCTGCTGGCTAATAGAAAGTTTCTCATTGTATCGTATTATTTTAAGAAGACATGTACGAGGCTTAGACAAAATTATGACTAACATAAAATTTGTCTTGGATCAGGATATACAGACGTTCGACATCGACTACACGGATCAGAAGAGGGACTTCACATTGGACCCGGTCCACTGGAGCGATTTCCCCGAACTCATCCAAGAGCTGCACAACGATGGCCTTAAAGTCACGCTCCTTGTGGTATGTACTGATGCCATGATGTAAGCAGGCCTTACTCTCAGTCTTTTACTCACTCTCCGTTCCCTTTCTGGGATTTCCTCCGGTGCTCGAGAAAAGTATGGAGAAAGTTTCTTCGTGACCTTAATAACCTCCATGCAACGCTAGGCCATACGCTCAGTACAAATGAGACAATCCACTGTACCAACTTATCAATAGATTAGCCCTCTTTCCCGCCCCCCCTCCTCCCGAATAATAAGGATTTAGACCTCCCCAACATTACGGGCTTAATTTAGTCCTCCACAATACTGACGGGTCAGACCTCCACAACACAGAGGGTTGTGGAGGTCTGAACTTCACGGAGCCTCCCCAAGACTCATAGTTTCTTCTGAGTCCTGAATACCAGTTTGGGTTGCTTCCTGCAGGACCCGGCGTTGGTGATCGACTTCGACAACTACCCGCCGGCGGCCAGAGGGAAGGAGTCGGACGTGTTCATCAAGTGGTCTGACCCCAGCCTGGTGCCGGACGACCAGGAGCCCGGCACTGACGATTACATGGTCGGCTACGTCTGGCCCGCGAACAAGACAGTCTTTCCCGACTTCCTAAAGCCAGAGACGCAAGCCTGGTGGATCAACGAACTGAAGATCTTCCACGAGGTTATTAAGGGCTTGTGAAACGGCTTATGAAATATGTTTAGCTAAGTTACAATGTTAGAACATACATTCTCTTGTCCTGAAAGCTATTATTGTTTTAAGTTTTACAAATATAGCACAGTATTTATCCTCCTCAAGTGCTAAAAACAGCTGAATTAATAGATCTAAAATGTCGAACATTTTATTCTACTTCATAAATGCTCTATACCCACCCCCGTCGCAGTTACTCGACTTCGACACCCTCTGGATCGACATGAACGAGCCGGCCAACTTCGGCACCAACCTGGACAAGCCCTGGAACTGGCCACCTGACCAGCCGGACTGGAGCCTCAAGTGTCCGGACAACAAGTGGGACTCTCCACCCTACCCCACCGTGACGACCCGCGTAGGTGACAATGAGAGCAAGAAACTCAGGTGAGGAACTGTAACAGTTGATCGAGGGACCATTGATGGAAAAATGTTTTTTTGGGTGAATAGCTGGCAACCTAGAGGTCCGTGAATATACACACGTACCTGTAGGCCATAAAACTGTAGATAATACCAAAATGGAACAAGGTACTTGCAAATGGCCAGGAGTCACTAACCGACCTTTTAACTAGTTGGGGATTAGGAACAGGTGATCAATTATAGCGAAAAAGGTGAAGTACCTGTTGGAGATCATTAATGGGCTTAAATAACCAGCTGATCATCAATGCCTTAGATCATCACCTATTAATCATCAGTAAGGAGACAGGGATTTGCAAGTAAGCAGTTAATCATTCACACAACGTGTTTTGATGTTATTACGTTGTTCGTTGTTGCAATGTTGCAAGGAAGTAGCAATAATAAACATCAACTTGGGGTTCAAATCTGTGTGTGCTTGGTATCGACCAGGGCCCCGCAGGCGACCACAGAGAGATTGAACTCAGCAGGTGACCTGTGGGTTTAAAACTTAATATTTTTGCCTCCTAAATCTACGCGTTCTGGAATTAATAATAATATCGTGTCATCTTTCATGCTGAAATGTAAATGTCACTACATGTATATTTAAACTGGACCCAAGACGGAAAGTTTTTTATAATACCTTGCTCCTCTAAATGTGTTATTAGGTGTATTTATGAATGATCTGTGAGCCAAGGCAGGGTTGCCAATATCCGTTTTGCTGAAAGTAGCGTGCTTCACGACTAAAAGTCGCGAATTTAGAATAAAACTTGCCAAATATTTTTTTGTGCCGATTGATATGCTTTTCAGAGTACATACCCTAGCTTATTTTAAAAGTAGCCCAAAAAATTGCAAAGAACGACAAACGGATTTTTTATTAGTCTATAAGGAGCCCAATTGGGCTACGTGTAGCTCAATCTCGCAGACTTGAGCCAGGCTGTCTGTTAGTGTGTAGGTCTGGGAGCTGGTTGGTCTGTGAGCCAAAGTGTATGTGAGTGTCTAGGTCTGGGAGCTGGTTGGTCTGTGACCCAAGGTGTCTGTTAATGTCTAGGTCTAGGAGTTGGTTGGTCTGTGAGCCAAGGTGTCTGTTAATATCTAGGTCTGGGAGTTGGTTGGTCTGTAAGCCAAGGTGTATGTGAGTGTCTAGGTCTGGGAGCTGGTTGGTCTGTGAGCCAAGGTATATGTGAGTGTCTAGGTCCGGGAGTTGGTTGGTCTGTAAGTCCTGGAGCCTGTGAGTCAAGGAGTCCGTTAATCTAAAAATATGTTTGTCCATGAGTCTGTTTATAGCTTTAGTACCTGAATGGTTTTGCAGATTTTCTGAAACAACTATTGTTCAACCTTAACATTTAAAGGTGCCAATTAGATTTCCCATGGGCATTGACAAATAGAAAGGATAATTAAAACACGTTAAAAATACATTTTACTGTTTCAAAACAGTGGTTCCCAACCTTTTCACCTTAAATTAATTCATCCACGGGATCCTGGTTTTTTAAAAGTCTCAGGAAGCCGATTTTATTATTTAGCAAACGCATTTTCCCAGTTTAATCTCTCATTTGAAGGATATATATGTAACTTGAGTATGTTGCTAAATAAATGACGGTATGAATGGTATAAATAATGGTATACGGTATGACGGTATAAATAAATGAAACTTACTTTGTTGGCACTCTGTTCCGGACTTCAGGTTCAGTGCCTGACAGTTTTAAGCAGAGATCAGGCTTCATATTCATCCTGTTTCTGTATTTTGATTTAATATAAAGCATCTGGGAGAGCCTGTTCTCATAAACATGTAGCGGGGAATGACATTAATATCTCAGTGCTTTGGATACCAGTTCTGGGTACTTCACTTTTTTCACGCGCAACCAAACCTTTGATAAGTTTGTTCAGAATGACACTTGACCTTAGTGAGGTGTCACAGGAAAGTTCTACGAGACTTTTCTTCATTTATTTTTAAATATTTGCACTTTTTCAACATATACATAAAATAGGTCCTTAATTCACTTGTAATTGGCATCAGGAAGAGGAAAATAATCCTTAGAACTGTTCTTTAAACCTTGCAAGTGCGGAATGAAAAGGTTTCTTCGTTCATTCTTTAGAGATATCACCGTCGGACACTACAAGAAAGGCGTAGTGTGGGAAAGGATTCAAACACACGGCTTTGCAGTGCGGACCCCAAGTCTAATTTCATGACCACGGCTTCCGTTTTATCTTCAACTTTAAAAAAGTCTACAGCTCTACCTTGTTGGTTCTAATTTAGGCCATTTAAATATGTAAATATGTCAGAGGTATATGCCACTACAAGAAGTTATTGAGCCCATGGAATGTTTTATCATGAATAAATCATTGAATATCATCACGCAACTCACATGTACAGATAAGTATTTTATCGCGAGACAAGAAACGCACTTGAGAATGCAAGAGCAGTTCTTCCACCCCAGTACTATACCTCCGAGCACCCCAGTGTTATCTTTGTGGGCCTTGGGTTGGGACCCATTGATTGATTGTTGCCGCCGAAGGCGGCTAGTTTATTGTGCACCCCATACTCATCCTGTGAGCGGTAGCGCAAAAGCATTACAGAGGGCACAAAAGGTCTTTATCAGACCTCATCTTAGATTATTACATAAACAATTTCATCTATCCCATTGCTTTACAACCTTCCTGTATTGCGAACAAACTTTGGCTGCTCGGAAGGCCAGTTTGGAGCATAAATAGAGCATTCTCAACCTTTCAAAAATGTAGTGATCAAATGCGTAGGAACTGAGTAATTCACTGTGACAGTCAGACAACAATGATAACATTATTCTAAATCCAATTTGTTATTTCCATATATTTTGACATTGTGCTGTGTAATGTATTCTAGTTCAAGAAAGTTTATTGGTAATAAAATACATCCCAAAAGGATAGCGTAGCTTAGGCTATTTCTACCTTCCAGATGTAATGTATTTAATGTTCTGGCTTTCTTTGTAAGACATGTTGTGTTATCTAATATTTAATGCCTTATGTTTTGACAGCGAACACAGTCTGTGCATGTCCGGCCAACAGACAGACGGCAATACCACCTACATGCACTATGACGTTCATTCCCTATATGGTTGGTCAGAGACAGTCGCCACCTACAGGTAAGACACTCAGTTTAAACATCTGTTTAGCTTGTTTCTTGGGAACAGGGAAAGTTGGGAAGTTCCTGGGCCTATACATTGACAAAGAGATTGAACTTTAGCACCCACATACAACACATAACCGAAAAAAGTCTCAAAAACGGTTGGTATACTTTCTAAAATCAGATATTATGTTCTCCACTACGTTTTCGTCTCATTATACCATGTGCTAATCTATCCCTATCTTACATATACTTACATATATTCCTATCTTACATATACTATCCCTATCTTACATACGGTATCTGTGTATGGTACCACTGCAAATGGTATATATTCCTCTTATACCAAATGGTATATATTCCTAATATATTCCTATCTGACATATACTATCCCTATCTTACATACGGTATCTATGTATGGTACCACTGCAAATTACCTCAAGCCATCATCACTCAGCATAAATCTGTTATCAGAACTATAACAAACTCTTGTCTTCAGACAACACACAGCCCCTCTGTTTTAATGTTTTAAGTCCCTTAACATGCTAAACATACACTCAATCTACACATTCTTATGTGCTATTTATATGTACAAAACCTTGTTCCTAAATGCTAATCTTGATCTGAAACTCTTCCTTGATAGGTGTAATAGAACCCATGAGCACCACACCAGAAATAAAAAGCTCTAATTTCATCCTCATAAGTTTCCTACGTTGTTCTTCAAACTCACAATGTATCTTGTACTACCTTCTTCCTCAATATTAATACTTAAGACATGTATCTTCACCAGTGTAATCTCCTATGTCAATTTATAATAGTTATACGTTTATATAAAACTTTGCCACAGTGTAACTTTTCATCTTATATGGGGTAAGATGAAATTACAACCCAGGGATATAGTTTGATTATTTATTAACAAGTGATAAAACTGTATTATTATTTACTCACAATAGCCTGGCTGGTTTCACAGGTTAGGCAACATGGAACTAAGCCAAAACTAACAATAATTATAATTAATGTCTAAAATTAAGTTGTAATATGGTTCCAGCACCATATTGCAACTTTGCCATAATAGTTAAAAATTTTACTTATTTTCATATTTGTCTATATTTATTTTAATTAAGTTACTTATCACGCTAATGTTCTTCAGACAGAGCTAACACACACACACACACACACACATACCTCTATGTATCTGGGAAATGTAACAAAGTTACCTGAATGTGAGAGAGAATGTTACACATTATTCCCATCAATCATCATTTAACCCCAAGGTGTCGGACACCACCTCCTCCTTTACAGAGGCCTGGAGGAAGTGTTCCCGGACAGGCGCCCAGTTATACTCTCTCGCTCCACCTTCCCGGGCTCCGGCCAGTACGCCTTCCACTGGCTCGGGGACAACTCCGCTGAATGGGTCCATTTGCACATGTCCATTATAGGTTAGTAGAGGGCCATTGAGGCCTGAGTCTTTGGTTAGTAGAGGCCTATTGAGGCCTGAGTCTTTGGTTAGTAGAGGCCTATTGAGGCCTGAGTCTTTGGTTAGTAGAGGCCTATTGAGGCCTGAGTCTTTGGTTAGTAGAGGCCTATTGAGGCCTGAGTCTTTGGTTAGTAGAGGGCCATTGAGGCCTGAGTCTTTGGTTAGTAGAGGCCTATTGAGGCCTGAGTCTTTGGTTAGTAGAGGCCTATTGAGGCCTGAGTCTTTGGTTAGTAGAGGCCTATTGAGGCCTGAGTCTTTGGTTAGTAGAGGCCTATTGAGGCCTGAGTCTTTGGTTAGTAGAGGGCCATTGAGGCCTGAGTCTTTGGTTAGTAGAGGCCTATTGAGGCCTGAGTCTTTGGTTAGTAGAGGCCTATTGAGGCCTGAGTCTTTGGTTAGTAGAGGGCTATTGAGGCCTGAGTCTTTGGTTAGTAGAGGGCTATTGAGGCCTGAGTCTTTGGTTAGTAGAGGCCTATTGAGGCCTGAGTCTTTGGTTAGTAGAGGCCTATTGAGGCCTGAGTCTTTGGTTACTAGAGGGCTATTGAGGCCTGAGTCTTTGGTTAGTAGAGGGCTATTGAGGCCAGAGTGTTTGGTTAGCAGAGGCCTATTGAGGCCTGAGTCTTTGGTTAGTAGAGGCCTATTGAGGCCTGAGTCTTTGGTTAGTAGAGGGCTATTGAGGCCAGAGTGTTTGGTTAGTAGAGAGCTATTGAGGCCTGAGTCTTTGGTTAGTAGAGGCCTATTGAGGCCTGAGTCTTTGGTTAGTAGAGGGCTATTGAAGCCTGAGTCTTTGGTTAGTAGAGGGCTATTGAAGCCTGAGTCTTTGGTTAGTAGAGGGCTATTGAGGCCTGAGTCTTTGGTTAGTAGAGGGCTATTGAGGCCTGAGTCTTTGGTTAGTAGAGGCCTATTGAGGCCTGAGTCTTTGGTTAGTAGAGGGCTATTGAGGCCTGAGTCTTTGGTTAGTAGAGGGCTATTGAGGCCTGAGTCTTTGGTTAGTAGAGGCCTATTGAGGCCTGAGTCTTTGGTTAGTAGAGGCCTATTGAGGCCTGAGTTTGGTTAGTAGAGGCCTGATTGAGGCCTTTGGTTAGTAGAGTGAGGCCTGAGTCTGGTTAGTAGAGGGCTATTGAGGCCTGAGTAGAGGGCTATTGAGCCTGAGTCTTTGGTTAGTAGAGGGCTATTGAAGCCTGAGTCTTTGGTTAGTAGAGGGCTATTGAAGCCTGAGTCTTTGGTTAGTAGAGGGCTATTGAAGCCTGAGTCTTTGGTTAGTAGAGGGCTATTGAAGCCTGAGTCTTTGGTTAGTAGAGGGCTATTGAGGCCTGAGTCTTTGGTTAGTAGAGGCCTATTGAGGCCTGAGTCTTTGGTTAGTAGAGGGCTATTGAGGCCTGAGTCTTTGGTTAGTAGAGGCCTATAGTAGAGGGCTATTGGCCTGAGTCTTTGGTTAGTAGAGGGCTATTGAGGCCTGAGTCTTTGGTTAGTAGAGGGCTATTGAAGCCTGAGTCTTGGGTTAGTAGAGGGCTATTGAAGCCTGAGTCTTTGGTTAATAGAGGCCTATTGAGGCCTGAGTCTTATTAGTTATGACAATGGCCTGCATCTGAAGTGTTGTCAATCCCCACCTTCATTTGGTAATGTACAAGAGTTAAGGGTAAAGTTGTCAAGTCAGTTAACAAGTTGGATCCACCAACAAATTAGATTCACCGTTGCTTTGTAAAGTTTTTCCAGTAGTATACAAATAACGAAAGAGATATAACATTGCCTGGAATAGGTTTGCTTTATCATAGTTCTGCCATTTTGCTGGCTTGTTTAAATTCAACATAATCAGTTTGTTCGCATTTAAGCTTGTTTGAAATCATTATTTGTGGTTTGTTACCCTACAGGCTTGTTTGAATTCAACTTGTATGGTTTATTTACTTCCAGGTCTGTTTGAATTCAACATGTTTGGTATCCCTATGGTGGGAGCTGATATTTGTGGCTTCTACAACGAGCCTGACATGGAATTGTGTGCCAGGTGGATGGAACTGGGAGCCTTCTATCCCTTCAGGTGAGTGCCAGGGGGGATAAATATACATATTTCTAAGAACTGCATGTTTATACATGTACATTTATACATATTTATATTTAAAGCATGATTAAATTATTTGCTCAATATGCAATATCCGGTAAAAAAGAAACGATATTCATCTTAAATATTGGATATATTCTGGTGACAGTCAGTCTGGTGGGAATATTCGCCGGAGTAGGGGGTGAGGCGTCGCTAATATATATATATACACATAGCTTGTACAGAACGTGACCATCTGGTCACCATTTGGTCCGGGAGACATCTCCCGTCACGCAGGGTGCATTTGCACCTCCACAGATCTCCTGTATCAGCTCTTGATACTGGTAATGGCTAAAAAGCGCCACCACTTACGGGCTATTCATGCCCGTGCCACCTTTTGGGTGGCTTAATCTTTATCAATCAATCAATCTTGTACAGAAGAAACTGCTGATATGATTGTGTGGTTCATGTAATATAACATTTGGAAAACAGGTGTTATTTCGTGATATAAATGTAGTCCCTTAAGTGGCAGAGTGAAGCCTATTTTTGGTCCATTAACCTTGTAGCTTATTCTGCCTCGCCAACCTGCATCTTATTCTGCCCTGTCAACCTGTAGCCTATTCTGCCCCGTCAACTTGCAGCCTATTCTCCCCTACCAGCCTATACTTCCAACCCGTCCTCTGAAAAATAACGTCACTTTTGGCTCGTATGCGCACTATGGCCAAATTTGGACGTAATTTGAAATGAAATCGACTCACAAAAGTGACGGACTGTTCCATTTTCTGTTTAAGTCGTCCGGCCCTCCTCGGACAGGTTAGGAGAGGAAACTTTCAATTCATGTTTTTCATAACGTTTTGAAACTTTATGAGAATCGAGACAGATGTTGTCTGGTTTCTCTGTGCTCCGCCTCGGTTAGGGCAGTGTAGATTCGGGACTTTCTAGTGCAGAATAAACACGTGTCAGGTACAAATTAAACACGTGTCAGGTACAAATTAAACACGTGTCAGGTGTTCAGATTCCTTTGCCAGTCAGCACAAATACTACCTGTGGCGTGTGACGACCGTGACACCCACACATGTGATAGTTGGCACATAAACTTAAGATTACAGATGCAGAGGACTAAGTAGGAGGTCTTTTGGCCCATGCGATACCCATACTTTAAATATTTACACCCAAGCAAACTCACATATGTGTCGTGTTTACCCTTGTAATATCCTTTAATTCAGTTGTATACTTCAGTCATTCACAAAACACAAAATGACCAACTTGGCCTTCCAGGTCGGCTAAAATCACACATGCAGCTGAAATATATGCCCATGATAATGACATTTATTGATCAAATTGATGGTGAGACGAGAATATAATGAACGACACTTTTCCAGTCTTTTGGACGAAGTTTTTGTTTATGTTATTTTGTTTACCAGCCGGAACCACAATCAGGAAGGGACGGCGGACCAGGACCCAGCAATGTGGCCGGAGGTCGGGGAGATCTCTCGCTACACACTCAACATCCGCTACCAGTACCTGCCCTACCTCTACTCCCTCTTCCACAGGGTCAGTTGTGGTAGATCTACTATGGACATAGACATATATATATATATATATATATATATATATATATATATATATATATATATAGTTTTCATTGTCTTGTAACGTTATTCTGTTAACTTTATGGCTAAGAGTCATTCTTCCAAAGATTCAGTCAAAGTAGACGATAGGTTACATGCAACCTATCGTCTGTAACCTTGTTCGTTTTCCCATTCTACTTTCAGTTTCACTAAGCATTTGTTACACTGTACTTCTCTCCTACACTACTGTTACCCGCACCTGTTACTTCCTCTGTTCTCTGTTTTACCAACCTAGGGGCACCTGAGGACTCGTCTAACTATACCTAATCATAACTCTATACATCATTTGTATTGTATAATGCCATTTCACTATGCTATGTTTTGTTTTTACATTGTTATGCAGCCATACTCTATAATGCTACTGCATTGAATTCTGTTAAATTGTTGTGTTCCCTCAGGCACATATGCACGGCTCCTCCGTCGTCCGGCCGCTGTTGAACGTCTTCCCCCGGGACTTAAAGGCTCGAGACGTCGACAACCAGTTTATGTGGGGCGACGGTCTGATGATTGCCCCCGTCCTTACCCAGGGCGCCACCTCCAGGGACGTCTACTTCCCTAAGGTAAGGTCCTTACCCAGGGCGCCACCTCCAGGGACGTCTACTTCCCCGAGGTAAGGTCCTTACCCAGGGCGCCACCTCCAGGGACTTGTGGATTATTTGTTATACATTAGATATGACAAGCATTTTGTCACATCCAATGATTCTTTTTAGTAGCAATTCTGTCAACTATACTCTCTTCATACTCTTTACTTCGCGAGTTCCAGTCTGGTATTGCCCCCCCCCCTGTCATCCTGAGTGACCAGAGTGTAACAGTGACCACCTGTCATCCTGAGTGCCCAGAGTGTTAACAGTGACCACCTTGACAGGGGATCTGGTACGACCTGGTGACTGGTGTGGCGACGGCCACGGGACCCACGACGCTCACAGTTGATGCTCCTCTCGAGGTGATCCCTCTCTATATTCCCGGAGGCACCGTCCTCCCCTACCAGGTGCCTGGCCTCAACACCGTAGAGAGGTAAGTCCCCGCCAGGAGGCACCGTCCTCCCCTGTCAGGTGCCCGCCCTCAACACCGTTGAGAGGTGAGGCACCATCCTTCCCTACCAGGTGACATCTCTCACTACCAATGAAAGGTAAATTTACCGCCTACTTCTTGTGGTCATGACTCCAACCGACATTGTGTGATTTGCCTCTAGAACCAGTCGCATCACCTAGCTAAGCTGGAGGATATACTACCTAATTTGTACGGTACAATACTTAAAGTCAACATATAGGCATTTTAAATTATTCTATACATTTCTACAGTTTGATTTGACTAATGCGGATTTTCCATTATTTCCCTCCACCTACGCACAAATACACAACATGATCAGCGTTGATCTCGTTGAGCTCGTTGATCACGTTCAATTAGCGGGTTTCAATCGAACATTATTTTGTAGTCGGCAGAACCCGTTGGGCCTGACGGTGGCAGTGAACGAGAACCAGACGTCCTCTGGCGAGATCTTCTGGGATGCTGGTGACGGATCATTCAGCATGATGAATGCTTACATGTCCTTCGTGGACTATAGTCAGGTAAGAGTCTTATTCAGGCTGATGAGTTAAAAATATGGAGGAATTTTTTTTAAGCAAAATCATACTTATTTCCTTAGAGAGAAGACATATTAAATTCTAATTTTTTTATCGTAACAAAAATTTCATAGTAGAGTTTTTTTTAGATTTTGTTAATAAAATTGCATTTATTTTCTTTCATATAGAGAATGTTTACATTAATTAAATTTGAATTTTGTTAATGAAAGTTTGATAGAAGAATTTTACCCCTCATTCTGCAAAATTCTACTTTTTTGATGACTTATGTATAATAAATTTTACCTTTTATTTGATAATAATAGTTGGAGCAATGTTAAAACTTTGTAGTTATAGAGATTTATAGGCAGAACCCAATTCTCATAAATTTATATATATTGAAAAATGTAAATTGACATAAGCTGCATCGACCTCAGCTGAACTATTATGCATCAACTGACGATGATCGCACTCTAAGGGTTTAACATCAGCTGACCTAGGTCGCACTCTAAGGATTTAACATCAATTGACCTAGGTCGCACTCTAAAGTATTGGCTCTGGTTTTGGTTGTAGGGTGTAACTTGCTTGGGGACTGGAGAGAGTACACACTGTCTTAGCTTCAAGGGCTTTATTGTGGAAGATAATAATATAAGGTCCAGCACAACCGAGGTCCACCCTGCCCTAGGTCCATGAGATTACTGAGGCCTACTTGAGAGAACGGATACTGCCACTCTGTGGGCCAACCGTTATATAATTTGAGGGCTAACATAGCTCGGACATGCTAAGTCGCCGTCCCTTGTCGACAAACTCTGGCTAGCTAGATAGTTACAATGATACTGAAAGGACCTCGGTGGCATACAATAATGGCTTACAAGTATTACAATAATGGCTTACAAGTATTACAGTAATGGCTTACAAGTATTACAATAATGGCTTACAAGTATTACAGTAATGGCTTACAAATATTACAATAATGGCTTACAAGTATTACAATAATGGCTTACAAATATTACAATAATGGCTTATCAGAATAAACATTAAAAGATAGATCAGGTGTGCGCAATACTAACACTGCTCGACATGTGCATACAAATTAGAACATAACCGATGAAAAATCATGGTAACAATGCCTTAATTGGAACAATAGCATTAAGAACATAATCACGTCTAAGTATCAGATATGAACAGTATAACTCAAAGTATTCCCTATAACAAAATTATTAACATCATGTGTTAATGGCATGTGCTTGGAAAAATAATAAAAGACAATTATCTGCTTTAATGGAACAAGAGTTATGACCTAACAATCACAATGAAATTTTATGATTAGATAACAAGAAAAAAAATTATTGTACAATATTTACAGATATTTACAAGGACTGGACCGAGGAGACTAACATCTTAGTGATAGCAGTCAGGAATCACCGGCCTCAGTGTGATTTCTAGAAACTGAGCAACCTTGATAACAATGGAACTCTTGATAACATGTGCAGTAAAAATACAAATGGCACAGTAAACTTCGCAATGGCATCTGATTTATGACACAAAATAAGGTTGAAGGAAGTATATACATTACATTATACAGTAATAGTAGGACATATGGGGTAGAAGTATTAGGAAGTATGGCAACAAACCAGAGAACCCATTTGTTCAGGAGACTATAATTCTCTGGTTTGGCCAAACAAAAACAGAATGACTGCAGAAATTTTGCGAATGTCAACACCTAGTTCAAGTGGTTTGTCAACCACTGTAGGTGGTGTCCCAATAAAATAATCTCTGGGTAGGGTCATTGTCATCTTCCGCACCAGTCTTTTCAAAGGCATGGGTTCGTATCCCACCGCTGCCACCAGTATTGGCTCTGGTTTTGGTTGTAGGTTGTAACTTGCTTTGGGACTGGAGAGAGTACACACTGTCGTAGCTTCAAGGGCTTTACTGTGGAAAGTAATAATATAAGGTCCAGCACAACCGAGGTCCACCCTGCCCTAGGTCCATGAGATTACTGAGCCCTACTTGAGAGAATGGGCACTGCCGTTCTGTGGGATGACGTTATGGGCCTACTCGCCTCTGTGATTGGCTGTACACCAACCGTCATATAATTGGAGGGCTAACATAAGGGTTTAACATCAATTAACCTAGGTCGCACTCGAAGGGTTTAACATCAATTAACCTAGGTCGCACTCGAAGGGTTTAACATCAATTAACCTAGGTCGCACTCGAAGGGTTTAACATCAATTAACCTAGGTCGCACTCGAAGGGTTTAACATCAATTAACCTAGGTCGCACTCGAAGGGTTTAACATCAGTTAACCTAGGTCGCACTCGAAGGGTTTAACATCAATTAACCTAAGTTGCACTCTAAGAGTTTATACTGGAAGTGGCTTAACAAGAGAAAAACACTGGGATAGTTATCTTTAGGAAGGTGCTATTGTTTGGCTTGGGATAAATAATAACATTAGGGTCAGTTAGGTGCTATCGATAAACTTATATATGTTTCCACTGTTAAGCCAAGGTTAGGTATTATTGTTAGGCCTAGTAACATATTCTTGAGCTTAGTTAGGTGGTATAGATAAGCCTAGATATGGTTCTACTGATAGGCGAAGGTTAGGTACTTTTGTTAAGCTTATTTACATAATATTGTTAAGCCTAGTTAGGTGTTGTTATTAAGCCTAGTTAAGTGCTGTTGTTAGGCATAGCTAATTTTAATTGCATTTAATATTTTGACGATGGTGACAAGGACGTTATGAATTTATTTAGAAAATATAGGGGTCGTACAATGGGATTGAACCCGCGTCCTTGGGCTCCCAAAGCGCTCATACTACCGACTGGACCATGATGAAAAGCTGCACGATGGAATCGAACCTGCATCCTTGGAACTCTTAAGGCACAAGCACGGCCAACTGGACTGATGAAAGGCTATACGATGGGATCGAACCCACGTCCTTAGACACCCCATGCACATACATTGCCGACTGGACCATAATGAGTCGGTAGTGCATTTACCTGGGAAGGCCAGGGATGGAAGTTCGAACCCATTGTATGGCTTCAGTATTGTCTTATAGAATTACACGGTAGACATACTTACCAAATTAATAGATCATAGAAGATTTCTTCTATACGGAAAACAGCATGAAAATGGGTGAATGAGGTATACATGGCATATTTTCAGGGCGAATTGACTATGAGTGTTATGCATGGAGAGGACATCGTTGCTGAGCTGTTCCTCGACACCATCAACATCTACGGCTTCCCTAGTAACCCGCAGGACGTCACTGTCAATGACGTAGCTCTTCCTGCCGAGGACTGGGAGTACGACGCCCCCAGCAGCGTCCTCACCATCACCATCCACGTCCCTCTCGCAGACCCCCTCAGTGTGACGATCCTCTAGGACGTCCCCAGCAGCGTCCTCACCATCACACCCACGCCCCCAGCAGCGTCCTCACCATCACGCCCCCAGCAGTATCCTCACTATCACCACCCTCAAGCAGACCCCCTTCAGTGGGTTGATCTTCTGAACGTTCCACGCAGTCAGTAACGTATTCGCTCAACACCATCAGCGCCTATTAATGCAACATTACCTCACGTTAATAAACGACATAACTGCCTCTTCGATCACCACAAATACGACGCACCAGAAGTCCCGTGGCGTTAATCGCTGAATATGCATTAAACGCCGTTTGCTTCTGGCTACCAACTGCTTGGGGAGCAACACGAAGAGCCTCGCCATCAGCCTAGGAGGGACGTTAATAAGCCAAGGATCGTCTTGTCCCCCCCCCCCCATCTATAGGAAACTTACTTACGTCACCATCAACTCAAACGTGTATCAGAGATACTTTTTTGTGTGTATGGTACACCTTTGTGGGTGTACCGCCAGCACTGTACCATATACACACTTTTGTCTGTTCTCCATGGACAGGGTTAGAGATCTGTTGGACTGCATACATCAGAGTTATTGAGCACTCACCTACAGGTATTTGAAGCGCTTTTACAATTGCAAATTACTGTGTAAGTGTCACCCTTCCAGTTACTGACTAAACACAGTGATGCTTAACTTGATAGATAAAACGAGCGATCTTCATATTTCACCGAAAACATTTACTACAGTCCTTTTGAATATCAAATGTTTTTCAAAAATGATGTCATATTACATATATATGTAACTATTTTATTTGGCAGTATTTCTATCTACTAAATTCTTAACACACTTATGCATGGAAACAAATTATATTTGTTTAAAAAGAAGCTTAAATAGTCTATTTATAACCTGTGTAAACTTTATAGGCATATTAACCGGTAATGAAAGCTGCCATCTCCTAGTTTTTTAATGACACAGCCTGTCCTCTCATACAAATTAAGATCCAAGCTCGTTAATCCAGCCGCCAAACCCCCTGTTTATGAATGAAAAGCGGTTTACACACGATTCACAATTGATGACGTTCGAACATTTCCGGAACAAGTGCTTCAGGGACGAATTTTGTTCGAACCACAACGCTGTAAATGCTTCACTCACGTACTACAAAAACAAATAATCGCCAACAGAATCCAAACACCTAACCTAACTTATGCCTATATATGCATAATACGCTAATATATTATAATATTAATTTATATTTGATAAAATTCCTGTTTTGAACAGCATGTAATAATTTATGAATGCATCTGTGGGGTCGACCGCTGGATGGAATGGACTTGAATTGAGGACAGGTTGCAATCTGTCCTCAGGCCAGGCTAGTTAGAGACACGGCCGGCCTTACACCCCCATCCCCCCCACACCCCATCCCCCCCACACCCCATCCCCCCCCACACCCCACCCCCCACCCCCACACCCCATCCCCCCACACCCACACCTATTCAGCAATTCTGACTGGGTCTGAGGGGAGAGCCAGATGTGTAAAATTATTTTAGAGCGTAGATAGTGTGGAGAACAGTAAACAATCTCGAAGGAACTGTGGTCATATGTTTAGGAATCTTAACACAAATAAATGGATATTAGAAAGCACTTTTTTAAGTGTCATGAGAGTGAGGATTAGCAGGAAGAAGTGCAACACGTCAAGAGTTGAATCTGATTATTATATATAATACATCTAAACATAGGGGGCCTCGTAGCCTGGTGGATAGCGCGCAGGACTCGTAATTCTGTGGCGCGGGTTCGATTCCCGCACGAGGCAGAAACAAATGGGCAAAGTTTCTTTCACCCTGAATGCCCCTGTTACCTAGCAGTAAAATAGGTACCTGGGAGTTAGTCAGCTGTCACGGGCTGCTTCCTGGAGGCCTGGTCGAGGACCGGGCCGCGGGGACACTTAAAAAAAACCCGAAATCATCTCAAGATAACCTCAAGATAGCCCTATTGGATACGTTCAAATTCAGGAAAGCCCTGGGTAAATACTGGTTTGAAAAGAGGGGTGTTGATTTGTGGAACAGATTACCGAGTAACATAACAGATGTAGGATCACTGAATTGTTTCAAGTGTAGGTTAGACATATATATATGAATGAGTTTGCGTAGATATAATTTTTTGGAGCTGCCTCGTGTGGGCCAATAGACTTTCTGTTGTTTCCTTAATTCTTATATTCTCCAAAAATTCTAGAACTTATAGTGACTGTATAATACATGCACTCTTGTATCCCAAAAATTTTCACTTTTTCTACTAAAAGCAGTGCAAAAAAAAACGCATCATAATAAATAGGCCTAATAGAGGCAGTCCAATTATTTAGAATAAACAACCCATATTTTATACATAAAATCATCACTCGCTGTATGTACTGTACTAATTTGTAGAGGATACATTACATTTCAACGTAAGAATGTTTAGGCAGGTTGATCAGAAGCGCTATAGAATAGCCCAGGAGCGAAAACCGTAACCTCATGATCACATTTAGGCAAGTACACATAGGTGAGCCCCCCCCCCCCCCACAGTTCACACCGACACAAGCGCATTATTGTAAAAATAATATATTGGGAACCTTAAGAATACACGAATTCACCTAAAAACGAAGACATGCACAGGTCAAATGTGACATATAAATTGCTAATGGAATTTTGCTATCATGAAGCAAGCTAACATTCTGCTGACATTAACATTTTACAAGACATTCTTTGTCGAGAATGTTGACTCGTCGTCAATCGCAGAGGAACGTGCAAAAAAAAAAATCGACAGTTGCCTTCTTAAATATTTAAATGTTGACCAGACCACACACTAGAAAATGAAAGGACGTCGACGTTTCGGTCCGTCCTGGACCATTCTCAAATCGACCATTCGCAATCAACTTGAGAATGGTCCAGGACGGACCGAAACGTCGTCGTCCCTTCACTTTCTAGTGCGTGGTCTGGTCAACATATTTCAGTCACGTTATTGTGACTCATCGTCTGCAATATTTAAATATTTTATCCCGCAATTGACTATATGAATGTTTTATTGGTATACACCTAAAATGACAGTACTTTTTGGCACTGTTTGGTGTAAAGTACTAATATGTAGTGACGGGCCTCGTGAAAGTGGACTTTTTGTATTACTGAATTTTGGACAAACTGGAAACTTTTTGTTTTCTAACGGGAACATAAATTCAAGACCTAACCTGGCGTATCCTAGCAGCCCTAGGCTTAAATTCACACCACCTTAGGCATAGTATAGTACATATGTATATTATGTACTATTCCTAGGAATATTTAAGTTTGTTTTTTAGCTTTATGTTTTCCGTACTCTATAAGTTAATAGTACAAAGAGTACCATCACTACAAATTGGTACTTTCGACCAGTTACTTTAAGTACCATCATTTCAGGTCGAGTTACTCATCCAGGTCTCAGAAACCGGATGAGTAACTTAAAGAAAAAATATCATATGTTGAGGTTTTGTTCATAGTTAACCCTAAGTTAGATTAGACGCTCTGGTTAGGTTGAATTAGCAGTCCGTCCTCCTAAGGTTCCCCAACGTCAAGAAAGAGTCGTACTAACGTGACCTTATCCTAACCTATACCAGAGGACCCAAAACAGAAAACGGGACAGTATGTCAATTTTGCGAGCCGTTCAAGATCAGAGGCCAGATGCTTGGGGCTGGCCTCACCCAACTTTGCACCCTGATTGCTATGAGGCACGTACATGACATGGTCGGGTCGGGGTTGGCACAAGTAAAAATGAGTACCACTTGACATGGTGTCAGTGGAAATTCTATGACGATTCCTAGGATGTCATATTAAGTGAATTTGGAACTATTTCCATTCAATACTTAAAGACAGACACGACAGGAATTGAACACTGAGAGATTTAAAATGCGCGCCGACCAAAAAACGATAAAATAAGGGGCATAAAATGTAACATTTGTGATAGGTAATCTCTGATTGGTCAAATCGCTGATAGCTGGTCACTGATTGGTCGACCTGTTCTCTCGCTTAATACACCTCACTTGAGGCACTATCAGCATCCACACTCGGATTGATTACTGGAATTAAAGCGAATCAGTCTGCATTCATTCCCGGACAAAGGAATATTGACCTCCACGGGTTTGCAGGGTTGGTCAACATTAGTCTACACTACAACATTAGTGTAGACTGACTAACCAGTAGTCAACACTAATGGTTAGACAACAGCACTTCAACTTTAAAGCTCCTTATATGGCGAGAACGCGCAGGATAGGACAAAATGCGCGCGCATGAGGCGACTTCTTCCGTCACTTGAATATATATATATATATATATATGAGGATCCCCTCGTCAGCCAGTCACCACCGCCCGCCGGTGAGAACCACAGCTTCAGTCACTCCACCACACACAACCCACACCTGGTTGATACCTGGTTACCTGGTTGATGGGGTTCTGGGAGTTGTTCTACTCCCCAAGCCCGGCCCGAAGCCAGGCTTAACTTGTGAGAGTTTGGTCCACCAGGCTGTTGCTTGGAGCGGCCCGCAGGCCCACATACCCACCACAGCCGTCCACAATCAGGTACTCACTCCCATACTACTTACGGATGAAGATGCTTGCCTAACAGCACTAACCCAGCAGTGGCTGCACGGAAGATGTCGCTCTAGACGCTACGCCATACATCAAGGTGTGAGTATGTGCTTAGGATGACACTTGCATCTTAACGACCAATAAGGTGTTGACCAATCCACACACTAGAAAATGAAGGGACGACGACGTTTCGGTCCGTCCTGGACCATTCTCAAGACCAATAAGGTGGTTACCCAGGATCCACTTATCTCACTCTTCGTGGCATGACAGCTGAGTGGACAGCGCTTCGGATTCGTAGTCCTGAGGTTCCGGGTTCGATCCCCGGTGGTGGCGGAAACCTTGGTGGCACGGAGTGTTGTTAATAAAGGGATTCGTCCGGATGCTGTCCCGCCAAACTCCCTCCATACAACAAGGAGAGCGGATGGTGAGACGTCTTAAGAGTCATCCATCTACTCAGGTCTAATTATAATTCACGCGGTCTCATGTTTCTTGTAAAGCTATGCTGGGAAATAAAGCTCTTATTAGCCAGCGAAAGTATTTAAAGTATTCATTAAAACCATTTCACTAGTGAATATAGGCAATCGCTGGTGAAGCGGTATTAGTACTGAGTGAGGCCTGGTGAAGCGGTATTACTACTGAGTGAGGCCTGATGAAGCGGTATTACTACTGAGTGAGGCCTGGTGAAGCGGTATTACTACTGAGTGAGGCCTGATGAAGCGGTATTACTACTGAGTGAGGCCTGGTGAAGCGGTATTACTACTGAGTGAGGCCTGATGAAGCGGTATTACTACTGAGTGAGGCCTGATGAAGCGGTATTACTACTGAGTGAGGCCTGGTGAAGCGGTATTACTACTGAGTGAGCCTGGTAGGTATTACCTGATGATGAGCGGTATTACTACTGAGTGAGGCCTGGTGAAGCGGTATTACTACTGAGTGAGGCCTGATGAAGCGGTATTACTACTGAGTGAGGCCTGGTGAAGCGGTATTACTACTGAGTGAGGCCTGGGTGAAGCGGTATTACTACTGAGTGAGGCCTGGGTGAAGCGGTATTAGTACTGAGTATGACCACGGAGTGAGGCCTGGTGAAGCGGAAATCTTAGTATTACATTCTTGGGGCAAAGTATCTGATCTTCCCAAGAATTCTCTCTAAGAATATAATAATAATTTTGTACATTCGCCTCTCCATTTTTCCAACCCATTAAAGTGGTGGGATTCGAACTGAGGCCGTGAACGAAGCACTGCTCGAGGAGACTATAATACATCATAAGTTGTGGGTCGTATGTGAAGTGTTTTTTCATTCATGAACCGGGGGGGGGGTGGATAGATTACCGAGCATTTAGCCTTTGTTGATGAGGACAGGTTGTTATAATCAATATGTTCTCAGGCCAGGCTCGTTAAAGCGTCGGCCGCCATCCCCTGCCCTCCCAAGACTTATTCATCAGTTTTAATAATTGTGTATTAAGACACCATGGTAGCATTCCACCTCTCGCCTATAAAACCATTAGCAGCAAAGGAGCAGTAACGGTATTAGTAAGTAACTTACTAACGTAAGTAACTTATAGTAAGTAAATATAGTAAGTAACTTACTAATGGCTGGCGTCCCCATTACTCCTGTATTCGTGTCCCCTGCGCTCTTCTCTCTCTATCTTTATTCATCTCATATTCAACGTATACCTTTTGTTCCTTGGATCAGCGTCGACTTGAGCGATAAGGTTACTCATAGAGATGACGAGACCACGAGCAAGTGTGGCGCCGTTACTCCTGAAGGTGGTGTTGGTGGGGTGTGTGTCTGGGCGGTGCTTGGCGGACGGCTCAAGCATCTACAAGCTTCTCTACCCGGGAGGCTCCAAGATTATCGCCAACTACACCAGCCAAGGAAGCCTCTCGCGGGTAAGGTGAGTTGTTATGAATCTGAAGGTGTTACCAGTCTGTGTTGACCAGACCACACACTAGGAGGTGAAGGGACGACGACGTTTCGGTCCGTCCTGGACCATTCTCAAGTCGATTGTTGCCAGTCTGTGATGCGTGTGGAAGGCGGTGTTGTGGGGTATGTATGGCCTCGTAGGTCGTCACGGGTTGGTGTGAACGTCACTGAATTTGTGGCTGTTTGTGTTTTTTCCATTCATTTATTTATCGTACTAGTGGAACTGTTCCTCCATGTCTGCGTTGCCCAGATTAATTGATTGATGAAGATTAAGCCACCCAAAAGGTGGCACGGGCATGAATAGCCCATAAGTGGTGGCCCTTTTGAGCCATTTCCAGTATCAATAGATGATACTGGAGATCTGTGGAGGTGCGACTGCACCCTGCGTGACGAGAGATGTCTCCCGTATGCGTTGCCCTGATGTTACAGCAGTAATTATACACATTTTCCCCAAGGGAAGGGGAGGAAGAGAATTATCTGGAGAAAACACTTAAGCCATTACGACTATATAGCACTGGGAAGGGGTCAGGATAAGGATTAGGGATGGGACGTGGGAAAGGAATGGTGCCCCAACTACTTGGACGGTCGGGGATTGAACGCCGACTTTGCATGAAGCGAGACCGTCGCTCTACCGTCCACCCCAAGTGATTGGGCGATCTGAAGGGAAGTTTACATTAGCTTGTGATACTCCTCTTCTAGTCTCCTTGTGTGTGTGTGTGTACTTTCTGTTACTTGTGCAGCCCGTCTTCCTAAGGTCTCCCAACGCCAAGAAAACGGTCACTTTAAACTGTCCCTTTGTTACCTACCAGAGGACCCAAAACAGAAAACGAGATAGTCCGTCACTTTCGCCAGCCGCTTCCATTTTCTAGGACGACAATTTTTGGCCTTATGTAACGCATACGAGTGAAATGCGACGTTCTCTGTAAGAGGACAGGTTGACGCGTGTGTGTGTGTGTGTGTGTGTGTGTGTGTGTGTGTGTGTGTGTGTGTGTGTGTGTGTGTGTGTGTGTGTGTGTGTGTGTGTGTGTGTGTGTGTGTGTGTGTGTGTGTGTGTGTGTGTGTGTGTGTGTGTGTGTGTGTGTGTGCGTGCGTGCGTGCGTGCGTGCGTGTGTGTGTGTGTGTGTACCGTTTTGTTTTCCTTCATCTGGTAGTCGATGGCGCTCATAGGCTGTGAATCATGAAGGGCATTGCACTTTTTAGACTAGATAAAACAGGAGGTTCATTGTGACCCAACTGAAGCAATCTGCTGGTTTTGCTGTCTGGTCTAGCTTGAAGTGAAGTGTGCATTGTGGACGCGTTAGGTGTGCCATTAGACTCCTCGATGGTGATCTGCATTTACTATCCCTTACCTTGAGGTTACCTTGAGGTGCTTCCGGGGCTTAGCGTCCCCGCGGCCCGGTCGTCGACCAGGCCTCCTGGTTGCTGGACTGATCAACCAGGCTGTTGTCCCTGCTGATAGTCCTGAGGTATCTTGTTTCTGTACGTCCTCCCATGAAGATCAGGGGCCAGATTCACTTAAGAACTTACGCAAGCACTTACGAACGTGTACATCTTTCCTCAATCTTTGACGGCTTTGTTTACATTTATTAAACAGTTTACAAGCATGAAAACTTGCCAATCAACTGTTGTTATTGTTATAAACAGCCTCCTGGTGCTTCGGAGCTCATTAACTGTTTAATAATTGGAAACAAAGCCGCCAAAGATTGAGAAAAGATGTACAGGTTCGTAAGTGCTTGCGTAAGTGCTTTCATGAATCTGGCCCCAGAAGGTTCGTACACGCGTCTTCCCATGTAGATGAAAGTATACGTCCCAAGGTGAACTAGGACGTATAGGGTCTCTTGTGCCTGGTGTGAAGACACTAATTAACACTACCTTAACATACTACGTGTGTAAAGGAAGAAATGTATACGATTGTCTCTCAGAATGTTCGGTAATATGTTTATTGTTTTTGATGTGTGTCTATATATATGTATGAACATGTTGTACTGAACGGGCTGAGAATAGCTTGAGCTACCTCATCCCTTTGTGTGTATTTTACCTCAATAAACTTATTTCAATTTCAACACTACCTTCCCCAGATGCGCCCTCAAATGCAGCCAGCTGACAGCGTGCTGTGTGTACACATGGGACTCCATCAGCCAAGAGTGTCAGCTTTTGGAAGCGCTGCCGACCTCGGCTGTCAGCCTAACGCCAGCAGGTGCCAGTCTGGAAACTTACTATAAGGCGGGGCAAAATAACCGCCAAGTGACGCTTGGGAAACAAAATACTGTCTGGCGCAATGCCAAGCCTCTCTGCGAGGCCATGGGTGGTAGGCTGGCTCTTCCCATCGACTACTCCTGCAGAAGGATCATCCACTTCATATTCAATGCCCCTCAGCTCCTGGTGGGGATGTGGAGGCAACCTCTAATCACCGGTGTGTGGTATGACATGGAGAACCATGTGATCACCACCAATATGGCGTGGAAACCCACTCAGCCCAACGGAGTGTCGACAGACGAGGCTTGTATCTTCTCGGAATATGGCCTGCTGGTAGACACCTCTTGCTGCTGCTCGTTAAAGATTCCTTTTATCTGCGAAGTGTAAAGATCAGTCTTGCTGGTGATTAGCTTAGATATCAAGGTTAGTCTTTAATTTAATTTAATTATCTTTATATCAGATATAAAGGATTGTACTGAGCAATTGATTAATCTTAAGGTCAGCTTTTCTATCACGAATGATATTTAACTCGAGGAATAAGTGGATAATGATTGTCTAGGATATCAGGGATTGCATTGGGTAGTTACCAGCTCCCAAAAACACACAAAATTAAAATACACAAACGTATTTATTTTATATAAAAGAATGAGCATAAACAGTTGACATCGTGAACATGATCATCATTCGCTTTAGTATGAACAAATCCACAAGGGCCGTGACGAGGGTTCGAACCTCGTCATAACATATTCGATATATATAAATTCGATAACATATAATTCGAACATAAAGAATATGTAGCTCAGTCGATTAAGGCAGTGTCTGGGATGCTCCCGGACGCGGGTTCGAATCCTCGTCACGGCCCTTGTGGATTTGTTCGCTTTAGCATGACATTCAGGTTGCCTATACAAACATCGTAGGACCTTTGCCAAGACGCTGACTTCCTGTCCCCGTTGCGGTCACTGGTAAATATTGAAAGATGTAGTGCTATATATATACAATATTGCTTTAATGACATATAAATATAATGTAGTGTTAATGACATATAATGTAGTGTTAATGACATATAATGTAGTATTAATGATATATAATGTAGTGTTAATGACACATAATGTAGTGTTAATGATATATAATGTAGTGTTAATGACATATAATGTAGTATTAATGATATATAATGTAGTATTAATGATATATAATGTAGTGTTAATGACACATAATGTAGTGTTAATGATATATAATGTAGTGTTAATGACATATAATGTAGTGTTAATGACATATAATGTAGTATTAATGACATATAATGTAGTGTTAATGACACATAATGTAGTGTTAATGATATATAATGTAGTGTTAATGACATATAATGTAGTGTTAATGACATATAATGTAGTATTAATGACATATAATGTAGTGTTAATGACATATAATGTAGTATTACTGATATATAATGTAGTGTTAATGACATATAATGTAGTGTTAATGACACATAATGTAGTATTAATGATATATAATGTAGTGTTAATGACATATAATGTAGTGTTAATGACATATAATGTAGTATTAATGACATATAATGTAGTGTTAATGACATATAATGTAGTGTTAATGATATATAATGTAGTGTTAATGACATATAATGTAGTGTTAATGACATATAATGTAGTGTTAATGACATATAATGTAGTGTTAATGATATATAATGTAGTGTTAATGACATATAATGTAGTGTTAATGACATATAATGTAGTAAATTATCATCCACTCATCCCTGGTAATAAACATTTAATTCACCTGGTCACTAGGAGACTGGAACAGCGGCCCCCAAGCGGGCGTGGATCACTCACTCCTCTGAGCAGGGCAGGGCAAGGGAGCCGGTCGGCCGAGCGGACAGCACGCTGGACTTGTGATCCTGTGGTCCTGGGTTCGATCCCGGGCGCCGGCGAGAAACAATGGGCAGAGTTTCTTTCACCCTATGTCCCTGTTACCTAGCAGTAAAATAGGTACCTGGGTGTTAGTCAGCTGTCACGGGCTGCTTCCTGGGGGTGGAGGCCTGGTCGAGGACCGGGCCGCGGGACACTAAAGCCCCGAAATCAACTCAAGATAAGTTGAAAATTCCAGCACATCAGCAGTAAAGTTGATTCTGGAATCTTTCCCTTTTTAAGATTACTCATAGCTGAGTGGACAGAGCCTCTGCCTCACATGCGTGAGGTACCAGGGTTCGAGTCCCCTAGAGCCCAGGTAAATGAAACAGAACGTAGTGTTAATGACACGATTTAAATATATATATATTTCATAAGTTAATCCTTACCCCACTACCTGTGGAAATATTTGCATGAAATCTTATCCATTATAAAGTTTAAACTATTATCAACGTTGTAAAGTCTGTTTTAGCACTATGGATGATTAAAACCATATCTCCTTCTTCACAGTAGTTGCTGGGATTGGACATAGTAGCCGATCCTTCTTAAAGAGGGGCATGAGAGACTGAGGGTGGGACCCCCCCCCCAACAATCCTATGAGGGTGGGACCCCTCCCCCCCCCAACAATCCTATGAGGGTGGGACCCCCCCCCCCAATCCTATGACACTTGGGCAGACAATCGCAAATCGTCCTGTGAAGTTTGGTGAGACTAGCCCTGAGCATCTGGCTCCCAACCTCACACACACATAGACATTCTCAATTATATGGTTTTTATAACTTTTATCCGCCATGATACGCAGTATGTAATATGTATATTTCTTGCTACTCAGCACTCTTTTATTAGATCTGTTGCTTTATCGTGTATTTATTGATATACAAGAAGGTACAGTGAGCACTTCTATTACAGGTCTTCATAATTATATGGTACATTCTGATAGTTACTTGTACACACCGTTCATTAAGGCTTTGGTTTATTTATCACTCCGTGAAGAGTGATATGCTTCTATTGCTAATATATATATATATATATATATATATATATATATATATATATTGTGACGATAATCTCCTTCAAGAGATTGAGCCTGCTCTTCCCTCCAAAATTACGTCTTCACAATTATATAAAAAGACTATGGAAGAAATGTCCAACAACGACAACAACACCAGCAAGGCTTGCAAGGGTGAGCAGAAACGTATGCAGCCCGCCACCTGTTCGGACCCAAATCACCAAACTACCCGTTGATCGCTACGGCTCCGCTGATTGGTCGCCGGTCTGGCTGCACCTGCACTCGCCCCCCAATACTACCCGATGTCTGGGGTCGCCCCAACATCAGTCTTCAGAATGTTCCGTGCTTTCGTAGCCAGCACTCCTCCCAGCTAGACTCTAGAGTGTACTGAGAGAGGTGGTGGCTTTAAGCCAATATTCCAGCACCTCCCACTTAACTTTTGTTGCACTTCTTATTATTTTGCCTTAACGTAACTTTTCATTGTGTCATTTAAGTATTCTTATTATTTTGATTCATTGATTTTATTATAAGAATTTGTTTGTGCATTATTTTCATGTTTGATTTATTTAACGTAATTAAAATTTCATTGTTAAAGTTTTACTTGTGTTTTGTGTGTCTTCTCCTTACCTTACCACAGACGAAGTTCCAGTTTTTCTATTTTTTTTTTTATAACTATGTGACGAGGCCATACCCCTAGCCTTAAACAGCCGAACACCAACGCGTTACCGTCACAAGTTATATGGGGCCCTGTCCTAGGAGCTTCACTCAGGTACTGGTGCCAAGTGGTAATTTATGGTAAGCGTATTTAACTTTGTTAACGTAGCTTTACTATTTTTCATTCAATTTCATTTTTTATAAGGTGCGGTGTATTGTGCATTACGAGAGTAACATTAGTGAAGGTGAGACAACTTTGGATTACGTGGTGACTGTAGGCCGCAGTCATACTCTTAATTGGTCATCTCTCCCTCCTTGTTATTACTCGTGTTTACCATCTATGTCCCTTGAATATTTCTCATTCTGACAGATCATCATATTGGTACCCTGGTACTGTGGTCTGCCCCGGGTCAAGAGTACCCAATCTTCTGCAATCTGACTGTAGGAGGACAAAGAGGGCCATAGTTCCTCTAGCTCGAACTTTAGTTGCTGAATTGGGACCTCAGCAGCAGTTCTCGTCACCAGTTGACACCTCGCACCCCTACACGTCAGTCAGAGATGATGATACATACAACGGTAGGGAATTAGCTTATTTTTTCAGAGCACAAAAATTCGCTAATTCTGTAAGTATCATATTAAATTCAGTGGGAAAAACTTGCTTTATGTCCTTTAGAGACTTGGCAAGGTATGCCTACATCCTTGGACTACCAATTTTACTTTTGAAGCATTTAACTGTTTCATTTGTTTTCGAAACTTTGTTTCATTTGTTAGTAGGATTTTCTTGCCCTTATTCTCTTACATGAGTACCGGGTACAAGATTTCCTGCGCCCTTGATTTCATTTAATCATTTAATATCTTTCACTTAACGTTAATTGTTAAAGATCACACAGGATAGGTACCAGTTGCCACGTTGTCCTGTTTCTGACATTTCATTATTGAACATTCGTGTACCTTTATTTGCTAATTTCACCATGTTTCGTCTCCAAACTTTCCGTGCAAATCCAGCAGGTGAAATAGGGACTTTAAGTCGTGCCAAGAGGACTGAATTACAAACTCTTGCACATGAGTATCAACTAGAAGTTCCCTACCAAGCCAACAAAAATGACCTACACAACCTGTTGCTGGATTACTATTTAGAGCAAGGTAAGATAGACTCTGAAACTCATGAAACTTACTATATTGCAGATAAAACTGACTTGGCAACGATGAAACTTAAACTAGAGCTGGCCAAGATTGAACGTGAGCAGCAAAGGGAAGCCCTCGAACAACAAGAACGAGCTGCTGCCATACGAAGAGAAGAACAAGAACGCGAAGCTGCTTTGAGGAGGGAAGAACAAGAACGAGAAATCACCCTCAGAGAACGTGAAGCTGCTTTGAGGAGAGAAGAACACGAACGAGGACTCGCCCTCCAAGAACGTGAGGTTGCACTACTCCAGGAGCGGGAACGAGTACAGCTTGAAACCAAACGACGCGAGTTGGAGATGCAACGCGAACATGACAAGCAACAAGCGACTCTGGCTCTAGAGTGTCGTCAACGTGAAATCGCCTTGGAAACTTCCCACTTCACTCAACGCCAACAAGCTACTGCCAATCTTCCCGTCAGTTTTAATATATCACATGCAAGTAAGTTAATGCCATCCTTTGTAGAAGCAGAAGTTGATGTGTTTTTCACCACCTTTGAAACCCTTGCTAATCAACTCAGTTGGCCTGTCGACCAATGGGCCACACTTCTCAGAGTCCATCTTACAGGTAGAGCTGCAGTCACACTCAGTACTTTGGCGTCTGAGAATGACTACTACACTCTGAAACAAGC